GTATAAAAATACAACTGCGTGAAACACACAGTATTATAAAAATACAACTGCGTGAAACACACAGTAGTATAAAACTTCAACTGCGTGAAACACACAGGTGTATAAAAATACAACTGCGTGAAACACAGAGTATTATAAAAATACAACTGCGTGAAACACACAGTAGTATAAAACTTCAACTGCGTGAAACACACAGTAGTATGAAACTTCAACTGCGTGAAATACACAGCAGTATGAAAATTCGGCTGCGTGAAACACACAAACTTCACGCATGCGTGGAGTGTATGGAGTGTACGGGAGTGATTCACGCAATGGCGCGAATAGTCACGGCCTTAAACTATTTTAAAATTGAAGCTAAACTATTGAACGAATTGATTCAATTTTACTTGGTTTGAGAAATCGCTTTCTTGCCATCAAGAAATTATCCTCGTCTTTAGGACAAGCACAAAATTCCTTCACGAAAGTTTTTATTTTCTCAGTGCAAGATATTTTACTCTTGAAAATTTTCAAGTCAGAAGTTTCTTGATATAAGTAAAGACGTATTCTTTGAAAACCTTTTGTTTTCGTCAGTGTACCGCTAGTTTCAGCTTCATTTTCAAGATGCAGCAGCGGCCACAAATACTATAATTTCCTTTTATTTTATTTTCATATTTCGATTTCAAATTCGTATACCAACTTTGAATTTTCATATTGTGGGCCTTTTGGGGTTCATTCCAGCTGCGTCCACGTCGCGAACTCTAGGTAACGCTGAAGGCTGGTAGGGCCAGGTATATACGCCTTACCAATTTTTTGAATTGGTAAGGCGTATATACCTGGCAATTCAAAAAATTGATAAGGCGTATATACCTGGCCCTAAACACGTTCTCAAACAAGTCTCGTTTGGGCCAGCAAAATCGCCAGTTGAAGAATGTCAAAAACGAAATTGTTTGATTTGAATTTGAAAAATTTTCCTTACACTGAGAGGAAAACAAACACATTCTCAAACAAGTCTCGTTTGGACCAACAAAATCGCCAGTTGAAAAATGCCAAAAACGAAATTTTGATTTGAATTTGAAAATTTTACCTTACACTGAGAGGAAAACAAACACGTTCTCAAACAAGTCTTGTTTGGGCCAGCAAAATTGCCAGTTGTAAAATGCCAAAAACGAAATTGTTTGATTTGAATTTGGAAATCTCAAACATGAACAACTGCTCTGCTTTCGACAACAACAAAATATTTGGCGCAAAAGGCGGATAATTCACCCGAGACGGTGCCTTTTCTGGATGAAAATATTTCACTAGAGGAAAATTCACCAAGAAATATTTTCCTTAAGATAAAAATTTGAAGTCCAAATCTAGTCGATCGAGTTTTCTGGAAAGTTTTTGCAATAATCCTTTCAATAATCTTTGAATTTACCGTAAGGGTACAGCTACTTTAAAAATATTTGTAAACCCGATTCCCCTGAATCGAATCTCAGACCTGTGTCTTCGCAGAAAAAGCTACCAATCGAAAGAAATAAATAAAGAATCCAGTGAACCCTTGCAGTCTTTAATAAATATCCTCAACAACTGGTCACGCTCCCAAGCAACAAATTGCTACCTGGAACTGCCCACAGGTACCAAACACCGGGTTCACTCCGAAAGAGAAATGAAGCAAGTCGTGACCCAGATGAGGTTCTTTTTTTGTTATGATTTTGACCTAGCGGTATCGCGAGCCTAGCGGGAGATCGAGATTTCATCATTTCATCATCGCTGGGCTGAGGGATTTTTCGAAAAAAATCCAGCGTACATTCTCCCAATGCATCGCTAATCCTGTTACTTTGCATTTTTATTGATGGTCAGTCCCTCGGGTAATTAACCTTACAGATAACGAGCCTGGGAATCATGTTCACGAGCGTGTGCTATTCAAATAAAAGTCAGTGAGTCAGTGTCACCTGCTGTACTAACAAATGCGAATAAAGGAACTGAAATCCATAATTTAAATCCCTCCTCTCTCTCGCCCCTCTCCGGCCCGATGTTGACACTGATACCAGGTTATCACCGTCATCAGCCTCGGGGAGACCCCGAAAACACCGAACAACGAAACAACAGCCCCTCGACGCAATTTGAAAGGAAAAAAAATCAATAAATAGGGTGTACGGAGGATAACATTGTGAGTGAGAGGGGGAGGGAGGCGAGAGTGAGAGACTAATACGAGATACAGAGAATTGAACGAGGGGGAAGATTACTCTACTCAGCGGACTTGGATTCCCTTCATTAGCGATAACTGCATAAGATGGCGGTTGTCCTCGCAAGACGATATTAACGAAAATAGAGGGATTCAATGATTTACTGGGTTATTAATCCGAGTAATTACCTGTAAGTTGGTATTTGTGTCATCAATAATTTTGTCCGTCTCCATGTTGATCATTTCACGATGCAGAGCTCTCTGGGGGGTCTTTGTACCCTCGATGGCCTAGCGCGGGCCAAAGACGTCCCAAAGGATTCAACAATTTATCGTGAAATTGTAATAGTGTTGCCAGGAGCGTTCATTTATTTAGTATTCTAGGTGGAGGGATCACTATTTATTTATTCACTGGCACATGCACCACTCGGACACTCGACGATTGATCTATTTGTTCCGGGAATTTGTTGCATTCATCGGGTTTATTGTCTCTGTGGAATTGTTTTTCTTTTTTATTCTTGGGGACGATTGGCTGAAGCACTCTCAATACGAGGGACGACGCTTACGGAGCTTCGGTGTATCGCCATGAACAGGAAGTCGATCCAGCATTTCACCCAACACAACGAGTTCCCGAATAACTACGTTACCATTTGACAAAAACAGGAGTTCTGCAACGAGTCGCGGGGGCTTTTTGGTTTATTCGGGGGGCGGTGGGTTATTTGGGGTCACTGGGAGCATTGGGGATGGAGTCACCAGTTGGGGGGTTTGGTTTGGGGGGTTGATTACAGTTGAGGAGAACAGGATGATTATTCGATACTGAGGCACATTTGACACGCATCTGCCCAATCTGCCCGTTGAACAGAGCCCTGGCAGACTCACAACTCACTGCTTTGAGGTATTGCAGGCAGCCATTTTCATTGGCTTTGGGATAGTTGAGGGGGGGACCGATGGTGGCGGGATTGAGTGAGGTGCATGGGCGGGGGATTATGAATGCCAGGGGTTGAACGGGGGACTACTATACCCTGGTAAAACAGTCCGATTATTTCCGACTGGGTGATAAAAAATGAATCGGCGTTAATGATGTTTCTGTCTTTGCCCGTTAAATTCCGATTGGCTGGCAGGTAGAGTTTGGAGTTTCAGAAAATTATGAGAGTTAATGGGAACAAGGGTATGTAGCCGTTATCGCCCGATTACTTTCCAAACAAGTGATAGATCTCCATTACGCATATAAATATTTAAATGAGCAATAAATATTTAAAATTTGTATGAGCAATTTGAGGTCTATCAATCACTTTTTTGGAAAGTAATCGGACGATAACGGGCCACATACCCTTGATCCTATTAATTCTCATAATTTTCTTAACGGGCAAAGACAGAAACATCATTAACGCCGATTCATTTTTTATCACCAGTCGGAAATAATTGGACTGTTTTACCAGGGTATTATTTGAAATTGAATTTCAAGAATAGGAATTTACTTGATGAGAAGAAAACGGTGGGGGTTGAAGCGTAAATTTTCCTCTTTGCTAGGACATTTTCGCGAACGGACAGGGAAATTTGTAAGTTTTTTGTGAAAATTTTAGAAATAGAGGGGTAAATTCTATTGTAGGGGAGGGTAGGGTAAAATGAACCTTTAAGACTTTTTGAAAATTATTCATAACTCAGGAACAAATGTATCAATAGAGCTCAGTTTAGGCTCATCACAAAGGACAAGAATTGTTCTTTGTATTGAAAAAAAAATGATTAAATTTCATCAACATTTCAACCCGTCACTAATTTTTTATAAAAAGTCAAAAGTGTCCGTTTTACCCCAACCTCCCTTACTGTCAGTCAAGCTTGAGCTGCGCCATTTAGTAAGTTTTAGTTTATTTTTATCGTCACTTTTAAATAAGATTTTTCTTTGTCCCAATTAATTTCTTCTATGTTCTATGTTTTTAAGACCGTCCAACTTCCAGGTTTCACGGGCCGTTATCCCTTTTAATCGGGACGTTTCGTTTATTAGGAGGTAGCTGATGTCGAAAAAAACTGGTGGTTATCCCTTTTAATTAGGATTTTTCTTTAATAGCGGGAGTCGATTGTAAAGATTATAAAATTAGAGAAAGTCACTTCTTGAACTATCACTGATTGGCGGCTAGTTTTCTTTTTCGCAATTTATCAATTACTAAATTTCGATGGGTTTTTGTTTGATTTTCTTGATAAGAAATAAAGAAAAACATAATGAAAAAAACTTGGAAAATTTGAGCCGAGGAAATTCTATAAAAAATATCTGAATATGGATATGTTGTATAGAATATGTTATATAGAAAAATCGAATTCTATTGAGTTTTCCTATTGAACATTTAATAGACTCGGAAGCTTCAATAAAAATCCAATAGAATTTTCTAACGAATTCGCTAGGTTTTTCTATTGGATTTTTTAATCCGTGCAGGTGAGGTATGACCCCACATCTCCATCTTGTTAATTATTTGGTTATTTCCCTCGTATAGAGATTCGGAAAGTCGAAAGATAGCATATAGCATCCTGCTTTCCATGCAATTTTTAATTTCTACCTTAAAAAAATCTAAAGTTTGACCAAGTAAAATAGCCCTGGGGCTAATACAGAATATGAATATACCAGTCGAAATAATTTTCTGCAAGATATAATATGGATGAAGCTGATTATGGATGGAAAAAATAAATCTTGTAAAAAACACTCAAATGCGACTATTCCATTGAAATTCGACCATTTTACCTAAAATAACGACGGGATATGAATTAATTTTGTATAATCGATGCTTCTTCACATAACTCGATTCTAATTATGTATTGAGTGGATTCGTCTCAACGGTTGTTCAGTTATTCGGATGAAACTTTCAAAATTAGTTTTTTTTCTAATCAACAGAAAAAGGGGAATCGGTGGGGAAGTTATTGGTTCATTCCATAGTGGGTCACACCCAATTCTACCAATCCCTACCGGTCACACCCCAACCCACTGATTGTTTTATTCAATTCTCCCACACATGTCGAATTCAATTCTCTCCACAGTCCTTTATTCTCAATAAAAATGGAATTCAGCAGCTCAATTTAGTCAGATTATGTGGTTGGATTTTATAAATATACAGAAACAATTCGCAATGTTATTTTCTCCGGAAATTAAAAATGGATGGGAAATGTGGTTTCAGTCTTAGAAATTCCGAGGTGTCTCTCATATCCACTTGACGTCCTCCTCACGTTTTTGTCTTGTCACTTCAGGTTCGCCCTGGCTCAGCAATATCGAATAGGGCCTATGGCACATGTGACAGTCTAATGGGGGGTAGTAATGCCTATAACACAGATATGTGATGAGGAGTCCGAGGAATGAACCCACTGCAACATCTATTCTGGGGAGAATAAAAATCACATTATTGAATATGCATTTGAGAATGGACAGAGAAATTGAGAAATTGATTATTTGGAGCACGCGCCTTGCCAGTGATGGTGGTAATCACAGGTGCGACTCAGTGCGATAGCGAGGGCAAATGCCAACGGGAGAATGAATGCGCACAGCTTCCACGAGTGGCTTTTACCCGTCGATCCGAATGTCTTGAATTTTCCTGCTAGGTATAGGGCTATGAAGCCCAAGCTTGCGAATGCAACTGAAAACAAAGGCTCATGAGCGCCTTCAGAGTTTCTTCGTAGCGAAATGATTAATCGAACATGTACGAAAAATTTTCGGATGAAAACGTAGCGCATGGGACAGATAATTATAATCAATTAATTAATTGATCGACAGGTAATCCGATGGGATTTCTATTCTTTCTATTAGTTTTTGGCTGATTCTACTGAAATGTTTAATAGAAAAAGTCAATAAATTCGATTTTTCAAAATAACTTATTCTCTTGAGATATTTTCTATGAAATTTTTTCATTCTATTTTTCGTTTCTTCTCATCATGAAAATCAAACAAAAAAAACTAAGAAAAGTTGAGTCGTGAAAATTCTATGGAAAAATCGAATTCTATTGATTTTTTCCATTAAATATTTCAATAGAATCGGCCATAAACCAATAGAGTTTAATAGAAATTCAAGAGAATTTGCTAACGAACTCGCTAGGTTTTTCCATTAAATTTTTTCGTGCCCTTTTTTTTACAGAAAATGTTTTATAAAAAATATTTCATAATAAAAATTATCAACATTTCATTTTTCTACAGAAATTATTCAATTCAGATATTCTATTTTTCAATAGAATATTAATTCAATATTCAATGAAATTAGAGGAATCAACTCTTTTTATGCCTCAGTACTGAATACAACCTCAAATATGCAAAATGGAGATTTACATGAGGAATGTCCACTCGGGAATGATTTCCTTCCATCTCTTATTTCGGCCGGATTCCCGGTGCACAGGAAATCACTGTTGCCTTCGCCGTTTGGAAAGCAGCGCCAGAAAAAGTCTGGCCTTGGTCTTCCTACAAGTCAAAATAAAATAATAAATTTTTGAAGGGGGATATTGCGCTTTTGGAGGAGAACCTTACCAACAATGAGCTTTATCATGTCAGTGATGACTCCATTAAATCCTAGTGCTAATGATACTGCCAGCGATCCTTGATGGAGATCTACTTTGTCTCCACTCCTTAAAAATGATAGGGTGATGACTACGAAAGGGGTAATAAATACTAGGGGCTGAAACGACAAAGCAAAATATAAAGTTTCAGTCTTCGTAATTTAAGAAGGAATTAAATCTACGTGTATTATCTTTCGAACATGATCTTGATTAGCTTTTTTATGTTGAAATCTGAAATGTTCTTCAATTGCCATTCAGTTTTACAAAGCCCTGGAGTCTTCAAAAATTATGATTGTTTAATCAAAAAAACGTTGAAAAAAAACAGCATTTTCAAAGAGCGTTTTTAAATAATATCGGGAAATAAAAATAATTGGAAGGAAATGTCAAATTAATAATTTACAGTATCTAATGGCTGTTCAGTCGTCATTTGTCCCAGTAGCCAATGCCAATCTGACAGTTCGTTAATTGCCATGATAAATTATCCATTTACAATTTTATCTCTGTCGGACTTGTTTCCTAATCTTTATTAGAAATGCTCTTTGAAAATGTTCTGTTTTTTTCCTACTTTTTTGATTGTGGAATCATAGTTTTTAGGGACACCTACGTAATGTCAAATCTAGTGGAAATTCTGACATGTTTTAGTTTGTGAAGATGGAAAAACAATAGAGATAACGTTCGAAAGATAATCCCTTCGGGCCGTAATAATGAAATGATGACATCACGCACGAAAGAAATTCCCTGATGAACCTATCCAATTCGATAGAAAATTCTATTGAATTTTTGTTGAAAATTGTGTAAGTTTTTGGCCAAATCTATCGAAGAATTCCACGGCTTCCCATACCCAATGAAACTATTTTATAGGAAAAATCTGTAGAATTTAATCTTTCTATACAAGCTTTTCTCCTGACAAATTTTGTGTAAAAATTACTTGAAATGAATTTTCTAAATTTCTTTCACTCTACTCTTCTTCTCTTTTTATTGAAGAAATAAAAAAAATTGGAAAATTTGACCCGAAACACGTCTATAGAAAATATCTCAATAGAATAAGTTGTACGAAAAATTTGAATTCCCTCGATTTTTTCTACGGAATATCTTCTATTGGACATTTCTATCGAAAAAAACAATGAAAATGAGCTGTGGCATTTTTCGATAAGATTCACCAAAAACTAACAGAAAGTTCAATAGAAATCCAACAGAATTTTGTAGCGAATTCGTTAGGTTTTGAAGCAATGGAATGAAGTAATAAAATTAATAATGAAATCATGAGATCAATAATAAGATATATAATTATTAATTTTATGGAATTGATAGCGAAGTAGGGGCGCTTGGGGTAAAATGGACACTTGACTTTTTTAAAATGTCAATGACGGGTAGAAAAGTTGATGAAATTTAATTTTTTTTTTTTTTCAATGCAAAAAACAATTCTTTCCCTTTGTGATGAGCCTAAACTGAGCTCAATTGATGAATTTGTTTCTGAGTTATGAATAATTTAAAAAAAAGTCTAAAGCGTCCATTTTACCCCACCCTCCCCTAATGGAATCAATTATTCAGTAATGGAATTAATAATGAAATTAATGGAATTGATCAATAAAAAAACGAGACTTTACCCAGAGAAATGTTGTTGGAACATAAGAGTCCGTCTTTGGATTTCTGTAGAGCCATACCTCGTCGTCATGAATCTTCCTGACGAAGGGCTCGGCCTTTTCCAGCATCCTAATAAAAAAATTGATTAGCACAAGCCTTGGGCACCACCGAATCCCCCAGCATTTTTAATGACGTACACAAATAATATTGCCAGAAAAATTCTCAGAAATATGTCGAACCATAATCCAATCGATATGTTGACGCCACGCAGTCCAGTCATCCTTATCCATTAAACAAAATATGCAACAGTCCATCCATACGTGAAATAAAAAATTGCCACATGCAAGTGTTTACACAGATATGCAAATTGTTTATTTATGGATTAGGATGACAACTCAACGAACTCGTGAGCTCGCGAGAACTTGCCGTGTCAATTGGAATTTCACCTGCATGCCACCTTCGTTTTCCAGGAATATTTAACGTGGAAAGATGAAGCCATCGATAACGCAGAAAGTTGTGCTTCATCTATTAATTAAATGTCCTTATAATGAATAGGGTAAATTATCTCATTCTCCTTTTCATATAGTAACGATAGATTCAAAATCAAAGTCGGCATTGTTGTGATGCCAGAAGAATAACATTTGAAATATTTGAAAATTGAATTATCTATCGATAACGTAGAGAACTCCATCCTGAATTAATTTTTTTAATTAACTTCTGAAGAAATTTTAATTTTAAAAAATTAAAAAGTGAGAAAATTGGATGAAAAATATCGAATACGTATTTTTTCATTTAAAAAAACGATGGCATTGTGACGTTATAATAGTTCGTAACTGCGATGACGTCACAATGCAGGCATTTTCAATCGCCAAAAAGTGACCGGGCTAATTATTCTCGTTCTTCTTCATGAAGTTTTCGTATTCAGTATTGCATAAAAATTTAAAAATAAATTTATTGGATAAATTTCATGCAACATTCAAATTTAAGGAGAAAACATTTCACAATGACTAAAATGAATTCTTCAGTTTTATTTTAAAGCATATGAACTCAAAAAGTTGCTTTTGTTCTGAGTAGAAGAATAGATTTTGAATTATTAATTAATGACGTATTAATAAAATCGTTCGGCAATTATTACAATTAATTTTCTCCTTTTTTCAATTGAGAATAAAGTGCAAAAGTCTAGGGGTTGATTTATTAATAACCGAATAATGAGATTTCAATTACTTCGACGAAATTCAGAATAGAAAATTGAGAGGGAAAATTATTTTACACGATAAAACATGGAATTAGATGACCAATGATGAATACATGATTTGTTTATTTGAAACAGCAAGAAGAACTTCAGAAATTGTCCCCAATCGACGAAAATCTGTATTATGACGTCATGAAGTCAACATTTCGAATAGTTCCTAACTCATTCATTTTTCATGATTCAAAATGTAAAAATGTATCTTTCCATTCAGCTTTCATAATGAACAATAATCCGACAAATCCAGTTTTCGCATTTTCATGTAGGGGAGGGTGGGGTAAAATGGACACTTTAGACTTTTTTTAAAATTATTCATAACTCAGAAACATATTTATCAATTGAGCTCAGTTTAGGCTCGTCACAAAGGGAAAACGTTGTTCTTTGTATTGAAAAAAATTTATTAAATTTTATCAACATTTCAACCCCTCATCAACATTTTTTAAAAAATCAAAAGTGTCCGTTTTACCCCAACCTCCCCTATATAACTTTATCTACATATTTATTTAATTTTTTTTCTCTCTTCTACACTTATAAGTCGCTTTATAAGCGTATTTTTTTATTTTCAAGTCTCTTCTACTTATAGAAGAGAGAAAAAAAATTAAATAAATACGTAGATAAAGTTATATGAATGATGAAATATATATATTTCATGCCGATGCGACTTGAAATAAATCATAAAAAATTTCAAAAAATAATCCAACAATAGTAACAAATCATGTAACGATTATTTAAACAACAAAATATTATTTATAAAGAAATTGCGTTGTCGAATCGATTGTGCTTCATGATCAGTTCGATTTCCTATATTTTTAAACGTCCGAGAGTCCTTCAATCAATTACTACACTATGAAAAAATTTAATAGAAAAAACTAAATATATAATTCTACAATCTATATTTTTCTACATACATAATTGATTTTCTTTATGAAAAGAAGAGAAAAATATAATGAAAAATATTGGAAAGTTTGAACCCAGGAAATTTTATACAGAATATCTCAAAAATGAAATAAATTGTATAGAAAAATCTAATTTTATTAACTTTTCCTATAAAATATTTTCTATTTAAAATTCCCATAGAATCGGCCAAAAACTAATAGAAAGTTCAATAGAAATCCACTAGAATTATTCAGCGAATCCGCTGAATTTTTCTATAAAATTTTTGTTCGTGCAATTTAAAAAAAGGCTTCAATACTTTTCAAATTTTCAAAATCCGGCTGCTTTCACATGCAACGCCATCTAGAACCCCCCCGGAAACCTCGAAAAACGAGTGACTGTCCCACCTCAACCCCCCAAAAACCTGGTTTGACAGTTATAAATAATAGCGAGAGCATCCACTATTTGAAAATCCAGGAGACCGTCTAGGCGAAGTTAATGGCTGCCGAAACGTCGTTATCGACGTTCACTGCAACCCACTGATTGCGACTTTTGTAAAAAAATCAAAATTTCATTGAATCGAGATACCGGTGCGTGAATGTGAATGATAGACAGACTGGAGGGAGTGGAAAATAACACTTCATTATCGTCAACAGGCATCACTAGGTAAATCCATTGTCCCCGTAGACTGTCGTGTGTGGTTAAATCTCCTGAACCGTCTTTGGTAGTTGCAGTTTTATCCAAGTCTTCTCCAACTCCCACTCGAATTCTTCTTATTTGGTGCGGTTTTCTACATTTTCGTTGACTCACTCGTCAAATGCAGCATGTTGTTGCACGGTTATTGATTTCACCGTCCCTCGGCTTCATCATCTGCTTTTGTTATTTATCTTATTACGTATCTCAGTTCTAGTGTAAATACTCCAAATTACATGGGATGAAACTAATTTAGAACTAGAATAACTCGGCAATTGTGAGCTTGAGGTGAAAAGTATGAGCACAATTGCAGTAGAAAAATGTCACCATTTTTATGGTGAACCAATTCATTTAACCACTTTGTTTATTTATTCGTTGTTCTAGGGACGCATAATGGAAGAAGAGACTGAGTTCACAAAACTACCCCTGGAGGACAGAGTGGTGCACAAGGTAATCTCCAGCATATTGCCGGATTGAAATTAATTTGGAATATATTAGTGAAAAAAAACGAGCTGTTTTTTATCGGCAATAACTTGGCGTTGGGAGAGTGAAAATCAACAACTTTTTTTTATTTTCAAGTGTCTGTTCCATTCCTCAAGATGAGGACACATTCGTCGAAATTGTTTTGTGTGATTAGGAGACTCTAAACATTTTGTGAGGTCCATTGATTCAATTCCTCTAAAGCTCATTCTTCGTTAAATATATTCGGTTTTGGGAATACATTTTTTGTGGATCTTGACTTCTGCTAAAAGAAATGTCCTGAAGATAAGAAAAAATGTCCTTCGAACTTCCCTGAATTCAGGAATGATTCTCATCAAGGGAAAGAGAGCTAAAATAGACATTTGGCCATCATCAATAACTTGAGATTTACGGACTGAAATTGAAAGATGTTTTACTATTTTGAAAGTATTTTCTTTAAGTCTCGATATTAATGCAGAGTAGAACTCGAGCATTTTTTTACGAGTTTAAAGTGTCTTTTTTGGTCTTTAAGATGAACACTGGTTCGTCAAAATTGTTTCCTTTGATGAGAAGTTCTTTAAATTTCATCAGGTCCATTTTATTTTATTGATATTATTTCATGGACATTTGACTAGTTATTTTTGAGAGCGGGACATTGGATTTGATTTGGGCGGAGGGGGCAATCATGACATTTCATATTTCTCTGGGAATATTTCAACGCAATTCTAAATTTTTGAGCAATAGGAAGACCCAAATTCCTCAACTTACTTGAATGCTCAATAAAAACATGAATATTCCCGACCAAATTACGCATAATTTTCAGTTAATTTTTTGAATAGATTTTTTTGGTGGTTATAATTTTGTCTCCAAAATTTAGATGACAACAGGTTGGCCTAAGCGATCTTCAGCAATTTTATACACGCAGAACTGAAGTTGAAGTTGAAGAATTCTTTGCGATAGCCCAACGTTTCGTCTTCCAGGGAAGACCTCTTTAGGGGCTTCTTTATTAATCCCATGTTAAATGACATTGAAACACATCGTTGTTTCAGTCAATTGAAAATTCTAGAATACGTTTATTTCAATTTTCTTGAATAATTGAACTAAAATTTGCAACTTCCTTTGATTCTTCCCTAAAATATTGAATTTTCAATGTAAAAATTTCTTGAAATTTCAGTCCCAAATTCTCTGAATTCTCGAGAATTCTTAATTCTTGCAGTCTCATTGCAATTGGGGTCTTACAGTCGGTGGAATTAAAATAATAAAAATTTCGAAGAAGAGTACCAGAAATTTCAGCTAAACGTTTCCAACACTAAGACTCAAGATTCATTTCACTTCACCCCCTAATAAATCCCCAACTTCTCCCCCAACTCTTCTCAAGCTCTCAAAATAATACCCCCCAATGACACTATTCCATTTCCTTTCAGTCATGGAAGGCGCGAGTGCACGGTTACGAAGAGTGCACAAAGAAATTCGGTTGCATCGACGACGAGAAGTCCCCAGAGTGGAATAAATTTCTCGGTCTAATAAAAAAATTCGTCGTGGACAGCAATGCAGCCGCCCAGGAAAAAGGTATGGAGGCTGCCCTGGTGTACGTGGAGAACGCGGCGTGTGCAGGCAAAGCAGTAGGTGAAGTAATGTCAGGAATTGTGAGTAAATGCATAGCAGCCCCCAAAGCGAAGACTAAGGACCTCGCAGTCCAACTGAGCCTGATGTTCATGGAGATAGAGAAGCACGAGACTGTCCAGGAGGAGCTTCTAAAAGGGACCGAAGCAAAAAACCCGAAGATTGTGGCAGCCTGCATAAACACCCTGACCCTGAGCCTTCGCGAGTTCGGTCCCAAAGTCGTCAACGTCAAGCCCCTAGTGAAGAAGACCGCAGCCTTCCTGGAAGATCGAGACAAAGCAGTTCGTGAAGAAGGAAAAGCCCTCGTGATCGAGATTTACCGATGGATTGGCGCCCCAATAAAGCAGCAGCTGAACTCCTTGAAGCCAGTGCAACTCACAGAACTGGAAACAGAATTCTCTAAGCTTGGAGATGAGAAAGCCCAGCCGAATCGTTACCTGAGATCCCAGAAGCCCAAAGAAATATGTGTCTCAGAGGCAGGAGGTGGAGACGGCGATGGAGACGAGAACGACGAGGACGAGGAAGACGGAGGTGGTGGCGCTGACATTGACCCTTACGAGCTGATCGACCCTGTGGACATCCTCTCAAAGCTCCCCAAAGACTTCTACGAGAAACTAGAGGCGAAGAAGTGGCAGGATCGAAAGGAAGCCCTTGAAACCCTGGAAACTCTCCTGAAGAACCCAAAACTAGAGAGTGGAGACTACGGGGAACTCGTTCGAGTCCTCAAGAAGATTGTCAGCAAGGATTCCAACGTTGTGGTGGTGGCACTGGCTGGGAAGTGCCTGGCAGGGCTGGCCTCGGGACTAAAAAAGAAATTCCAGCCCTACGCCTGTGCCTGCCTACCTGCACTCCTCGAGAAGTTCAAGGAGAAGAAGCCAACGGTGGTGACAGTCCTTCGAGAAGCTGTTGACGCAATATTCCTCAGCATCACCATTGAAGCAGTCCTGGAGGATTCCCTGGCAGCCTTGGAGAACAAGAATCCAGCTGTTAAAGCAGAGACAGCTTCGTTCCTCGCCAGATGTTTTGCAAGAACTCCCTCACCAAGTTTAACGAAGAAGCTGTTGAAGGCGTACAGTGGAGCTCTCCTGAAGACCCTCAACGAGTCGGATCCAACTGTTCGTGACAACTCAGCAGAGGCCCTGGGCACAATCCTGAAACTGGTCGGTGAAAAAGCAATGACGCCATTCCTGGGTGATCTAGACAACCTCAAAATGGCTAAGATCAAAGAGTGTGCTGAGAAGGCTGTGATAATTGTGAAGATCTCTGGACCGAGGAAGGCAGAACGTCCCACGACAGCCCCAGCCAAAATCGAGTCGTCATCCTCAGGCATTCCCTCGAAGACAGCAAAGCGCCCAAACACGACAGCAACGAAGAAACCAGCAGGAGGGGCGAAGAAACCAGCAGGAGCAGCAGGTCCTGCAGCAAAAAAACCAGTAGCATCGAAGATCCCACAGCAGGAGAAGGATCTCCCCTCTGAACTGGTCGACGAGATTGCTGCCGAGACCCTCCCCCCTGAGGTTCTCTCAGGACTAGTCGACGCCAACTGGAAGACGCGTCTCCAGGCTGTCGAGCAGCTGTCAGACTTCATCAAGCAGAAAGAGCCAGTCGAAATCCCCACACAAGTCATCGTGAGGACCCTGGGGAAGAAGCCAGGGTTCAAGGACACAAATTTTCAGGTTTTGAAGCAGCGATTGGAGGTCGTGAAGACGCTGGCAGAGGGCTACACCTTCTCCGCGACGACGTCCAGCTACTGCATCATGGACATCACTGAGAAACTAGGGGATTCTAAGAACAGTTCAGTGGCTGCTGAGGCACTGTCAGCTATTGCTGAAGCCACGTCCTTCGAGCACGTGGCCAACGAGGCCCTGGGGTTCGCCTTCAACCAGAAGAACCCCAAAGTCCAGCAGGAGACCCTCCTCTGGCTGTCAAACGGCCTCATGGAGTTCGGCTGCACAGCCCACGTGAAAACCATGATGGACAACATCAAGAAGGGGGTGGGTGCTACCAATCCCAGTGTGCGAACATCAGCTATCACTCTGGTGGGGACATTGTACCTGTTCATGGGTAGAAGCCTGCTGATGTTCTTCGACAGTGAGAAACCAGCGTTGAAGCAGCAGATTGAGCAGGAATGCGATAAGAGGAGTGGAGAGGTGCCACCAGCCCCCACTCGAGGGCCAAAATCGAAGGCCAAATCAAAAGCAACGAATGGAAAAATTGGTAATGATCAGGAGGATGAGGATAATTACGGTGGGGAGGACAATGGCCCTTCAGACTTGAACGATTTACTGCCTCGAGTGGACATCACCAATCAAATTACTGAGGCCCTCATAGCAGAGTTGGGGGACAAGAACTGGAAGGTGAGGAATGAGGGCCTCGTGAAGGTCAGCAACATCATCAACGATGCGAAATTCATAAAAGGATCGATTGGGGAGTTGCCGAGGGCTCTGGCCCCTCGTCTCACCGACAGCAACACGAAGATCGCTCAGGCTGCCTTGGGGATCTGCGAGAAGCTGGCGACAGCCATGGGAGCACCAGTCAAACACCACATTCGTGCACTGTTTCCTGGGTTCATTCAGTGCCTGGGGGACTCCAAGAACTGGATCAGAGCAGCTGCCATCACCTGCATCAACACCTGGGGGGATCAGTGTGGGTACAAGGAGTTCTTCGATGGGGAAATCATTGGGGATGCCCTGAAGGCAGGGTCCCCAGCACTGAGGGCTGAATTGTGGAGCTGGCTGGCCCAGAAATTACCTCTGATCCCAGTCAAACAGATACCGAAGGAGGAGCTGATGGCGTGTTTGCCACATCTGTACTCAAACCTCGAGGATCGTAACTCCGATGTGAGGAAGAATGCTCAGGAGGCAGTGCTCGGATTCATGATTCATCTGTCGTACGACGGAATGGTGAGGCAGACTGAGAAGCTCAAGCCCAGCTCCAAGAGCGGAGTAATCGCCAGTTTAGATAAAGCAAGACCGAACCTACCGATGAAGCCTTTGCCCTCGAAAAAAGCACCCGAGGAGGCCCAGAAGACTGTTAAAAGTGGGGGAGCTATGAAGGCTGCTGGCAAGACAATAGCTAAACCCAAATCAGGGAACTCCTCGAAGCAGAACAGTGCGAGGAAGAAGGAGGAGGACGTGGACACTAGTCCCCTCCTGGCGATAAATAATTTGAAACATCAGAGGGTCATCGACGAGCAGAAGCTGAAGGTCCTCAAGTGGAACTTCACGACCCCCAGGGAGGAGTTTGTGGAGCTGCTGAAGGAGTTGATGGGCTCTGCTGGGGTCAACAAGTCCCTCATTGCGAACATGTTCCATGCTGACTTCAGGTACCATCTGAAGGCCATCGAGACACTGACTGACGATCTCCAGGATAATAGCAAGGCCCTGGTGTCAAATCTGGATTTAATTCTCAAGTGGCTGACTCTCAGGTTCTTTGACACAAATCCCTCGGTTTTGCTGAAGGGTCTGGATTATCTGCAGACTGTTTTCAATCTTCTCATTCAGGATCAGTACCACATGCTGGAGAACGAGGCTGCCTCCTTCATTCCATACCTCATTATTAAGATTGGAGACCCCAAGGATGCTGTGAGGAATGGCGTGAGGGCACTTTTCAAGCAGATTGCACTGGTTTATCCTGTCAGTAAGTTATTCTCGTACGTCATGGAGGGCCTCAAGTCAAAGAATGCACGTCAGAGGACTGAGTGTCTGGATCAGCTGGGGTCTTTGATAGAAAATTATGGGGTCACTATTTGTCAGCCCTCGCCATCAGCTGCTCTCAGGGAAATCGCCAAGCAGATTGCGGATCGTGATAATTCGGTGAGGAATGCTGCGTTGAATTGCATCGTTCAGGCGTATTTTCTCGAAGGGGAACGGGTTTACAAGCTCATTGGGCAGATCTCGGAGAAGGACATGTCGCTGCTGGAGGAGAGGATCAAACGGGCGGGGAAAAATCGACCATTGAAGTCTGCCTCGTCCAACAGGATATCTTCTGCTCCCTCGGGGATTAATCATGCTGTTGCTCCTCCTTCATCAACTCATGCTGGGAATAATGCTGATGATTGTGATCCTGACGATGATGATGATGATGACAATGAGGACGACGGGCAGGATGATATTATCGAGTCTCCTGAGGAGAGGTATGTTGTGATCGCGTCGTGATGATTGTTTTTAGTGATTCATTCATTATGATAAGTTAATTCGTGGATAACAAAATTTTACAGGAAAACCTAGCGCTTTCTTCAAGAAATTTTTTTGGAATTTCTGGTGGAAGTCTAGAGGAATTCTACTGGAGTGATATTTGATAAAAAAAAGTCGATAGATTCTTATTTTTCTGTAAAAATTCTCGGGCATGAATTTTTGTTTTTTAAGTTTTTTTCGTATTAATTCATATGTTCATATCATTCAATGAAATCAGAAGGAAATACTCAGAAAATTCTTGTTCAAGAATTCTTATAGAAATAATGCCAATGGAATTAGTTATAGAGAAAAATCAACATCTTGTATAGTTTTTTCTAATAACAAATATTTGTTAAAAAAGGCAAGTGAAAGTTACATAATTTTTGATAGAATTGACGCAGAAAACAAATTTAATTTTTCAATAAAATTCTAATAGAACTCCAATAGAAATTGAGCAGAATTTCATAGAGAAATTCTAACAGAGTTTGCTATTCAATTTGTTCGTACGTTTTATCATCTCATTAATTAATCGTAATTAGTTCATGGATTATTATATTTGATTAACATATTAGTCTACTTAGACGAGATTTTTTTCTCGACGAAATATTTTGCGCCGATTAATTAATTATTTGAACAAGAAGAATTTTCGTCGATAACCCAACGTTTTGGCTCCCAAGAAAGCCTTCATCAGGCGTTTATTTATTCTTCTGATGAACTAAACATAACAAAAACACATAATATATCATGAATATTACGTTAATAATACCATAATATTTTTCATATGAATCACATATTTTATTATTTCCATAATTAATCACATTATGATCAGTGGTTTATGTTGGTGTATTTTCGTGATTGATTGCTTTCTCCATTCATTCACTGGCTACACATTAATCGCTTGTGTGCAGGCTAAATTTCTCTCAAAGGACTTTCTGCTTCAGAATTGAGTAACAAAAATTACAGGGTTGTTCCCTTGAAATAAATTTTGGAAGAACAATTTCCTTGAGAGAAATTCAGTCGCAGTACGTTAATTGCTTAATCGCACATTTCCCTGCTGAATTCACTTACAGGAATCTAGTTCAAAATACGCACGTTATTGTCAGCAATGAAGATAAATCGGAGAAGCCACCCATCGGCACTGTTAAATCATCAACTTTGCTAGATTGTATTAAAGAAACGGGTGATGAGGGAGAGAAGAGTGCACCAGAGAAGATCGTGACAGTCGATGTCAATGACAATCGTGATACTGAGAAGACGTTTGTGCTAACATTTTTTTTTCTTTCTTGTATTTGTTTTGGGGTTGATTCAAATGGAGTGGTGAGATGAGATGATTGAATTCGGGTTGAGGATGAGTTTTTGGTGAATGTTTTGGAATTTAAGGGAGTTGAGGGAAATTACAAGAGGAGATTTTTTGAAAAATTTGAATAGAAAATCCCAGCACTGTTGCAATTTTGTTAAATAAGTCCATTGATGTTTTTTTCAATTGAAAGTCTGGAAGTTTTTCGGACGTTTTTGAAATATGAATGTTCTGTAAAAAAAATCCTCATAAAAATGACTTCACAGTCAATAGATCAAGACTATTTTTCATAAAAATTGATCTATTGAGAATTTTCTAACAGAGATCTATTGACATCATCTTGTCATTATTCAATGCAAAATGGGTTTCATAGAAGCATCCCAAATTTATTGACTCCAAGCAATTTCTCGTTAAATTCTACCGAATATTTTTCATGACATATTTTCTATAAAAACCTTGCGAAAAACAAAAATTCTCAAAAAAAGCATTCATTGAATTTTTTGAATGCCTTGGAATTCATGCAAGACATTCGACAGAATATTTTGTTCAAATATTCTATCGATTGTTTCCTTTGTTGTATTGAAAGTCTCAAATTTTTTCGGACGTTTTTGAAACATAAATGTTCAGTAAAAAAAAATCCTCGTAAGAATCACTTCACAGTCAATAGCTCCAGACAATTTTTTTTTAAGAATGATCAATTGAGAATTTCCTGAGAGTTTCCTCGAATTATTCAATGCGAAATAAGTTTTACAGAAACACCCCAAATTTTATTTTAATATTTTCCATGAGGTATTTTCCACACAAAAAACTCAAAAACATAAATTCTCCGAAAAACCACTCATTAAATTTTCCCAGAATTCACTTCCATAGAATCCTCCAAAAACCTCTAATAAAAGAGAATTCCCTCACCCCACATCACCACTCCCCTTCTAAACTGGTGTGGGTTATGTGTGTCATTTACTCCAGCTGTCGTTGTCTATTCACCACTGAAGATAAATCAGCATGAGAAGCTCCAACCTCCGAACCCCTTAAAGTTTCATCCCAGCCGCTTCATCTACGTGTGCCTAAAAAACCCAATTCGCTCAAACACTCTCTAACTCGAAGCATCTCTGATTCCAGGTACACCTCGCCAATCTCCAAGACGAAGGTGTCAGGCCCCTTCGGTCTAGACATGGACTTCCTCAAGAAACTCGAGGAGAACGCCCCAGCTCGCTGGAAAATCCCCGAGCTAGCGGACCTCAACTGGGACCCAAACGAAACCGTCAACACCCTGAACCACCCTCCCACCAACGTGATCCCGATCACCTCTCCCCGAATAATCACAACCCGATCGTCCCTAGTCTCCCCAGTGAGCACCCCAGTCAGCAAAGAGGACAGTCTCGAGCGCAGTATAATCGCCATGACAAACACCGAATTATCAGCAGCCATATCAGCAATGAACAACATGGAAGCCATAATAAAATCCCCCCAAGCCTCAATGATCCAGTCCAAAGAAGACAAGTTCATTCACGCCATCAACATGCAGCTGAAGATGCTGCAGACATACCCAACAGTGGACGATCCAGAGGTGGCAAAAGGCTTCAGAATAGCTTTCGTAGTCACCCTGAGCTTCTACGACACTGGATTCCTCGGTAAGAACGTCTCCCTCCACGAGCTGAAGGACCTAGTCCACCAGATGTTGATTCTGCTGGCAGAAAACAAATTGTCTCACTTGAGCCAGGCTGACGCCTACATTCGCGTCGTCAACAGCATCGTAGTGAAGACAATTGATCATTCAAATCACACGACCATAATGTGCGTTCTGATTAAACTACTGCACTCGTGCGCTGAGAGCAAAGTCGCCCCCAAGTACGAGGAACTGGTGATGAAGTGCCTCTGGAAAATCGTGAAGACAATGCCCAACTGGGTGGGCGATCTGGACTACGACACGATTCTCCTCGAGGTGCACAACTTCTTCAAGGATTACCCCTCGAGCTGGTGGAAGAAACGAGCCTCAGACATGCCCCTCAGGACCATCAAAACTGTCCTCCACAGTATGACGAAGATCAAGGGTGTCTCGATACTCAATCACTTGACTATGATCAACAACACTCATGAGTCTGAGCTCAAGAGCTATCTCAATCGTCTGCTGGAGACTGTCAAACCTGATGACATCAACTCGGGAACTCGTACCATAACGAAGCAGAAGCATCTGTCGAAGACGACTCATGCGCAGTTGTCAGAGATATTCAAGAAGATTGGGTCGAAGCATCATACGCAGGAGGGTCTTGCCCAGCTATACGACTTCAAGCTTCAGCATCCTGAGGCCGATGTCCAGCCATTCCTCGTTAAGTCACACCAATTCTTCCAGGACTTTATTGAGCAGGGCCTCAAGGATATTGATCAGGCGAGGAGAAATCAGAATGTTAATTCACAGATGAGTAATCAGTATTCTGAGACTCCTGCGCATCCAGTGAGCATTGCTGAGGAGAGGGCCACCATGGATCCTCTTCAGAGGCTGGAGAAGCTTAGGGCACTTGAGGCCAAGTACCATGCCAATGCCCCCAGTCATTCAAACCCAACGTGAATTTCGTCGACTTGAAATACGTTATTGATGTATTTTGAGGGATTTACTTAGTGCGAGATCATTGCTATGTACATAGACTTTACGCTGACTTTGTCTCTCTGTATTCTTGTCTTGTTAGTTCAACTCATGTTTAAATTGGGTATTCATTATTTTTTAATTGACTCGGAGGAATAGGATTTTGCCCTTGTTTTATAGCATTTCGTTATTTATAGTTCTGTTTTCTCCATGTTTAGGGGGTTCATTGTGACGATTCGGTGATTTTTTTGGGAATAGTAACACGCATGAATGAATTTCATCGAAAACATAGCGAGTTTCATTGAAAATTCCAAGTTTGTTTACCGATTCTACTGATGTTTTTTAAATACAATAGTGAAGCGATAAACCGGTTGAAATATATTTTCACTATTCGCCAATTTTTAATGAATATCTCGGAATCTAAGGGAGATAACAAAATTTTTGTGAAAACCTTTTTTCTAGATCTTAATTCGCTATATAAAAACGGTCATTACCAAAATGTCGTTATCTCCCTTAGATTCGGAGATATTCCTCAAAAACTCAGCTGAGACCTAAATCGTCTTGAACGCCTCGAGGAATTTCTACAGAAAATGTCTGAATAGAAAAAGTTGTGCAGAAAGATCAAATTCTACTGATTTTTTCTGTGAAATAGTTTCTGTTCTGTATTTTCCATCGGCGAAGGACTGATGAAATTATCAATAGAAATCCAATAGAATTTTCTATCGAATTCGATAAGTTTTTCCACGAAATTTTCTCGTGTGTAAAGTGAAATCATATGTACTGATGTCAGGAGAGTCTATGTACTCAATGATTCTCCAGTGATTGGGATAAGATAAAGTAACCGTTAGTTTTGATTAGTATGTATAGTTGACCCTAAATGATATATTGATATTATTAAATTATAAACAATGTCCCAGTGTTATATCACGAATCGGATCCATATTTATGCTTAATTTTAAACTAGAAAATTTTCAATGGGAGTTTTTTTGTATGAAGTGAAAAGGAACAGTGGCTAGATTTGCTCTTAGGGTTGATAGGTTTATCGTCTTTTTTTTTTGTAGTATTAAAGTATTTTTTATATACAATTTCATGTTAGATTATTATGTAATGGTCGGGCAAGTTCAGTGTGTCGATTACTTGTTTTTTCACGCATCTGTTTCTTTTACTTAGAATAATGGAAAAAAAGCTGGACTTGAATGTTAACGCCGTTGATGATAAGTTTAATGCTAGATAATTGATTTAACTCTTTTGAATCTCGAAAATCAATGAAAGAAAACAATTATGTATACTATTCAATTTATTCGACCAAATATATCAACTCTTTCATGATTAATCGTCCTTTTTTTCCAGTTTTAGTATTCCTGATATGATGAACAAAAAAATTTCGACTCCAAGTCGATTAAAATGACTTCAAACGATTGAATGATCAAGCTTAAGCATTGTAAATCCCCAGTGGATTTATGATGCTTAAGTAATGTCACGAGAAATATATCAACTGTTGGCCCTGAGGGGCTGGTGCACTGCGTTGGTGAACAGACTTAGCTTTGAGAAGCTAAACAGCGCTGAGCGGCGTCACTAAGTGGAGTGGTGACCACGAGGGAACACCTCGGAAGAAACGATGGTTGAAACTCGGAAAGTAAAAGTGGAAGTAGTTTTGTGAAATATATATCAAATCCTTAATGATTAATCGTTCAATTTCATCAGTGTTGGCTTGTTTGCCATAACTAACAAAAAATTTTCGATTCCAATACGATTAAAATGGCATCAAACGACTGAATGATCAACTTTTGCAATTATGTATAGCCCCAGTTGGTTTATAATGCTTGAGTAATGTCAAGAGAAATCTTAGGGGAGGCACAGCCTTCCTTTTAAGAATATCCAAGTACCTTTTACAGCTTAGAGCAGACCACACTATAGATTCAACAATTTTCAATCATTAAATTTGTCAATTAAATTACGTGAGAAAAATTAGAAAAAATCCTGAGTATTCAGCGTTACTCAAGTTACATTTCACACAGAATTATTATTTTTTTAAACATTCGTTAATTATAAATGAATAATTCAAATTGTTTAAACATTCGGAAACCCTGTTTTTCTAGGTATGAATTCAGCATTTTCTGTAAACAATTTATTAACAACTAAAAAATTGAATGTTTATAAATTATTTATGGAAAATGTTCGTAATTTGAAAAAATTGCAATTCTTTAATGATTTTATCGATCTTCCTCATCAATCATCAATCAGTTTTTTGAAATGTTTTCAAATGGTCCAATATTGAGTTTCAAATTCAGACCTGCAAAGTTTAAATAATAAAATCGTTATGAAATGTTCGGAAAGTTAGGGTCAAATGGGGTTCAAATGAAAGCTCTCATGTTCGACTACAAAAGTAAAAACGCATTTCACAGGAGAAACAACAGCCAAAGTACTAGGATATCCTCGAAGAAAACTTTTAATTGGAGAAAAGATGGATCACCTCAACAACTACAAACAGCTACTAGGAACGGGAGAGCAAACTCTCCCAAATAAAAACAAATTTCAGTAGACTCCAAGTAATTAAATGTATTATAAATTCGTGTAACAACTCGACCCTGGGCCGAAAAAAAAATTAGTCACTTTGTATATACAAAACATAGATATAAATTCATCTACTACAATAAAAAATAAATCATGATTTTTTCCCTCATTAAATTTTCACATTAAATTCATAAACATCGAATCACCCAATTCGATTGCCCAATTACATTGGATCTAACGTCTAAATAAATTTTTAAATCTTCAACTGGAAGCATTAAAAGTACCATGATTTGCCTTATCAGTATTGTTTTTTCTCATCGGGACTAGCTGCAGTGTATCGCCGATTTTGACAGCTTCGAACGTATCACCAGGTGACACTATTGGTGCTTTAATCGTCGTTATTATCGCAAAGCTCGAGGTGTTATTATTGTTTGAATAATTTTCCAGGACAACTGGAGTCACTGGGGCAAGGGAGAGTTTTATATCACTTCGTTTGATGGAAATTAATTTCTTGGGATCGAAGCTCGATAGATTTATCACTTTTGGCTGTGAGGTCTTCTCAGATGGTATCGTTGGCTGAATAGTCCTGAATTTTGGGACACTCGTCAGCGGGACTAATTTAACTATACTCTTGGGGGTTGTATTCTGTATCAGAATCTTGGATTCCAATCGTTTTGCTGTTGGAGTTATAATTCTCTTCGTTGGCGCCTGCAATTTCGAGGTCGAGGCAGTGGACTTCTGGGGGATTTCCTCGGCGGTTGAGCCAACAACATTCTCCTTGCTGACAATTATCAAAGGAACATTTGTCACTTGTAATTGTGGATTCACCAGTGAAGTACCGGGACTCTGAAGTTGTTGTACCATTATGGGGGCAGTTGCGGCTGAAATGCACGAGTCGGAGTTGTATCTTGGGAATAGTTTGGTGCAGACTTTTGGCTTGCTCTCCTCACTGGAGTTCAGTCTCTCGAGCTCCATCTCTGCCACTCGCAGAATCGAATCGTCCAGGCGCTCCAGAGAGCGACTCTTCTTTTCGAAATTTGGAGTGCTGTGGGTGCGGGGGAAGGAAGAGTCTGAAATTAAAAAAATTAAGGGGTTCAGTCAACGAGTTTTGTCTTGATTTTTTAAATTTAGTGGGGGAAGGGGTGAGGAGAATTTATTTATTGATTATTTTGCAATATAATTTAAAGGGGGAAGAGGTCTAGTTAAAATTATCAAAAATTATTTTTTGTGAGGAACCTTATGAGCTAGAAAAGAAGGAACATGAGAGAATGGGACTTTGAATATTATTTCACATTTGTTGCAGAGAATTTCATCTTGTACGAAGGGCTCTCGGTATTTTTCTTTCCAAGAGATTTATCAAGATACATTTCTTCCAGGAAATTTTGTTATTGTCAGTTACAAAAAAAGGTATCTCGTTATTCCTGTTATTTTGGTAATATAACATGAAAAGTTGCTGACTTTACATTCACATTGAGACTGAATGGAGTTGTGTATTGCTCGGTAAATTTATTTTCAAAGAAGAGATCTGAAGACATTTTTTTTGTAAACTTAAAAATTTGGAGATATTTGTAAAAGACGCAGAAGGCTTAATTTGGAGTTAGTGAATCAGAAGTAAATTAATTTGCTAATTATTTTATGATTTTCTTCGTCAGGGTGAATCTTGAAGAATTTTAGCAAGAGACATTTGTTGAAGACATGATCATCACCTCCAAGAAATTCCTTTAATTACAATATATAGCTCTGGAAATGTTTGGGGAGTGGGTGGATTACGTTTGAGTCAGTGGATCCAAAATGAATGAAATTGCATTCATTCATTTTCATTCATTCATTCATTCATTCATTTCTCACGAGGCATATTCTCTAGAGAATTCCAAACTCTAAAAAAAAATTTCCAAATTCCAAATTCTAAACCTTATAATCTGGGAGATATTATAGTACGTAATAACTTGTGACTCAAATTTAAACCAATTACCTGTGTCAAATAATTTACGTTTACGAGGTTTACGTTTGTCAGTGATAGGAGTCTTGTCAGTGTCACCAATAAATGTTTTGCATCGAGTGTTGCTCAGAGTGTTGAGACTCAGTCCTTGAAGAGGTGCACTTCCCCCCGATTTGTTTGGAGTCGACATTCCAATTGGCGTGTGATGTCGAATCTCTCTAGTTGGGGTTTCTACATGACAAATAACAACCATAAATGATAAATTAGCAATTATTCCGCAGTTGAACGGCATCTGTTATCATTTCGTTGATAAAATAAATCATTATAATTGAAGACGTACCTGTATCAGTGTCTGCAACCTCGACGTCAGGGCCCACGTACTTGAATACTGGTTTTCTGATGGTCCTTTCGTCCATGTGCACCTTCTTAATCAGTCCAATTGCAGTCAGAACATTGGCAATGTCATATAGACGACGTACTTTAGTCTTAGAACGAGATCTCGAGGCGTTGTCAGTTATTTCAGGCGTTTGATCGTCCACGTCACCAATTAAAACTTTTGCAGCAATGTCTAAATTAATTACTCCATTCTAGAAATTGAACGAGAAATATTAACATTATAGAACCCATAAACTAATGTAAAACTGATGAAAATTACTTCTCCTAAACATCTCCATTTAATCAACAATGAATTGTACAAACTCTCGGAGAAAGTAAAATGATGTTTCGCCATTAAATAAATTTTTGACTTCATTTTGACAGATTTGTTTCGATTTCGAAGGGTAGGAAATTGATTTCTTATAAATTATTTATGAAAACAAAGTCGCAATCTTTAAGAATTACAGTTGTTTCACTAAAATTGTATGAATTTTCCTCAAAAAGGAGATTGTCTACTTCAAATTTACACCTTCAAAGTTTAAACAACGAAATCATTGTCTAATGTTCAGTAAATTTGAATCAAATGAGGCTAACAACTGAGGATATACAACTGTTTTACCCACGTGTACATTTTCGGATGCAAACTTACGTGTTTTATACAATCAATTTCATATTTTTACATCGCACACGACCAACATTACCTCGAATTCGATATGATCTATCAATATTTTACTGTTGAATCTATATTTTACCTTTTATTTGAACTTTAATCATAATATTTATAATATTTTTTCAATTTTCTTTACCAATAATTATCATATAAAGTTTCACAAGATAATATAAATTTCATTTCCTTTTTATATGTTCAAAATGCATACTTATTAAGTTACTTATCTTTATGTATTAATCAATGTTTTTATGAATAATCTCAAAAAATAACAAATGAATACCGCATAACGTAATTTTAAAAAAAGCCAATAAAAATGTTAATTTAAAATAAAATAAACAATGAATAAGTAAGTAAATAAATCAATCAATCGATGAATACTTCAATAAACAAGCAATTGAAAAAAGAAAACAACAACAAACCTTCATAGAAATAAGAAACAGCATCACGAATTTCTGGCACATAGCCCCCAGGCTCTTGTCCTCTTTGATAGCACAATCCCCAAGGCTCTCCTCCTCAGCAGTCTCCTCAAAGGACATTGTCAAATCCGAAATCCCAGGCGATGCATCACACTGCTCCCCAGTGTACGCCTTGTTAATCCTCTGAATCTCCTGTATCTGCTCTCTCATACCGATTCTTATTGCAGTAGATTTGAGTCTCGTTAATGTCCCAATTAGAGCACTCTGACCGTGCCAGAGATAGCGATTCTTCCCAGCCTTCGCTGCCATCTCCAGACTCTCAAGAACATTTATTATATCGTAAATTCTCCGTTTTTCTGTGCCCAGCGCTCGCGCTGTTCCATCCAGAGATATTTCTTTTGGAGCTCCATGCTCCATGTTGAGTGGATACATATTTAAAAATCTGAAAAATTGTTCGACCATAAAATTGTGGTTTTTGAGGAATAAAAGGGATAGGTCCTTTATGTAGTGAAACAAAATACGATTGATTGAATCCCTTTTTTCGAAAAAATTAATTAATTCTTAGAACAAGTCGTTTTGGGAGACAATGTCGAGAGACTTTTCTTGTTGGCGAGGGAATCACTCACTGGGGAGATAATTTGCCACTCAATAAAATTTAATAACTAGTGAATTTTTGAATTTGAGACATTTCTTGGATATAACAATCCGGAGGTAAAAAATGTATTATTTAAGTCAATTTCGACTATTAATCAGTTTCGAATGAATAGGTCTTGTTGACATTTTTTCTAAAGCGAATTGAGAGCTACAAAAAAGGTTTCTGTGAAAATTTCGCCATCCTCTTTCCATTTGAAGACATTCCTCAAGAACTCTGGTTAGAGCTAAGTCGACTTAAGGGGTAACAGAATGCCGCTAATTTTCCAAATTTTTGAACAAATTTCCTGCTCAAAGTTATTAATATTTCTCGAAGCCAAAGCACATTAATCTCCAGGAGGTGATGACGAAGATCAATGTGATTTGGCTTCGAGAAATATTAATAACTTTGAGCAGGAAATTTGTTTGAAAATTTCGAGGAAATGGTGCCCTTCTGTTATCCCCTTAAGGGGAAAAGGGACCCCTGTGTCTAGATGACCTTTTAGAATTATGTTTTCTCCTACAATTATTAATGTTTATTTATAAAATTACTTTATCGACTCGATCAATGCATTGTTGAGTCAATGAGGTAATTTCATAGATAAAAAATAATAATTGCAGTAGAAAGCACAATTCTAAATTGCAAGCTACTGAAATTATATCAACGAAAACTCCGCCATTTCTCCTCTTTCATCTCTGAGGAAACTCCTAACAAATTTTGAGCATTAATGTTCTCCTAAAAAAATTCATAATCAAGATAATTCAAACAAGATTCACAAACTTCAGCTCATTTTCCAAAAATTTAATTTCTTCAAGTTCTAACACAATTTTGTCATTTTGAAACTGATGGAGAAATAAAAAAAAACTAAATTTTCTTGATTGCTTCCAACGAAAAAAGCCTCTAAAAGTTCACCCCCTAAAATACCTCATGATCGAGATAACGCACTATTCAAAAAGATTGAAAAATCTGATTTTTTTGGAAAATATGTGGAAAAACTCCACTTCCCTAAGATTTGGAAATATTTCTCGAAAATTCCTTTTGGAATCATCTGGACAATGATAAATAATTTCGCTGGATGCCAACATATCCGGATTTTACTCACTTATTACATAACAACCCCAGTGATTTCTGCTTCCTCGGTAGGAGTTTGGAGCCACCAGAACCTGAGGGAACAGGTGAATCCCTCCTCTGAGATCCACCCTGTTGACTAACTTCCCCTGCACTTTTGAGATTGGAAGCGAGTGAAGTTAAAAGCCTCAAATTAGCTGTAGGTGATATTGGCTCTTTAACATTGCTCAATTCCCCAAGCACCTTGCGCTCAGGTGTGCATCTCCCCTGATCAGACATGATTCGATATTATTATTCTCAATTACCCGATGCACCTGAGGCGAATGACTCCCCGAGTCTAACCACAATGCACCACTCCCTGTATGCCCTGTGTATACCACAATACACTACTCCAAATATTCCTCCAAAAATGTGGAATTCAACTCGCGTAAATAATCTCAAACAATTCCCTGTTATTCAAGGATCCATTAGTGATCAACATCCCGATGTTTCTCACTGAAGAATAACATTATTTTTACGATAATTGTTTGGCTTGTACAGTCTCCCCTGGGGACCACTTCTCCCGCCGCTTCCAACCTCCAAAACTGCTATACGTGAGAAGAAAAAAAACCGCGCGAAAACGTCAGCAGAAACGGCGCATGTGGATGCGCCCAAACCCTCAAAAATAAAATCTTACATCGTATTGGTTCTTACCAGGGTTGGGCGTGTAAATTACATTGGTAAATTACACCGTTTTTTAGCGACGTAATTTACGTAAATTACCTCGACGGATTTTTTACATTTTTTACATTCCTTCGAAAAGCTTGCAATTTTCGATTACTAGAATGTTTTATTTTATTCCGAGTGACGAAGACGCAGTATTGGACACATAAAAAATAGTATATTATGGCCCTAGGACAGATAAATAGTATATTTCATCACTATAGTTAAAATTATGAACTAAGAAAGTTGAATGAAAATTAATAAACAGTTGGAAAATTGAACTGAATTTGAATTTAAATTTCAATTTAAATTTGATTTTTTTAGATTGCATTGAATTTTTTAATCAGTTTCCACAATAAGTTGAAAAATTAAAGCTGCCATTTTTTCAATTCAAAATATTTAAACAATATCGGTAGTGAAGCGGTAAAACGGTTCAAGTTGAAATTCGCAATTTTTTTTCAGAGACCCACACGATAGGGCTAATATAGATTGCATACATTTTAGATCAGGAAAAAACAATAAAAAAAGTGTCAAAGAGCGTTCGTTCTAGGGAACAATCGTTCCTAGGCAACGAAGCTATCGGAAAATATCCGATAATTTTGAAGCACTAGTGGTATTACTACTGAATATTCAATGAAATTTGATTTCTCAGGTTCATACGAGAAATGAAAACTACTGGAAATCGTGAAAATTCAGGCAACTTTTCTGCTGAATTTTCAATCTCTTGAAAATTCAATTGAATGTAATGCTTAATTTTCCGCGATCGGTGTGAAAATCCAAATTGTCGTTGAAAATTCAGTGATCATTCATTCATCATGAAAAACTTAATTTTATTGAATTTTCAAGATGAATCATGAATTCCACGGGCAATTTAGTCTGAAATTGAGGGCAATTTCCGAATATTGAAAATTCAAATGCATCTGTTACTTAAATTTCAAAAAAATTCTAACAATGCACTGATAGACTGATTCATATTAATTCCAAACGAGATACGTTATAACTATTAACGGATGGTAGAGTCGAATGTGACCAAATAAATATTCGTTAATAGTTAACGAATGGTTCGCTTGAAAGATGAAAATCGCGTCAAACATGCCTTCTCAAATGTGCATTCCTATTTTCCTATTTACTAATCCTATTTACTAAAGATCCTCCTATTTACTAAAGATGAAAGAAACGTGAAGGTGTTTTATATCGATATATCTCGAAACTGCCTGACCGCTAATCCTCAGTTCTGATTGGTCGATGAGTCACGGGAAGTAGTCGCTGAAAAAAATCCCCGGTATTTTCGAGTTCTTCAAATGCCCAAAAATTTTTTCTGCGTCATATTTTGAATTTTTTTATGTGTGAAGTTGATCTTTATATAAAAACATCTAAATTGCCTAATTGTTGATCATTAGAAAAAAAAAACATAGTATTTCTAAATTTTTTTCACTCAAATTATTCCTCACTTCCCAAATTTTTATTTTTTCATATTTATCATACGCAAAAATGATCAATTCTTGCTTCTCAGATTTTCATACATAAATTCTAAACTCTACAAATTCATGAACATTCTTCGGTTTCCCAAATAACTCGAGAAAAATCTTTGAAGATTTACGGTTATCTAGAAAATTGTGAAATTTTCCGAAGAATTCAAGAACTTTTTTCAGTTTTCTAGGAAATTAATTTATAACCCTCCCCTCAGTTTTCAACCATCACAGATTTCAATCAGAGTATTTTAAAACTTAAAAAAAGGAATTAATCGAAGATTAAAAATTATTCATTGATACTTCACTCTTCATTCTCTTGATTCTCTTAATTCTCTTCAAGTCATTATCAATATTTATAAAACATCTATGAGTATATGAAGTTTAATAAATTCGATTTCTTCATTTTCACACCAAAAAGATAAGCGTGCGCACAGATCTAGTTATTAACTATTAACGAATGAACATTTTATGAAACCGAACAGACCCTCATCTCCAACCAAATCCATTTGTTAACACACTGATAGAATGATTCATTTATTCCAAATGAGGTTCGTTAACTATTAACGAATAGTAGAGTTGAATATGACCAAATGAATATTCATTAATAGTTAACGAATGGTTCACTTGAAAAGTGAAAATTGAGTCAAACAAGGCTTTTCAAATATGCGTTTGTTAATTATTAATGAATGAACATTTGGTGAGACCGAATAGACCCTACCCTCCAACCAAAATCCATTCGTTAATAATAACTAATCCGTTCTATCAGTGCAATAACTAATCCTTTCTCTCAGTGTGAGCGATGTAATAGTACACTGACAGGATTAGTTATTGTTAACAAATGGATTTGGTTGCAGACTAGGGTCTATTCGGTCTCACCAAATGTTCATTCATTAATAATTAACAAACGCATATTTGAAAAGCCTTGTTTGACTCGATTTTCACTTTTCAAGTGAACCATTCGTTAAGTAATAACGAATATTAATTTGGTCATATTCAACTCGACCATTCGTTAATAGTTAACGAATCTCGTTTGGAATAAATGTATCAGTCTATCAAGTAATCCAAAAAATGGTTCTCGGCGTGCGTCAATCGCATTCGTCGATCTCGCGCATGACCAGTAGTCCACCACTCCGCGAAGGCGCGAAATAGACTCCAACAGAGACCACTAACCTTGCGGAACGCCAAAAAATCTTGCGAAACGTAGTTCGATCACGATCAAGAATAATGGCACAGACAAACGAAAAAATTAAGAACGGGGTAAATAGTGAACACGAGGAGTATCAGTACTTGAGACTGATCGAAAAGATTATTGCCACAGGGGCAAAGAAGATGGATCGCACAGGGACCGGTACTTCTGCGCTTTTCGGGACTCAGATGCGATTCAGTCTGAGGGATGGTGCGTAAAAATTAATGCTCCCTGTTGCAATTACTTGTAAATAATTAATTAACATGCAAATGATTAACTACGTGATGCCATTGAGTTGTCGTTGTTGCCCAAGATTTCGAACGGATCGAGCAAAAATTATGATGTTACGAATTGCATCAATTGGTTTCTATCATGTCTACATTCTTCTTTCTCTTTTTACAAACCTCTTCTCTGAAGCTCGCATCACTCTTTTGTTAGTCTTATTTTTTTTTAGTTTGACGTTTTTAATTCAGTAGCGAAGTGGTAAAACGGTTTAAAGTAACTCTACCCTTACGGTAAATTCAAAGATTATTGAAAACTGCAAAAAAATTGCAGAAAACTCGATTAGATTCGGAATTCTAATTTTTTCTCAATTTAATTATCGTTTTGGTTTTTCAAAGAAGAAATGTTTAAAAATCAGGATTTAACTCAGTGTCTTATATGAAAATCAACATTTCCATTGTAATCAAAGATTAAAATCTGAATTTTTTTTCATTAAGGAACTTCCGTAGTAAGTATACTTGGTGAAAATTTCGAAATGGTATAAAGACGCAATATTTGGATCATATGTTGTTGAGCACATTCAAAAACTATTCCCAAAATTTCAAGTACCTTGTCTACCCCATTTTCGAAATATACATCGTCAAAAATGGAAAAAAGACAAAAATTGAATGTTTGGCGATGCATATCTCAAAAATGGGGTGGACCAGGGAGTTGAAATTTTGGGAATAGTTTTTGAATGTGCTCAACAACATATGATCCAAATATTGCGTCTTTAGACCATTTCGAAATTTTCACCAAGTATACTTACTGCGGAAGTACCTTAAATGTGAAAAAATGAAGAATTTTTTTTTACCTCGTAAAAAAAAATCCACCGTTTTGCAAAAAAGTTTTATTATTTATTTATAAGGGCGAAATATGCCCTACGGGGCTAGCGCACTGCGTTGGTGGGCAGGGAGCCTATTCTCGACTCAGGATCGTACGGTCGTACGACAACGCGTCACATGCGGCCCATAAGCGAACTGCTGGGCCGTATGCGACTCGCTTTCGTAAATACGATCGTACGATCCTGAGTCGAGAATAGACTCCCAGGGAAGAAACATTGTTTGGAAAAAACTGGAAAGAGCATTTTCGGAAAAACAAATATGCGAAAATAAAAAAACGGGATGAAGGAATACGAAAAACCGTAAAAACCGAGAGGTATACGGTGAAATGGAATGAATGGTATGGTATAAGAGGGAAATGTTTGAAAAAATATCAATATTTTACGAAATTTAATTTAGATAATACTGACTGGGTATGAATTTTTTCAAATTTTTTCCATGCAATTTAGTTGAAAAATTAAAAAACTGAGAATATTCAAAAGTACAGCGTAGCCCGGCCGAAGGGTAGAGCTACTTTAAGTCGACTTATCTCCCAGTTGAGTTTTTGAGGAATATCTCCGAATCTGAGGGAGACAGCGAAATTTTCGTTATTACATTTGTTGTAGCTCTCAATCGACTCTACAAAAATGGTTATAATAAAAATTTTGCCATCTCCATTAGATTCCGAGATATTCATTGAAAACTGGTCAATAGTCAAAATTGACTTGTACCGTTTTACCACTTCGCTACTGATTTCTTTCCCTCTTCGTCCCATTTTTCCTATTACGAGATCGAAGACGCTCCGCGCGTCTGACAATTTAATAAATTTTATATGATTCATCACGTTATGATTTAAGTTAATTGGAATCAATATTTTCTTTCACGTATACAAATTTCTATAGTATTACTGAGGAGAAATTTGTGGGAACCGATGAAAACTTCGATTGAAAATCCACGATTTTTTTATTGCAAAGGGATGGAAATGTCCATCGAGGATCAATAGGAGATACGACGAAAGCTATGAAAACTTGCATGAGAAAGCGAAGGATTTTCCTTAGAAATCTTTCGAAACTTCTGTTAAGAGTCCTTGAAAAATTCGTCGAAATCCATGAAAACTTCAATTGAAAATCAATGCATACTCCGTTGGCAATCGCCAACACCAACATCATCAGCACTATCAGTAAGATCAATATCATCAACAAAATCGGTATCATCATCATGTATGCGATTTCCCTCTCAGATATTTAGGAATAAACGTGTGACATCTCCTTTTTATATAAGATTACATAATAATAATCGCATAAAATTGTCATTTTCCAATTCTCAATTTTTGTCATTCTACTTATTCTATCGAAAGACAAGGATAGAATTCGAATTTATGGGTATTTATTCATTATTCAAAAAGAAATATCGTTTTTAAAACTTTCCGCAGAGATCGAAAAATTAAATTTCTTATTTCTTCCCACCCACGTTATTTTGCATTTTGTCATTTTTTCTCGTTGAAATGAGATCATAAAACTTGAAAATATTCCCATCCTTCTCACATTTGAAGAAAAAATAATAATTTCAAGTTTTCTCCGACACAAATAAAGAGTGTCAAAGAGAGTCAAACAACAAGGATAGAAATAAAATTGATTTGTATTCTTTTATTATTCGAAAAGATCTATATACATCCCTGAAAATAAAAAAGAACGCAACAAACAAAAAAGAACCGAAGAAGAAGATGAAGAGGATTATGACGATTCCGAATAAATGATTCAACAATTAAATTCTGATTATGGAAAACTTTGTTGAAACCATTCATTTTTCCTGCATTATTATAAAAATTGATGAAATCAAGAAATTTCTCCTGAAAAATGTGCGTTTTACACGAAATAACACGTCCTGTCCTCTTACTTCACTACTGAACTGAATAATTGCCCCACCTCCATCAATCTGCAGGAATTTTCCCACTTCTCACCACGAAATCGGTCTTCTGGAAGGGAGTAGTGGAAGAACTCCTCTGGTTCATCAGTGGATCCACAAACGCCCACGAATTATCAAAGCGAGGAGTGAAAATCTGGGACGCCAACAGCTCACGTGAATACTTGGATGCTTACGGCTTCAAGGACCGTGAGGAGGGTGATCTAGGGCCAATCTATGGGTTTCAGTGGAGACACTCTGGTGCCAAGTACACTAACATGCATGCAGACTACACTGGACAAGGTGAGACCTCGTATTACGAATTCAGTAACGAAGTGGTAAAACGGTTTACCTCGTATGTCCGTTACCCCTTAATGTATTTTTGGGATTTCTTCAGGCATCGATCAACTCGAGGAGGTGGTGAACAAGCTGAGGCACAATCCGGACGACCGAAGGATCATAATCTGCGCCTGGAACCCAGCAGACATTCCCAAAATGGCTCTTCCACCCTGCCACTGCCTCGTCCAGTTCTTCGTTGCTGACGGAGAGCTCTCCTGTCACCTGTACCAACGAAGCGCAGACATGGGCCTCGGGGTGCCCTTCAACATCGCCTCCTACTCACTGTTGACGTATATGCTGGCACACATATCTAATCTGAAGGTAATCATCAGTCATCAGCTGGTCCATATGCGAAGCAATGTCACGGTTTAAGGCCCGGGTGTACTATCTTTCAAATGTTATCTGGATTTTTTTCATCTTTCGTAATCCAAAATTGTCAACTGAGTGGTACATCATGTAGAAATACCCAAAAATTATGATAAAATGATAAAAAAAATAGGAAAAATTCTGAACTTTTTCAAAGAGCGTTTTTAATTGAGATTCAGAATGAGTTGAAAAAAGTGGAAATGACAAATATCTGATTCGCTGTGGCAAATTATCTATTAGCTGTCATTTTCCATGGCGGATAACAAAACACTAACTCCTCATGGGAAGTGACAGCTAGGTATCTCAATTTTCAAAATAGTAGTATGTAGTCATCTGCCATTTTTATGTGATAAAAGTGCGATTAAAAAATTCTCCAAAATATTACAACTTTTTTCAAAGAGCCTTTTCCGTAATAAATGTCTCTGTGCAGTGTGGAAAAAGATTTACAAAATCAGTCTTCCCCCTGCATGATATTGGGTGACAGGCCGCCATTTGTCACCGTAAATCAGATACATTTTTCAATTTCTTGTTATTCAACTTATTCTGAATATAAATTAAAAATGCTCTTTGAAAAAATTAAGAATTTCTTCTACTTTTTCTTGATTATTCATTCATAATTTTTCAAAACTTCCGCATGATGCAGGACTCAATTGACAATTTCAGATGACGAAAGATGAAAAAAAAAACATCGAGATAACGTTCAAAAGATAGTACCACCCGGGCCCTTCTTAATTCGATTTTAACGATTGACCAATTTTCTGAATGAATTGTCCAATTTTCCGAGATGAATATCTCGGAATCCGAGGGAGATGGCAAAATTTTGTCAGGAACTTTTTTGTAGCACTCAATTTGGTCAACAAAAAAGCTCATTACGAAAAATTTATTATCTCCGTTGGATTCGAAGATATTCCTCGAAAACTCAGTTACTAAATAGAGAATTCTTATTGGGCCACAGCCTGGAGAATTCGTCCACACTATGGGGGATTGCCATGTCTATTCAAACCACATCGAGCCCCTGCAGATACAATGCCAGAGGGCCCCGAGGCCATTCCCCACCCTGAAAATCACCAGAGATGTGAAGGAAATCGATGACTTCCTGGCTTCTGATTTTAAATTAATTGGATATGATCCTCACCCCAAAATCCCCATGAAAATGGCTGTCTAAGTAGTTTAAGAAGCTTCTCGGTCATCTGTGATTCAGAGAGACTAATCTATGGATATTTCATTCAGAATATGTATTAATTCCGTTGAGAAGTGATGAACCGTTGTAATTGTAATCACAACTTTTAACTGATTTTTCACGTCTGAGTGTACTATTTCGCTTCTAATGATGTTACGTAGGTCTAAACGCTTAAAGAGAATTAAATTTAAGGATATAAAGTCTCAGGATCTGGAAAATCAGTATTTGCCTATAAAAACCAGTGAATTCCACTAGGATAAATGTAAAGGGATAATTCGGAGGACAACTACCAGAATTATTCAGAAATCACAAATGTCTTAGGAATAACTTTTACTTTATTTACCCTAATAAAAATTATATTCTCGATAAACTCATTCTTAAATTCCTATCATCTCATAATAGCTCCATGTTTATGTTTCAGATTCTGTTGACACTTCTTCGTTCATTGTATTTCCATTAATTTTAAGGTTAACGCGCCACACAGATCGGTTACACAATCAATAACAGATCATTGTCTCTAAAAAGTTAATATCTCATTCACTGACCACATACATTTGAGATGCTCCATTATCACATTATCCATTTTTAAAATAAGTATTTCATTAGTTCGATAAACTCAGGGACAAGAAACGAGTGGAATTGAGAAAAGAGTAATCGTAGTGTGCACGATGGCTCAATTGAAAGGCTTTGGGGGAGAGCAGAATAAAAAAGGCATCACCAAATTTTTTAAGAATTACATGGTGATGTTTTTTTTCAATCCAAAGTTCAATCCGTCTCCTTCGTAATCAGTTTCGACTGATCTCAATTAATTATTTTGTATTTCAATTATGTAGACATGATTTGATAAAAAGGAACTCAGAATATTCAGTGTCCCCTGACCATTGATAAAGTTTAAAAAAATTTGATTCAATTTTGAGGTTCGAAAAAAACTTAAATTTATTCAATTACTCTATCGATCTCCAGTTATGAACAATGAAGAAATGTCTATTTAAAAAATCAAAAAAGTAATAAATGTTTGATATTAAATCTCTCCCCTGTAATCAGCACAGGAAATAAAATCTATTTTGCAATTGGAAATAACGTTCCATGGATAACAATCAATTAGTTCTCAGTCCCAACGACTGACTAATCATCGAAAGCACTGATTTAATTATGAATGTTATTACAGGGCTTAAAATCCCTACATTTCTGATATTTTTCATTGAAGAAAAGAATCATCAACTAATTTTCATGGCGATATCGAAGATATCTAAAAAATTTAATACCTAGCATTATTTTCTTGATTCTGCTATCGAATCTACGACACAAGATCTCGGGATCATTCCAATATATAATGAAGAAAAAAATAAGGCCAGGCTAATTTTATCGTCGCATCGTTGGAGCGATTTAATATTATCAAAGAACCGCTGGGACAATAAAATTACTTGGCACACCTGAGCATTTCAACTACATATTTTTAATATTCTGCTTTCATTCTCGATCAATGGAGCAAGTAAGTTTGTTTTCACGAATTAATAGTAGTATTTTTTTTGTTTTTTTTTTCTCTTTATCTTAAGACTTTTTTTGTTGTATTTTTTTTTATAAAATAGAGATGTATCTTTTTAAAGGATTTTGTAGAGATAAATTTGGGAATATCTCGTAGAATTCAGGGGGGGGGGGGGGCTAGCANGGCTAGCACATTTGTACATCATTCGACTGTGAAGTACTTAGCTGATGCAGCTGCTGAGTTACAGCCAGTGTGCCTGCTTCACTTACGGTCACAATCACCCAAATAACATCTGTAAATTGATATTGCAAGAATTAATTTTTATTTATTTGTTGGGAAAATAGATTGGACGGGGCTCTTGGGGATTTCAAAGTCTGTGGAGCTATTAGACGACTTTTGATGGATGTGGAGAGATGGTGAAGAGCGGAAGAATGATAAACTCAATTGATTTATTTCTGCAATCGTTAAAAAAATGTAATTTTCTATGGATTGAAAATGAAATTTGATAGCATTTTTAACTCAGAAAAAACATTAGAAAAATCTGAACTAAAATTTAAATGTCCACTTTGTAATGAAAATTCGTATACTAATTAAAAATTGCAATTTTTTAAGATTTCCAATTTCTTCTTCAAATCATTTATAAACAATCCATTTTATACTTTGAAAATATTGTTTCATAAATCGTAACTAATTTCTTTATGTGCAAAATTTTACCAGAAATCTATTAAATGTAAAAAAATCTTGAGGTATAAACCATTTCCAAAAAAAGTGATTTTTTGCCAAAGTCAACTAACACGATCTTGACCTATCCATAAACTTTTAAAATTTTTTCCACACAATTTAATTAACAATTTCAAATATTGTAAACGTCTAAATCCGCCCTGTGGTTCACCAGGAACTGTCAGAGGCATTTAGATATGTTTAGGAATGCGCAAAAACGGAATGTTCCATTTAAACAAACTGATGAATCAGTTTACACATTAATTTCACGACTTTGAGACACGTATCACTCTAAAAATTTTGTCTTTCCCTCAAACGACGTTCAATAGATCTCCAAGGCCCCTCTACTTTAATCAAGCTTTACTCAAATGATCTCTCACCCCCGAAATAGGATCCAGAAGCAGTCATCATTCTCCATTTACTCTGAAACGTTCCCAATTCACTGGGACTCGTCAAAACGACACTCAATTCAGTTGTATCCTTTGGTGGTAATGCTGGCACTTCTACCCTCGTGCAGTCACCCATAACAACACCACCGGTGTGCAGTAAACAAATGCCCTCTGGCCATGGCTCGGTGCCCGAGTTTTGCACACGCCATGATTTACGAAATTTTGTATTTGGTGATACTGATTCACCCTCGCCAATCGTACTGTCACAGAGGAGTGTCATGCACGGGAGTTTGAACGGTGACTCGTAATCGAAGTAACTGCATATTGCTGCTTGGAGGTTCCTGCAAGAAAAACGACAGTCATGGTGGGGTGAAGCGTGGGAGAGGGAGGGGTGCAGCGGGACATCTTTACTCAAGGTATACCCCAAGACAATAGATCCTCGACAAGAAGAGATGAATTTTACTATCACATGAAAATAGGGGAGGTTGGGGTAAAACGGACACTTTTGACTTTTTTAAAAATGTTAATGAGGGGTTGAAATATTGCTAAAATTTAATAATTTCTTCTCAATACAAAGAACAACTCTTTCCCTTTATGACGCGCCTAAACTGAGCTCAATTGATCAATTTGTTTCTGAGTTATGAATAATTTCAAAAAAGTCTAGTGTCCGTTTTACCCCACCCTCCCCTATACCTGAAAAAAATATCCCAGCATCTTTCGTTAACCAGATAAATTTCCAATGACGTCCAAAACAAAATAAAGAGCTGCCTCCAATGCAGTCTCTCCCAAAAACAATAAACCACAAAGAAAGTTGTGACAAATCCCCTCAAACCCTCCCCATTCCCAACCAACAAAGAGATTCCAGAATNAGATAAAATTTAATAATTTTTTCGCAATACAAAGAATAATTCTTTCCCTTTATGATGCGCCTAAACAGAGCTCAATTGATCAATTTGTTTCTAAGTTATGAATAATTTCAAAAAAGTCTAGTGTCCGTATTACCCCACCCTCCCCTATACCTGAAAAAAATATCCTAGCATCTTTCGTTAACCAGATAAATTTCCAATGACGTCCAAAACAAAATAAAGAGCTGCCTCCAATGCAGTCTCTCCCAAAAACAATAAACCACAAAGAAAGTTGTGACAAATCCCCTCAAACCCTCCCCATTCCCAACCAACAAAGAGATTCCAGAATCCCAGAACCATTAGCGTCCAAACAAAGGGCCCTCGACCCCCCCAAAGATAAACCCAGACCAAGTACAAAAATTGATCCTCAACCAGGTCAAAATATCCTAAGATTTTTTCCCCGAAAACCAATCATTAGCTAGATTAATTTTCCATTACAAATAAATTGTGTCCAAAATCCAATAAACGATCAAATTCAATAGAATCTGTTGGAACAATAGTAAGATACAAAGAAAATTACCATAATCCCTCTAGGTTCCTAAATTCTAGAGCTTAGGCTCTAAATTCTCAAGTTCTTCTTAATTCTCCAAGTTCAATAAATAAATTTCAGTTCTGAACCTAAATAAAAATTCAAGTCTCCTTTCTCCCTCAATCTCCCCAAATCAAATACCCACCCCCGTGTTTTCGAGCAAAAATCTCAAAGCCTATTCCCCACAGGAGTTTACCTAGGGGTGGTTGGGGTAAAACGGACACTTTTGACTTTTTTAAAAATGTTAATGAGGGGTTGAAATATTGCTAAAATTTAATAATTTCTTCTCAATACAAAGAACAACTCTTTCCCTTTATGACGCGCCTAAACTGAGCTCAATTGATCAATTTGTTTCTGAGTTATGAATAATTTCAAAAAAGTCTAGTGTCCGTTTTACCCCACCCTCCCCTATACCTGAAAAAAATATCCCAGCATCTTTCGTTAACCAGATAAATTTCCAATGACGTCCAAAACAAAATAAAGAACTGCCTCCAATGCAGTCTCTCCCAAAAACAATAAACCACAAAGAAAGTTGTGACAAATTCCCTCAAACCCTCCCCATTCCCAACCAACAAAGAGATTCCAGAATCCCAGAACCATTAGCGTCCAAACAAAGGGCCCTCGACCCCCCCAAAGATAAACCCAGAGACCAAGTACAAAAACTCCTCCCCAACCAGGTTATGTTCACCCTTGTCCCTTGCACCCAATAAATAATTACCAATTGTTCATATCCAGGAAAAACGTGGCTGTCGCTTCATTGAGCTGGCTGCCCGCCAGTAACCTCTGCAGTTGCTTCACCAGATCATCCTTATCGGTCGTCCCCATGCAACTGAACTGCTGCAGCAAATGCTGATCAAAGTCATTGTCGACGTCCATCGTAGTGACGATAATCACTGACTTCTTGTCAAAAATTCAAGACGAAAAATCCACCCATCCAATGCCACTCACTGCCTCATCTTCTTTACCACTCCAGTGTCCACTCAGCTAATCCCTGTGATTTGTTTTTATTTTATTGATGAGCGAAAAAATTTAACCAACAATTTTAAATGTCATGATATCTAAGACGTGTGACGTTAGCTTATCGTGTTTTGAGAGTGCCCAAGGTGCATTCATTTGTCCAGTACTACTGGTACAGTCGAGGTAATAAGTCGAATTGAAATATCAACAATCGAGGTACAGTCTGCCCGGGGATGCATGAGTCACCTTGATGCATTGAGGTCCCTCTGGTGGGGATAACCGTTCTGTCAAATGGTCAAATCGAGGAGATTCAATCCAATTTGGTTTACCAATTTTTTTCCACCGATTTTTCGCGAGGATGAGGACTCAAGAGTACTCAGCTGATATTATGCAGCTACATCGATAATTTTGTTTTGGGTTTCTGTTACGTAATCGACCGGAGTGCCCATTAGTCCATTAGTGAGGTTAAGTACTTATAACTGTTTTTCTCGGTGAGTTATGAATGGGGAAGATATGGTTTTAGCTGTTTGGAGGTGCTGGCAACATTAGTACGCCCATCGGGTCATGAAGATCTTCGTAAATGTGAGTGGAGATGAATTATTTGTGGTCCAGGAGAGGTGGCCCTGAGGGGCAGACGGGGCGATTGGACTGATTTTGGAAAGATTAGTGTTTTGGGGTTTTTGATGATAATTTCACATGACTGGTGCTGATGGGGATCAGTTGAATGTCACACAGTTGTCAATGATCAATTAAATCGACTGGGGTAGTTGGCATTTTTTATATTACTCGATATTTTGTCCATTCGTTTATTTAATCATTTAGGTGTTTATCTATTTAGTTATTGTGTATCAAATTCTACTTCAATTTGATTCATTTATTTCCTTGATATTACAAACGTTTTTTTTTGCTTTCTTTTCTCGGTCTATAGATTAATATATCAGTGTAGTTATACTGGGTTAGGCTTTGATAGTTTTGTTTTCTCATAATTTGATAAGATCAAACTATTGCAATATAATCGCATAGAGAGAAATTTCGGTGGCATTGGTGAAACAATGTATGAAGTATATTGTTTTTTTGAGAATACTTTCGGAGTTACGCTTTGTAAAATGCTTTCGAGTCATCGAACATTTTTTTCTTTGAGTATATTATCAAAAAGTTATGAGTATTTGTCTTGGAGTCCATTTGATCAGTCATGTAAATCTAAGAGATAAGAAAAACCTAGCGTTTTCACCGGGAAATTCTATTGCAATTCTTTTGGAATTTCTATGATTTTTTTGGAAATACTCCTGAAAATCTCCCAGATTTTTAACATATCTTTGATAAAAGATATTCTTCGGTATAAATTTTTGCAGGGTTTTTCACTGCATTTTATTTCGGTTTTCATTACAAAATCAGAACAATCAACATCTACTAACTTTTTTTGGTCAAATATTTCAATAGAATTTGAACAAAATTTTTTTTATTTTTCAATGGAATTCTACTTGATTTTTCCTAGAATTCCAATGCAATAAAATCTTCAAAAAGAACCAAACAACTCTTTCTAAATTAATAAATTTTTCTATCTGACTTGTTTTGAGATTTCTTCTGCAGAAAAAATTCTTTGCTATAAATTATTTCAGCTTTCGCTGCATTTTGTTTCGTTTCTCATTACAAAATCAAAAAAATCCACATTTACCACATTTTTTTGTCAAATATTCCAATCGAATTAAAAAAAACATTCTTATTTTTCAATAGAATTGTGCTTGATTTTCCCTAGAATTCCAACAGAACATTGTTATATTACCTCCAACTACGCATTATAAACCCCAGTTACTGCAATTCTTCTCTTCAGCCATTGAAAAACCCCACTAAAACCCAAAATCTTCAAAAAGCCCAGGGACTGCCCCTTGGAAATCCCCACCCATAATTCACAAAAACCGTTCTCCCCCAGGTAATTCAAGAATCACCACCCACCTCATTCTAAACCTCCCCCACCCGCCAGCCCCCATAATGCAGCCTCACCCCGAATGAAGCAACCATAGCCCCCGAAAAAATGGCTGCAATTCGTCACACGCTCCAACGCGAGGTGTTCACCCCGAGCGACGAGAAGCTGCTGAGCGTGTGCTTCGTATCGAAAGCCTACAAGAAGAAGAAAACGAGTTTCCTCTGCCTAGCGACAACGACGGACACCCCAGGCTCCCTGCTGCTCTACCAAGTAAAGAAGAACGACAAGAATGTCTTCAAGAAGAAGCAGTCCTGGCTCCTGACGGACATCCAAACAGTGGACGGCGTGAGCACTGATTCGATGGACATGGAGCTGCACATAGACAAAATGTACAGATGGTCAGCGACGACAGCCCAGGAGCGCCGGACCTTCCTGAGCAACCTGTACACCTACTCCTGCAGTCTCCCCCAGCGTCCAGAGTTCAAGACCATCCCTAAGGACTGGCTGATCGACCCAACAGCATTGAAAGAGAGCGACAGTATAACGTTCACCCCAGACCTGCTGACCCCATCGATATCCTCAGACTACCAGCCCATAACCGAGAAGGAGGCATCAGACCTCGAGAAATTGGTGTCAGACTGCAACTACGCGATCTCCAATGCAGAGCTCTTCATGGAGACCCTCTCAAAAGACCTGTCGATCCTGGACGGCGAGAACGTCCAGTCGGTGCTCGCCTCGGAGCCCCAGGTGACCCAGCTGATGAACGGCATCGAGGCGGCCATAACCGAGGCCTCAATCGTCGAGGCTCGCCTCACAGTCTACGACGAGGCTCTGGGCAGGATCAGGGAGGTGATGGCTAGAGTTGGACAGAAGAACCAGGCCATTCACACTGCTAATCACAACGCCAGACTTCTTCTCGATCAGCTTGATGCAGTGATAACCCAGCTAGACATATCCAATCATCACCAGCATATCATCAGCGAGGCTGAACTGCCTGGGGGTCGAGAGGAGCTTTCTCTGGCTGGTGCAGCACTGCTGAAGGCTGTTTCTGCCCCTTTGCCTCCGGGACTTGATAAACTGTCTGCTGTCACTGAGCAGAAGAGACGACTGGACAAACTCAGGGCCAAGTTCGCTTTGCTGGTGGCGAGACATCTCAATAATCTTTTCATTCATCTGGGGAATGATGTGGGGGAGACTGGGGTGTCAACCACGGATTTGATACTGCCCACTCACTCCACTGTTCACAGGGAGCTCGAGCCTTATACGGAACTCATGCAGCTGCTGAGGGCTCTTGATAGCAAGGCTTTCGCACAGCTGAGCAAGGTTTACACGGGGACCATGTCTAAGCTGTATAAACGGGATTTGAAGGTGTTTTTTGAGGAGGCCAGGGGGAGACTCATCAGTACGAGACCTCAGCATACCTCCAAGTCGGGTAGTCAGAAGGGGGAGGATCTCATCACGCCGGCTCCCATGTGCCTTCTGAGCAATGAAGTTTGGGCGCCGCAGGGTGAAGGTGGGTTGGATTTTTATGCAGTAGGATTCGTCGTTTTTTTTAACTTCGATGTTAACAGTTTTTGCTTCCGAATGGACGCACTGTAATCGTCCAATTTTTGGTTTGATTGGAAATTATGTAGAATGGTCTGAAACGTAAAAATACGATGTTTGGAGGCCATGACTGTGTGAGCATGTCCGCCGCCACATTCTCGGTGGTCAATTTTTAGAAAATTCAGTAATTAAGTGGCTAAAGTAATTCCAAAAAATCTGAAATTTTGTCAACTTCGTAGGTCTTAATGAGCAGTAACTCTGCGAAATTTCAGCCTGGTCGGTCCAATATTTTTTTAGGAAAAGCGATTCGTTTTTAAATCTTTTTCAGCGAATATCTTCAATACTAGAGGACCGATTTCGATTTTTTGTTTTCAAAATAAACGTTTCGATACCTCCTTTTTATCAGTTATTTATAAAATTTTTTGTAATCATTCCAGCTTGTGCAAAAATCGAGATATCAACTTGTTTTTCGAGGGAAAAATGAAAAAAAAATCTTTTCACTATTTTGTCTTCATTTTTCTGATATTCGGTCGTACTTTTAAAGAAATAAACATTATTCGAGAGAAATTTCTATTGGAGAAAAATTTGTGGATGCGTTAAAAGAAGATAAGTCAATTTTGACTATTGACCAGTTCTCAATCAATATCTCGGGATCTAAGGAAGATAGCAAAATTTTTGTGGAGTCGATTTAGTGCTACAACAAATGTAATTACGAAAATTTCGCTATCTTCGTTTACCACTTCACTACTGAATTATTCTCGAAAGTTGGGTTCAAATGATTCTTGAGAGCCCAAATCCTCCAGATTTCATGTTCCCCAGATTAGATTTCTACAACCTTTATCCATTTAACACGCGACATGTCCAAATCAATGAACATTGACAATCGTTATAGGTGCTCTCCTGGACTCCCTCCTGGACCGAGCTCTATCCCAGCTCCAGCCAGTGTGCCTGGCAGAGCAAGCCTTCTGTGTCACCTTCTTCCAACTCGATTTGGCACTGACCCCATCCAAGAGTGGAGACGAAGAGGTTGACAATCCCAACAGTGGAGCCATCTCCCCAGGGTCTGCCACCTCAACAGCAAGTAAAAAACTGGAGAGACAGGTCAACGAGGAGGTCAGAGCCACGATGTCTGCGATTTTTCCGAGTCTCGAGCCAGAGCTCAACAATTTCATTTCATTTCTCGACAAGATCGACTCGTTCTGGTGCATGTTTGTCCTCGTCAGATTGTCCCAGCACGTAATGTCTGCCCAGGACACTGGATCCTTCCTCTCCATGACCTTTGCCTCTGCTCTGGTGCAGGTCAAGAGGGCTTTCGACAAGTTCATGCAAGCACAACTCCAGTCAATTCACGATACTAAAGTCAATAGGAGACACAAGTGCGGAATCCTTCCTTACGTCGATAATTTTGGGCCCTTCGCAAGGGCGGGGGAGAAGATATTCAAGAATTCTGATCGAAAAGTTGATCTTGAGAAGTGGTACACTAAACTGGTTGGTGCTATGTTCGAGGGAATCAGTGTTCACAGCAGTGAACACCACAAAACTCCCCAGGAAGTCATCAAGATGGAGAATTTCCATCATCTCTATGACTTGCTGAGTCAGCTGAAGATTTCTGTTTTGGATCACGAGAGGAAGGAGGCCAAGCAGAAGTATCAGGATGCACTCAAGGCGTATGTGATTCAGTACTTTGGGAGGCCATTGGAGAAACTCAATTTGTTCTTTGAGGGGGTCCAGGCGAAAGTGGGGGCTGGGGTCAAGGAGTCTGAGATCAGTTATCAGATGGCTTTCAGCAAGCAGGAGTTGAGGCGGGTCGTTCGGGAGTATCCTGCCAGGGAGGTCAAGAAGGGACTGGAGAATCTTTATAGGAAGGTGGAGAAACACTTGTGCGAGGAGGAGAATCTCCTGCAGGTATTTGGAATATTAATTGGAATAAATGATGAGATTTTCCAGCGCTTGATATAGTATATTGTCCATCCAGGGCGGAAAGTCATGTTTTCCCCCCCGAGGTGCACATGCTATTTTTTAACACGCCTGCAAAGGAAAGTTCGTATTTTGCTCTTTGATGAGCGGGAGCAAAGTACGAACTTTCCGCGGAGGTGTGCGAAAATAGTATATTTCAGTACATGTGGGGCAATATCGTCTTTAACGTGTGTTTACAGCATGAGCCGAAGGCGAGTGATGTAACCACACACGTTAAGGACGAAATTTCCCAACAAGTACTGAACAAAATTTTATGTCACGAAGCCTGAAACCGGCTGAATTAGACACGAGACGCGAAGCGTCGAGTGTGTAATCCAGCCGGTTTCAGGCATGAGTGGCATAAATACGTTTTCGTCTCGATAACTAGGAGTTGTAGGAGGAAATGTCGATGGAATAACAATCGTTCATGAGATTGAAATATGCCTGAGAAAGTTTCAAGTTCACATTTTGGATGAAGTCAATCTTTCATGATTTATTGATATATAATTGTATTTATAATGAATTATTTCAGGGGAAAATTCCAAAAGTGTTGAATCAAGAGACATATTTTCCTTGAAATTCAATCAATTAAAAAAAATTGCGAATGGAATGGATAATTATAAAAGAATTGTAATTAGATTTGTCAATATTTATTAATTAATGTTGAAAATCCCTGATTCTAATGGTTTTCATCGTTATATGAGGACTGTCAGGAGAGATAGAATCGGTTTAGAGATGAAAACATGATTGAAAAACTTTCAGTTCAAATTGTTTTGAAAAGTCAATCTTTTAAAACTTATTGAATATATTGAATTATCTTCATGATAAATTATTTCAAGAGAAAATGGCGAAAGTGTTGAATCAAGAGATAGTTTTCCTTGAAATTCAATCAATCAGAAAATAATCGCAAATAGAATGGGCAATTACAAAGAATTGTAGTTGCATTTGTCAATATTTATTAATTAATTTCGATAAAATCCCTGATTCTAATGGTTTTCATCGTTATGTAAAGATTGTCAGGAGAGATAGAATCAGTGTAGAGATGAAAACATGATTGAAAAACTTTCAAGTTCGAATTGAAAAGTCAGTCTTTTAAAACTTATTGAATACATTGAATTATCTTCATGATAAATTATTTCGGGAGAAAATGCCAAAAGTGTTGAATCAAGAGATAGTTTTCCTTGAAATTCAATCAATCAGAAATAATCGCAAATAGAATGGGCAATTACAAAGAAATATAGTTGGATTAGTCAATATTTGTTAATTAATTTCGATAAAATCTATCATTCTAATGGTTTTCTTCGTTATATTCAGGTGGTCTGGAGAGAAATGCAGGGTGAATTTATAGCCCAGTACATTTACATCGAAGAATTGATCCAACGATGCTATCCAGACAGTAACGTAACCCTGGAATTCACCATTCAAGATATTCTAGAATTTTTCTCTGAAATAGCCAGATCCCATTGAAGAGCAAATAAATACAAAATCTTCACTGGCTCCCGTTAGATTCACACTATGATACTCATCACATAAAGGATTGTAAATAATTCGAAAATAATGTATATTGTACATAAGACATGTTATTAACATTCAGAAATTATTTTCATAATTTTTCTTTTGTTTATGTCGATCAAGTTTGCAGTTCAAATTAAATAGTAAAAGAGGGAACAGAAATTGTTGAAATCGGGAGTTTTATTCCTTCAACATGATTTACTGCGTACGAGTTACAGAGGGCAGACAAATATGCCAATAAAACTTGTACAATTTATAGTTATTACCATTTTTTTGTTTCTTCAGGCTGTACAACACTGCTCTAAGATTATCTAATTTCACAAGTTCGTCTGCTCCAAATGTTTAATTTAATCGTAGTATTTCACATGAACGTATCCCTCGGGAAGTTTGGGTCCCGAGTTGAGGTAAAGAGCATCGTTCGTCTTGGCCTGAGAATTCCAAAGAAATTATTCATTCATCGGAGGAATATTTAGGACAAAAGTGCCTACAAGCCTAGTAAAAGGAATTCCTGAAACGCTTTCTAAACCCTTCATTACTCATGTGTTGTATTATCAGGGGAGTGTGAGGTGGTGTGGATTCGTCTGACTTTTGAAAAAAAAAAAAAATGATTCAGAAGAAATTCAATAATTACAAAGAATGCACTCCTTCAGCCTTTTCAGAACAATTTTTTCCAGATCGTCCATCCAATTTCTTTTCAAATTATTTTTCAGGACTTTTTTTTCAAGTTATTTTTAATATTTTTCTTCAATACATAAACATTACGGAACTGAGTTCGATGTCAGATGCATATTCAAACCTCTCGTTTATGGAGCTAATTTTCATAAAAAATTCTGACATTTCCTCTGTCGAATGGCGCAAACAAAATTTCGATTCAATGAATTACTGATTTGTTATTAACAAATTTCCGACAATCGCCGATCTTGGCAACCATTTGTACTATCGAACTGCGATTAGTCTTGAAAATTCCAGAAAAATTTGTATAAAGAAATACCGTAATTGAACAACTTATTGGTGAAAGCTTAAGATTATCATTAAATTTTAGATGATAATATTTTAATCAGCAGTGTAGAAATTATTGCGTATTGAACAGCGAATTCGAGTAGACGGGAGGTCGCCGGCCGATGAGGACACAGCGCAAAAGTTAAATTGAAGAAAATAGTGCTGAAGGCGCCCCGCGTGAGTAACGAAGGGTTGAGCTCCAAAATATGACCAACTTCATTTAGATTATGTTGTGCAATCACCAAGTATTGAAGATAAACACCCAGAAAAATGACTCAATAAAACTTTCGATTTGGAATCAAATAAACGATTTATTCGATCCAATGAAAAGATTACTTGATAAATTCGCGCTCTTCGTCGTCTCAAAAATGACACAATTTTCAACCGACAGTCTTTATTTAGATCAAAGAACCATCCGTTTATATTTAGCAAACTATTTATTCGACGTTGTATAAAAATGCAAATAAGAATCGTTTCAACTTTGAATAGCAGCTTTACTAAGAGCTATATGCAGTAAATCAATCCAGCAAAGTTTATTCAATTAAAATAAATTATTTCTCCGGGTGTAATGAGGTAAAAAAAAAATAAAAAACATGATCATTCATAATGAAAAATACATAATCATTCTGTACGTACGATTGTGAAGGCGGTCACTAGGAAAGTGATACCTGCAACAAGTTGCACGTTCAAAATCTTCTGTTTCTTGTCATAGTACTCCTGCCACGACCCTTGGGGCACGGGGCAGTCATCCATGGTGGGGTATTTGAAAGGTTTGTCATCTGCGTGGTAACGACGGACACCTGGTCAGGAAAAAAATTTAAACTTACCCACGTCTTCCTCTCATATTGGGAAATGGTAATGAAATAGGCCTTTTCATCAAAGAATTTGGAGAGAGCAAAGTATTTCAAATTATGAAAATAATTCTACGATGTTTTGGAAAAGACAGTTAACACACTCTCGGTTCGACTCAAGATCCATTCGAGACGAAGTCATTGTCGATGGGCTGTAATGCATGGGTATGAAGGGATAAACAAATAATGATGTACAATCCATCGTCATTTTTAACTTCCCGGCTCGAAGGGAGGAAGATATTGTAATGACCCCGAAAATTGAATGTGGAAATTTCATTATTTCTCCAGGTTTCTGTTTACAACCACGGCCCCTACTAAATTATTTGAACTTTACTTTTTTTAAATTATTCATAATTCAGAAACAAATTGATCAATGAAGCTCAGTTTAGGCTCGTCACAAAGGGAAAGAATTGTTCTTTGTATTGAAAAGAAAAATTATTAAATTTTATCAACATTTCAACCTCTCATTAACATTTAAAAAAAAGTCGAAAGTGTCCGTTTTACCCAACCTCCCCTAAATGTTAATTATTGTAAGGTGCAACTTCTCATAATATTACTAAACCAATGATTGATGCTGATGCTATTGGCCGGTTTTCAATGAATATCTCGAAATCGAAGAGGGATAGCAAAATTTTTGTCATGACCGTTTTTGTGGCCCTCAATTCGCTCTATAAAAAAGGTTATAACGAAAATTTCGTTACCTTCCTTAGATTCGGAGGTATCCCTCGAAAATTCAGCTATGGGATAGGTCGACTTCGACTTGAACCGTTTAACTGCTTCGCTACTGAATTTATTGATCATGAAATCATCATATCATGAAATTTTCTTCGTAAAAGGTTTCCGGCTGATCTCTTGAGATAATTCACCTTCAATAAATTAGTTTCTGAATTACGAATGTTTTTAAAACGAAAAAAACATGCATTTTTATCCCGCTTTGCCTTCAATCCTGAAATATTCAGCAAAGACTAAGATCAAGTGCAAGTGTCTCATTTCATTTTACCCCTTTGGCCACAGTGCTACTAAAACTGCTAGGTTATGACTCCGAAACATTTTCAAAATTCCTTTGCTAAAAAAAATAAGCCAAGAAAACTCCGAGAAAAAATTAAACACCACATGAATGAAATATGGCAGCAGAAATGTTTGTTCTCTGGATGAAAAAAACACCTAAAGAGAGGACTCCTGAAAACCTTCAGTCCATTATGTAATAAAAAAAACCTTACTTCTTCAACTGCAGAAAACAACAACTCAATCATAAAATTGTTCCAAATTACTCACCAGAACGGACAACCTGTGCCACTGGCCTCACAGCTCGTGTCAGCATTGTTGAACAAATAACAATTGATCACTAATTTATTTTGCAATGAACCGAGTGAAAAAATGTGCAATCAGACGGGTGTCGTCAAGATTGCCAAACTTCAGACATCAGGTGCGCCACGTTTCCCAGTGACAATGCAAAACAACCGCCAAGATTTAAACATACTCAGAGTTCATAATAGGGAACTTGCATGCAGCTCACAGAGATGCTCAAGTCTCTCTAATGCCCTATTCACATATTCCTCGTGACATGTGAATCGCTAAACGACGAAAATTATGGAGAAATATTGCGTAGATGTCTTATGATAATTCATTGAAAATCAGTCGTTTTCGAGGCCAATTTTTCGGTCATGACGTCACGAAGACGGTCAGGCGACGCTTGATTGGTTGTAAGAGAAGAGAGTGGGGAGTTGTCGTCCTCCATTGGCAGAGGCGCAGGTCAAGATTGGGTTAGGTCGGCTTGAGCTATTCTGTGATAGGTCCAGCCCTCGACCGTCTGTGTGACGTCATTTTCGATTTCAAAGCGTTTGAAATCTTCAACTTTTAATAATTAATTATTAATTAATGAGGAATATTTCAAAGGTTTGTGAATGAAAAATGAATTCAGTAGCGAAGTGGTAAAACGGTTTAAGTCGACTTATCTCCCCGTTGAGTTTTCGAGAAATATTTCCGAATCTAAGGGAGATAGCGAAATTTTCGTAATTACATTTGTTGTAGGTCTCACTCGGCTCTACAAAAAAGGTTATAACAAAAATTTTGCTATCTCTCTTAGATTCCGAGATATTCATTGACCAAACTTGAGATTAGAAAATTGAAAAAAAATCATGTAAGTTCGCTATATACGTAGGGAAATTCTCATGCTATAAACTTTATCATTCAGTAGTTTGAAGATGTTTGTAGTTAAAATTAAATAAAAACTGAGTGTCTAGCCATGGATAAATCATTTCTACTCGCAGAAAAAATTGTTCGAAGGTGAACTTGTGTTTTTCCTTGACATTATTCAAGCACTAGAATTTGGATGAGTCTCATCTCATCCTGAAAATTGGTCATTCAGTAGTTTGAAGTAATTTATTGTTAAAATTACATGAAAATTGAGGATTTAGCCCTAGGGAAATCAATTTCACTTGTAGGAAAAATTCTTCCAAGTGTTCTGTCTACCCTCTGGCGGGTAGAATCGTGCAATCTAACTATTTAAGATGTTTCGTTCGAAAAAGGTCAATAATGACATTCATCTAGAATGCATATAGGATATTTAAAATCACAATTAATGATTATCTATGAATTTTGATAATATAGTTTCATGCTAATTCGAAAAATCGCTATAAGGATCCGCGCATTAGAAGCTGAATGGGTGTTCATAACTTGTAAACGAAATCGAGAAAAATAAAAAAAATTCGGATATTACCTGACAACTGCGATGAAGATCCCATAAAAATTTCGATTCAATGTCATTATTTTTTTGTCACAGAAATCCCTTAAAGTCTTAATCAGATTTCGTATACTCAAAAAAATCCATCTACATAAATTGGGAAGAAATGAACTGATTTCCACAAACTCCTCCAAATATGATGAAACAATCACACGTATGATTTAATATGGTTCAAAAAATCACAGATACACACTGTTGGATATGTACAAATAATTATATTCCAATCACGCTATAATTTTATGTCCCCTGTCATATCGGTATAAACATACTATATTTACAATAATCATCATTTTTGGTTGACATAATTTGGTGAACAATGTACTGATACCTATTCATTGATGAAAATAAATGTTCTCGAAATATTCGTAACTCATTGAACTACTAATGACATGATCTCATTTCTCCCTTATAATGAATATTATACTGCATTGATGAATTTGTTCTTGAGTTATGAATATTTTTTGAGTCAGAGATGTTCATTCTATCCCTTTCTCCAATAGCAATTATTTCCCCTTAACATTACACATTGGATGACAGACTGAAAGAACGCACTATCAATTCCATATACACATTATTGTTGGAGTTAATTAAACCACTAAAATGGATAAACAATACTCTGAAGCTAATCATGTATGAAAAAATTTCGGTCACAAACCTAGCGCTTTCTCCGAGAAATTCTTTTGAAAAATAATTATTCTAGGGAATACTATTTGTTTTTGCGTCAATCCAATTAAAAATTATGCAACTCTCCTTTGAATTTTTAAATAGATATGTGTTTATAGGAAAAAGTGCAGATGTTAATTTTTCTATATAACTCATTCTGTTGGAATTTTTTCTCTTAGAATTCTGAGGCGCAAATTATCCAATTTTTTTTTGCATTTTATTATGAGAAAAAAAATGGGACAGAAAAAAACTTGGAGATTTTACGCCCAACAATTAGTGTAGAACTAAAATCTATTGAATTATTTCCGTCAAATGTCTCTCAGGAATATGTTATGGTCAATCTGTATAATCTCCAATAGAACTGACCCAAAAACAAATTGATTTTTTAAATAAAATTTTGATAAAGATTGAATGGAATTTCTTGAGGAAAGCCCTAGGTTTTTCCATTAAATTTTTGCATACGCGACTTAATATCTTCAAGAATGAAATCTAACAGTAAAAGAGAGCCCACAGCCATTACAAACTGATCAAAAAATAATTAATCTGTAGTTGATAAAATTGAGGCAATTCCAATCGTTCTCCACCGAATTTGTTCCATCAATTCTCTCAACTGTATAATTTCGCCTCCTCATTCCATTAATATCTTTCACTTCTACTCCTGTTCGCTACGTAATTACACTGTTGCCACTGGCATGTGGCTCAGTGAGATCCTCGACAGAGTCAAATTGGTTCTCACTGTGTCCTGGATCACTTGGGTAACCAGAGAATGAACCTGCTGGAGCACTGTGTGCTGTCGGTATCACTTGATCTGGCAGGAGGGAGGTTCTCTCGTTGACATTTCCCCAGGTCTGCTGATAAGCTCCACGACCGCGAATCCTTCGACTCAGAGACGAGCCAACAACGCTGAAGTGCTCTTTTATATCATTGTGAACGTCCGAGACGTCCCACATAGCCCTGAAACGATGAAATTAATTTTAACAATGATGTACCTCCCCTGAATAGAGAACAACACGCACGAAAAAATTTAGTAGAAAAACCTATCGAATTCGCTAGACAATTCTAATGGATTTCTATTCAATTCAAGCGAATGCGCCAGATTTTTCTACCAAATTTGTCATACGTCATTATACGAAATCCAACAATTGCTGGAGTATGCAATTACCTAAAGGCATCCCACCAGGCTTGGCTCTGTGCTAAATTAACATATGGCTTGTAACTGAAGCTGTAGTGGTGTGCCACAGCCGCTAGAAACATCTCTATACAAATGAGGAAGTCTTGAAGTTTAGCGGAAATATGCCTAATGTCATCAGTATTATCAGTGTCGAAGATATTCGATATCACACCGCAATAGACCAGTATTGCTATTAGAACTCCTTGGCTGTAATTTTCGAAAACATAAAAAAACGATTTTAAAAATCATTTTGCGGAATTCCAATTTCAAGTATTAATTAACCCAATTAAATCGAATTAATCTGGGGCGATCATTATCGGCTTTCGACCTCAAATTCTGACATCCCTTTTATCACAAAACCCTATAAAAACTCGATTTTTCTGTTACCAAAGATGACAATTAAAAAACAAATCAATAATAATTCTCGTTTCTACCCCCTTGTCTGCAAATTCTGTTATTCATTAATTTCGTTGTATTTTCTTCCTTGTTAAGACGGAAATGCAGCTTTTGGTGAGGTTTTGTCCTGGAGGAGACCTCAGGGTTTAAGGTCGCAACGTCAACAACGATTTTATGAAATTAATTCACTTAGATTCCATCCTTTTTTAACGACTAAAACGCTACAAAACATCGATTTCAATAGAAAAACTACTCTCGTAGTGAAATTTCAAGTGATAAAGCTTTGAAATTTTTAACAACGACAAATTACATGAAATTTCTGTATATTTCTTCATTGACGAATCAGTTAATTTCTTGACTATTCAAGTAATTCTCGATTTTCCGGTTCATACGGCTTTGAAATACATTGAAAATTTTGAAAATTCAAGCAACACGTCTTCTGAATTCTCGATCTATCAAAAATTGAATGTGATGCTCAATTTTCACAATGGGTTTGGAAATTCAAGCTTTCATTGAAAAATCAATGATTGTTTAATTTGAACAATCCAACTTGCTTAAATTTTCAAGATAAATGAGAAATTTTGTGAACGCCTTCATTTGAAATTGAATTCACACTCATAAACTACAATAAAACTCAAAACTACAAATTCATAACTACAACGCAATGAATTATCAATCAACTTACAAAAATGAGAAGAAAACCACAGCTTTGATGCACAAAAATTTGCCAATTGGTTTCATTGGCTTCAGAGCTTCAGCATTGGCTCGATAAAATAGCACTAAGCAGTACATTGCCACAAACTGGGATAAATTATTGAAGGCAATCATGTAGGGGAAGGCAACGTCCCCACGAAATTCACCTTCTCCATAGACTTCATTCAAGGCGCATATGCTGAAATGCAGTTTATCAGGAATTAAAAGAATGTCTTGTTTGTTAACACAATGAGATAGAGGAAGTATGCGCTATGCGTCAATCAACTCACAATGAAATTAATGTCGACAAAGGTCTGACCACGGCATACTGCAGTATACCGTGTTTACACATGTGTACAAATTCATGTCCCATCTCCCAATCTGGTAAACAACAGAGTGGAAACATGTGATGGACTTGTGGTGATATTTCCAATCTGTGCTCAAGCTGATGATCGGCATTGAGGTAGGCCAACAGGTACATCATGAAATTGTATATTACATATGCCTCGTAACACTCGCGCAAACTGTCTACGTATATACTGATTTTTGGGTAAATTAAACCTAGCCACTGGAAATTATAAATTGTGGATTATAGTTTGGATGATATTTTTTATATTTCGACATCTAATAAAACAAGAGTATTTTAATTTTTTTTTTAGGAGAAAAGAAAATTAAATTAAATTAAAAAATTTAATTCCATTCATTTAATTTTATTTTAATTTAATTTTTTTTTAAATTGAATTTTAATTAATTTAATTAATTTAATTAAGGCCCGGGGGGCTAACTATTTTTGGAATGTTATCTGGATTTTTTTTATCTTTCGTAATCCTAAATTGTCAATTGAGTGGTAAAAATTATGATAGAATGATAAAAAAATAGAAAATATTCCGAGCTCTTTCAAAGAGCGTTTTTAATTGAGATTCAGAGTGAGTTGAAAAAAGTGGAAATTACAAATATCTGATTCGCTGTGGCAAATTATCTATTAACTGTCATTTTCCATGGTCGATAACAAAACACTAACTTTTCATGGGAAGTGACAGCTAGGTATCTCAATTTTCAAAACAGTAGTATGTAGTCATCTGCCATTTTTATGTGATAAAAGTGTGAATAAAAAATTCTCCAAAATATTACAAATTTTTTGAAAGAGCCTTTTCCGTAATAAATGTCTCTGTGCAGTGTGGGAAAAGATTTACGAAATCAGTCTTCCCCCTGCATGGTATTGGGTGACAGGCCGCCATTTGTCACCGTAAATCAGATACATTTTTCAATTTCTTGTTATTCAACTTATTCTGAATATAAATTAACAATACTCTTTGAAAAAATTAAGAATTTTTTCTACTTTTTTTTTTGATTATTCATTCATAATTGACAATTTCAGGTGACGAAAGATGGAAAAACCATCGAGATAACGTTCGAAAGATAGTACACCCGGGCCTTAATTTAATTAAAATACTCTTGTATCTCAAAATTTGCGTTAAGACTAGGGTATCTCAAAATTCACGTGAAAAATCGTTTGGAATCTCACATTTACCTCCTCTCGACAGCTGAATAAATGGTATGAATGCATCAAAAAGTACAAATAACGTGAAGTAGTTCACATTGAAAGAGAAATAAAATAATTTGCGAGTTCCGTGAGACTTAGAAATAGATGTGAACAACAAGGTTTCACATGAATTTTGAGATACCCTCCTCTTAACGCGAATTCTGAGATACCCTTGTTTTAAAAATAAAATTGAGATACCCTTGTTTTATTAAAGGATGTCGATTTATCCACTGAGAAAAAATTTCTAATATTTAGTGTTTAGGTTTTCGACGTCCGGGGTAAAATGGGTTGGGTAGGAATTTTTTTTTTTGTATTTATGTACCCCATGATATATTAAAACTCGCTCAATAATTATCTTCATCAACCGAAGACTTTCAAAGTTCACCTGGGTCCCCCTGGGCTAATTACTTGTCTGAAGTGAATATATTTCAGATATTAGAATTTTTTCTCAATGAAGGTATTCATTTCGTTTTCACTTACGGCATTCACTGCATATATTGGCACCATCCATAGTATCCTGTCGCAAAGAACGTAAACTTATGAAGAATTATCTTAAGTTGATATGGACGTTGTGGGATAATTGTTTAAAAATATCGCGGACGAAAATAAATAATAACAGTGACAATCCAGTAGTGATAAACTGTAGAAAGTCAATTTCGCAATTTTTGTTGAGCGTTCATTTACCTCGGGAACTAGTGGTTTTCGGAAAATTCTCGTGAGATTTTCAAAAATGTTAATGACTCAATAGGAACACTTTATCCAATTTTAATTGATAATTCTTCGGAATGGCAGTTGTGACTATAAAATCATCCAAAAGTGTTCACTGTCCCACAATTCCTCCGTTTTTCTCTCAAAAATAATTTATTACCGAGATGAATCAACATTGAACAAGATCTGAAAAATTAACTTATTCTGTTTTGCTATAATTTTGCTTCCGAATGGTAGAAGCATTCTATCCCCAAATCCGAAATTTCCAATTTTTTGTGACAGGATAACAAAGTTTGACCTCCGGCGTTGGTATTAATACATGTCATGGTAAGTCGAAATAGTATATGTTTCGTCATTAGGCTGAAAAAAACAGTTCTGGCGAATATGACTTTTCTGTACTGCTTCTCACGATTTCTCGTCTGGGAATTGGTATTGCATACTTCCCAAACTCGAAAACTGGAAAATCACTAAAAAAAATCTTGTCCCGAGCTGCTGCGATGGGGTTTTTTTACTCGTGTGGTTGGCCAGTCCTCGCCTTCGGCTCGGACACCAACGCCACACGAGTAAAAAACCCCATCACAGCAGCCCAGAAAATAGTATATTTCGTTACGAGTGCGGAAAAGAGTTCTTTGGCTCGTGGGAGGTTTATAGCACGAGCCGAGGCGAAGCCGAAACACTTTTCCCACGAGTATCGAACGATATTTTTCATCACAATGTGTAGAAAAGGGAAGTTTTAGGCACGCGAAGCGTGCCTAAAACGTTACTTTTTCGCACAGCGTGATGAAAATACTATTTCAGTCCGAGTCGAAAGCGAGGGCCTCAAATATGTGAGCTAGAAAATTTTGTTTATGCCACGTGAGAAACAATATTTTTGTCATAACGGCTGGAATGACAAAAATTCTCTTTTTAGGCCATATCCGGATGTGGGAATGTACGTGTGTATGCGACCGATCGTTTTTATCGATAACGGAAATCATAATTGTTTAAATGAATCCAATTGTGATTTAAAACATTCCACCCAATGCCATCTTGTCCGAGCTCGATCATGAGAATGATTGCATTATCTGTTGAAAAATTTTATTGTCAAACCAGTATTTAGGCAAACGTAAAAAAATTTAACGTTGGGGCAATGTTGGATCCCTGAATTCAATTTGAAATACATCATTATAGAAATTCCATTCGGAAGTAAATTGACTAAGTTGTGACGAAAGAAATTTCCCACTTGTTTGTCACTCCCGTACTAACTTGACTCATTAATCACCATAATTAAAATTCATATTGTATACGAAGAAGTTATGTGATAGGCTGGGGAAGATGGAGAAGGTACTGAGAGGCAGGAGAGAGGAAGGCAAGTGGAAGGAGGTAGTTAAATAAGTTGAGAAGAAAGAAGGAGTCGAAAACAGGCGAGAGGACAAGGAGAAATCGAAGGAAGGAGCTCGGAAGCAGGAGGGGAAAGTGATTTTAAAATCCAAAAACTATGCAAATGTGATACAAGAGACTTACCTGATATTAAACTAATAAAAAATGAATAAATATATGAAGTGGACTATAAGTGAGTAGGTAAACAAGTAAATAACACGAGATTAGAGATGAAAATGAAGAGCATGGGAGGCTTGTGTGGATGTGAAACAAAGAAAACTTTTGTAACATCAAGGAAATAAATTGAATTGAAAAAATTCATATTGTACCTGATAATGTACTTCTGCAATCTCGGTTGTGTATAATAAATCATATGCTGGACAATCTCATAAAAAGCTATTGGTAACGCTAATAGGACGAACCCGCCGCCCACAAGGGCACCCTGATCCTGCTTTTTGAATCCATTCTGCATGGATTTCGTCAGCAATATGGGCACTAATATACATATTAAAAGTGCGTAAAGGCCAGTGAGCACTGGCAATATCCATATTCGCCATCGTCGCAAAATGTTCGTCATTTCTCATCACTTGTAAAGCAATTGTATCAAAATGTTACATAATTCCCACGTTAATCCACTTCTGCAACAGAATTATTGAACTAAAATTATTGATTCAGTTTCGTTAAGGATCTTGACAGGATCGATAGGGGGAAAGAGTACAATATTCTAGTGTCCCCTTTCATCCGAAAAATCCATAAATCCGGAAGGAATTATGGCATTGAGCGAAATTACGTGATACTTTGCGCCCAAATGAAGAAAAATAGAGACAATTTTATCGTTTAATCACTGGACTAATCACCGGTGGCTGAGCCAGTACTGAGCATGAAAATTTGTCCTTCACTCGCCCATAATCTCTAATTATCCTCATGAAGCCTTATCAAAAGCCAACAACGAATTTTCTGTATTCAAAAATAATCAATGACTGGAAAAAACAAATTGTTTCCCATTCCACATTATTTGTTTCACTTTCTTATTCATTCGAGACTTCAACGCCAAAGAGATTACAAATCTACGCATCAAATTCGAGCAAGTGTTTTTGTGATGTCAAAGTATCTCTCACAAAAATATGAAAGAAACTAATGCGAGTGCGGACTATTCCAAACTCTAGTGACAGAATAATTTGTTCGAAAAAAATTCTCATGGAAATTAAATCAAGATGTATTATTTTATTTCGTCGTTTCGTTACTCCGATTATTGCTTCAATTGACACTTGCCGAAACACTGGTTGAGCCCAAAGAAGCCACTCGGGATTTTACGCATACGCATCACGGATACGCATTTTGATGTATATTCTCCTTCCACCCGGTGCCTGCACTGACAGTCTCAATGAACTGAGGAAGAGCATGAGGAATAGAAGATAAATTACCCTTCCCTCTGATAATCACTGGATTAATCGCGAGTCAGTTCCCCAGTGCTAGGCATAAAAGTGGAATACTGGCTGATAAGAAACAAAATGTTGCAAAACAAATTATTTGTAATTCCTGTCAATTTGTCTAATTGCCTTCGTCGAAACATCTTTAAAAACTATTTATAAAAAATAGCGAAAACGTGTACTATTCCAGTCTCATAACTGCAAAATTTGGAAGAAAAAAAATTTCATTGAAATGAGACAGAGTAGGATTATTCATTCCTTCGTTTTGTCACTCCACTTATTACTTCGTTTGACACTTGTCAAAACATTGGATGAGCCTAAAAAACTCGAGATTCCACGCATGCATTTTGACATGAATTTTCTCTCAACCCGGTGTCTACGGTGACAGACTCAATGAACTTAAGAAAAACATGAAAGATAGAAAATTAATTATCTCTCTCTCTCTCTCTGATAATCATTGCATTAATGATGAGTGACTTAGCCATTACCAGGCATGAAAATCGAGTACAAACAAATTGTTTCCAATTACAATTTGTCTGCTTTCCCGTGTCGAAATATCATTAAAAACTATTTTAAATAACAAAATTTGTTCGAAAAAGAAATTCATTGAGATGAGACAAAGCAGGATTATTCATTCTTTCGTTTTGTTAGTCCATTTATTACTTTGTTTGACACTTGTCAAAACATTGGATGAGCCTAAAAAACTCGAGATTCCACGCACGCATTTTGACATGAATTTTCCCTCCACCCGGTGTCTAGCCTAACAGACTCAATGAACTTAAGAACAACATGAAAAATAGAAAATTAATTATCTCTCTCTCTGATAAACATTGTAATGATGACGAGTGACTTAGCCATTACTAGGCATGAAAATCGAGTACAAACAAATTGTTTCCAATTACTCACAATTTGTCTGCTTTCCCGTGTTGAAATATCTTTAAAAAACTATTTTAAATAACTAATGAGAACGTATACTATTCCAAAGTCTAGTAACAGAAAAATGTGTTCGAAAAAAAATCCCATTGAAATGAAAAAAAAGCAGGATTGTCTATCCTTCGTTTCATTACTCCAATTATTGTTTCATTTGACACTTGTCAAAACATTGGATGAGCCTAAAAAAATGAGTTATCCTTCTCTCTGATAATCACTGCCTTAATCCCGAGTGACCTAGCCAGTACTAGGCATGAAAATCTACAATATTTCAAACGAATTGTTGAAAAAACAAATTAGAATGTGTACTAGTCCAAAGTCTAGTAACAGAACATCTCATTCAAATGAAACAAAGAAGGATTATTCATGCCTTCGCTTCGTTTCATTACTCCAATTACTGCTTCGTTTAACACTTTTCAAAACATTGAATGAGCCTAAAAACTCGAAATTTCACACACGCATTTTGACGTAGATTCCCCCTCTACCCGGCGCCTATATACTGACAGTCTCAATGAACTCAAGAGAAACACGAAAAACAGAAAATTAATTATCCTTCTCCCCGATAGTCACTGCATTAATCACGAGTGACTCAGCCAGTACTAGGCAGAAAAATTGAGTGCAAACAAATTGTTTCTAATTACTCACAATTTGTCTGCTTTCCCTCTGTCGAAATGCCTCTAAAAAACTATTTTAAAAATCTAATGAGAGCATATACTCTTCCAAAGTCTAGTAACAGAAAAATTCGTTAAAAAAAATCTCATTAAAATGAAACAAAGCAGGATTATTCATTCCCTCGCTCCGTTACCCGACTATATCTTCGTTTGACACTTGTCGAAACACTGGATGAGCCTAAAAAAACCACGAGATTTTACGCACGCATTTGACGTAGCTTCCCCCTCTACCCGGTGCCAACCCTGACAGCTTCAATGAATTGCAGAAGAGCGTGAAAAACAGAAGATGAATAACCCCCCCCCCCTGACAATAGAGGAACAATATTAATTACTCACACGTGGTGACAATGAAGATTCACAGAGAATAATAACTCCTCTCATCTAAAAAAATCTGGAAATTAACCTTCAGCTGCCGCATCGCCGTTTCTCCTTCGAAAATCACCGAGGGATGTTCATCAATTCAAGGAAAAAATTCTAAAAAATAACTTCCACTTCTCGGATTATTGTCCCAACGTCTCTGTGGAGATGTTTGCTGTGTTAAATATTAAATAATCGAGGAAAACTGGAGAAAAAAAATTGAGAAGCCCTCGCTGTCACTAGGAGTGATCGCTAGTTATTTTTGTTGCACAGCGGTTGCTGTTGCACTAGGGAAAATCACTGGTGGCCTGGGGGAGAGGTGGATATCCGGTCAAATGGCGTCCATTAGCCATTGCCAAAAGGCACTGTTGTCACATTTTGTCCATACAGTGTTTCAATACTTCCAATTGTTTACATCTTCGCTTAACAATTTCACGTGGCTCGCGAAATATCGACAATTGTGATAGTCAACAACTACAAAGTGAAGTGAACAATGGGACGATGAATTGAAGAACGATATTTGGGTATATCTTGGGGGAAATACTAAGGTGAGTAAATCAGGGAGCAGTGACCTTGGGTAGGCTGTCATCTCTGGGTTGACTATTCGGCGCTGAATTCGAATTCAGTGGCTGATTCTTGGGTCTGAATGGAAGCTTTGTGTTTGGCGAATTTGGGGCTTCTCTAATTCTGGGGGGCAATTATGGGGAATGTTATGAAGTATGAGGAAATCATGGCTTTAGAAAATTACTGTCTGAATGTTTGTCATAGTTTGGATTTTGGGTGAATAATTTTTAAGAAATACAACATTAATAGGGTAAAATGTATTGATAATAATCTGAAATTTTGACTCGTAGTAGCTACTATTGAGCTCAACTATGGTGCTGAAATCGCTCAACAGATTCCAATTTTTTCCAATAATACTCGCCTCGAAAGTTTTTATCTAAATCAATGAAAATATATATACCCATTCATAAACAGTTTTTACGTATTGAATGATTAAATGGAATAAACTCATGTAAAGGTATGAAATTTATAATTTCTTCCATTTTTGCTTCTGAGTAGAAGCTCTGTAATTGTCGGATTTTGAACTTCAGCATCGCGAAACAAAAATTTTTTATTTTCGTAAAGCAAAATAAAACCTGGACGAACAACTTCTCATAAAAATCTCGTCACCTCCCTCGGCTCTAGGAAGATTCATCGAAAAATCACCCCTTAATCATCACTGCTGTCAAATTCAGAATGTTCGAAGGGGAAATTTGTTTCTAGATCTTTTATTGCATCAGCCTGACGATATGATGGAGGTTGGACCCGACGAGGAGGCTCAGACTGTCCTTCTGGAGGGGATGGAGGGGACCCAGTACATCACGATTCAGAGGAGTGATGGTGAGGCACTGGGCAAGGGTGTTCCTCTGCTCACGCTCAGTGGAGAGCTGATCTCCGAGGGAATGGTCGTCGACATGATCAATGCTGGAGTTGCTAATGAGTTCAACGCTGGAACACAGTACTACGAAACTGATGATCTTCTTCCTCACGAGCTGACTGAGGTAAAGACATAAATCTGCCAAAATTTACTCCACCAAATTATTTTATGGCAATTTCATCCTGAGACAATTTATCCTAAAAAAATTCGCTTAGGACTGTCTCGTTCAGTTCGCCTTCTCATTTATTTTAATTTTCAATGTCATACAACGTACTTTATTTAATAATATCGTATTGAGTTTAACATTTCCTCGACTCTTGCTGTCGTGTTGGGATCAGGAAAATTGTTTTTTGAATGGAACTGTTTTTGGGGTAAATTCACTCAGAACAAAAGCATCACAAGTTGTAGGGGAGAGTGGGCCAAAATGAAATAGTCGAAAAACGACTGTTCAACGCAACTGAAGCAAAAAAATTTTTTTTTCAACCATTTTTTGTATTTTTTTTTCTATTGGAAGTAATTCTGAGAATAATAATCTTCCAAGAAAATGTAATGCTGAATTTCAATCGAATGAAAAAAGAAAAGTGTTATCGTCCTAATCTAATCAATTGAATTATAGATCAAATATTTCATATTACTTGAAAAGAGAAATGTGGATAAAATCAGTGAAAATTATTAATATTATCGTCTCGGTATAAGAAGTATTTGAAAAACCTTCGGGAGTTTCGAATGAGCAGAGAACATAGACTTAACGACGACGAGCTCTTAGTTTGGGTGCTGGAGAGTTAGGGAACCAGTGCACTTTGAGATCGAGATCTATCAGGAGAGTGGGATGCATTTATGGAAATGCATGTTTTTTTCTGCCGAATAAAAAATTATTATTCTCATCAGTACTCCCAATAATAAAAAAAAGTTGATGAACAAAAATTGATAGAAATTTTTTTTGTTCAAATTGCGTCAAATGGTTGTTTTTTGGATGGAACTGTTCCCGAGCTGAATTCATTCAGAACAAACAAATCACAAAGTGTTATTTCTTTTTTACGTTTCATTATGAACGAAATTATTTATACAGGAGGACAAAAAGCTAGCAGCAGCTCTAGTGGCAGTTCAACTTCAAGCCCAGCACAAGCAGCAGCAGATTCACACTCAGACCCAGCAGAACGATCCAACACTCCCTGATGTCTCTCAACTGGCCACCCTCGCGCCAGTGAACACTTACGCCATCCAAACGATATCCCAACAGCCACCAGTGTACTCCAGCATCCCTACATACAAACGAATAAATCACAATGTCAAGCAGGAATTCGTCAATGTCAAGAGTGAGTACGACATTGACGTGTCTGCTGACAGCAGTGAGGACGCCGCCCCGGCCTCTGGACAGAAGAGATCGCTGCCTCATAAAAAGAGAATTGCCAGAAAACTCAAACAACAGACGAAGAAGAATGCTAAGAAGGATGCTGGGAAGAATCAGGAGAACATTATTGTGGAGGTCATTGAGGAGCCTCAGGCCTACAAGTGTGAACTGTGTGGGAACAAATTTGGGGGACAGCTCAAGTTCTTTGAACATCTCAAGGTAAAACGAGAATTTTTTTAGTGCGACAGTCTCTGCGATGAAATTTTTCACAGAAAAATTCAGTTTTTGGATTTTTTTTGTGGTTTTGTTTTTGTTTTTTGTGCTTGTGTTTTTTATTTTTTTTTGTTATATAAACCTATCGCAATCTGAACAGTTTGAAAATGCTATTTTAAAAATTAAAAAAAATGGAAAGTGTTGATTTTCAAAAAGTTTCAAGGAAAAATTCATAAATTGCAATTTTTGAAGATAATTAGCTTATTAATCAAAATTTTTTTTTGAAATTGCAACGGATTCATCCATATTAAAAATTTTATAGAAATTCTAAGAATGGAAATTGTTTAAAACGTTTGAACAATTTCCCTTCTTTGTTTATAAAAACCAAATATTCAACAAAAATAGTAATCTTTTGCAAAATATTATTTGAATGACGCGTATCCATGAATTTTCTCGAATTCTTCGTATGAGATTCAATTGACAAATTTGATAATTGAAAACTGGCCAATAGTAAAAATCGACTTGATAAAGCGTGTATTATCTTTCGAACGTGCTCTTGGTTGTTTGTTTTTCATTTTCATAATCCGAAATGTTCTTCAATAGCCATTCAGTTTTACATCGCCCTAGAGTCTTCCAAAATTATGATTGTAAAATCAAAAAAATATTGAAAAAAAATGAACATTTTCAAAGAGCGTTTTTGAATAATATCGGGAAATAAACCCGATAGGGAGGAAATTGCCAATTAATAATTTGCAGTATCTAATGGCTGTTCAGTCGTCATTTGACCCAGCAGCCAATGCCTGTCAGATCGTTAGTTGCCATGATAAATTATCCATTCACAATTTGCTTTCTTTTGGCCTAATTTCCTAATCTTTATTAAAAATGCTCTTTGAAAATATTCAATTTTTTTTCTACTTCTTTTTGATTGTTCAATCATAACTGTTACGGACACCTACGTGATGTGAAATCCAGTGGAAATTGTGATATATTTTAGATAATCCATCCGCCCCTAAACCGTTTTACCGCTTCGCTACTAAGTTCATTCATTCAATAAATTTATCAATAATTAATTGCACCAATGAATTAAGGGACTGTTCCGCTTATAGAGCCCCAACCCTTTCCCCATGCATTACCAATAATTCAATCACTCGAATTATTTTTTCAGTCTCATTACGAGCCTGTGAAGCAAGAGACTAGAGTAGCCCAAGCAACAAACACAAACATAACAATAGCCTCTACCGAATCCATTCAAATCGAGCACACTGCCATCGAGGAATTCAGCGAACCTGAGGACCTCATGGAGGGCATTCGAGGAGTGGTGGAAGAGACCGGGGCCCACATTGACGAAGAGACCGAGTCTTCAACTCTCGTGAACAACAGCTCCAATCTCTGGGGGATCTCCGACGTGACAGAATCGGTTCAAGAGCAGAATACCAGAGAAGTCACTGAGCAGGACTCCCAGGACAAGGTTGAGGAGGAATTACCAGCGACCACTAAGAAGAAAAAGGCCCCGAAGGGGAGGAAAACTCAGAACAATGGGATGGCCTGTCCGCAGTGCGATAGAACTTTCCATCATAAGAATAGTTTGATCTATCATATGAGGTCTCACACTGGGGAGAGGCCGCATCAGTGCGAAGTTTGTGGGAAGAGTTTCTTCGCTGCTAGTGCATTGAAGGTGAGGGATATCAGAAACTATTCCCATTCATTTGATTTTAATTGGTTTGTTTAAGCATAATTATAATGGATGCAGTAAAATAATTATGAGAAGATAAGAATTGTAAGAAGGAATCAGTGAAGTGATGAAGGAGCATAAGCCAACTCAATTGCAGGAAATGTTTTTAAGCGGAGACTGCTATGAGTTTTAAAGATCGCAGGCTATTGGAATGCGATTTCTCATACATTGGAGACCGATTGAATATGCCTAAAAAATGAATAATTAGTGCAAAAAATTAATTGTTAAAAAAAAACCATCGAGAATATATTTTAGGGGTAATTTTTCTGCCTATTTTACATGAATGGCGAAAATTTTTATATTAAACAAAACGAAATTAACTGTGTAGGAGTCAAATTTAAAAAAAACAACTCGAGATTGTTATTTTATACATTTTATCGAAAATTTTGAAAAAAAAACCTCTGTAGCTCAAAAATTTGAGGCTCTGAACTATTTTGAATATTTTAAGCGTGTGTGAGGTAAAAGACCAATAAATAATCAATTTTTTTGCACGAATTATTCGTTTTTAAATATATATAATGGAACCATGGATGAGATTTGTTGTCATTTAAAGAATCCATAAAAACAGAATGGTGCAAAGGAATTGCCTTAGCATTCTTCAATCTTGAGGAATTTCTAGGGGAATGTCCAGTAATATCTTCGAATATAAGGGGCATAGCAACATTTTTGTGAGGGCCTCCCTTTCTCAAATCATTTTGCACTGCAGAAAACGTGTCTTTATTATGAATATTTATTTGTCAAGTTATCAATGTCAATTTATAATGTATAATCGATTGCAATCGATTCCATTTCACAAGAAATGTCTATAAAACTTTTCTGTGGCCTAGGTAACGACACATCTTGTGAGGGATGATTTTCAACTGAAATTTAATAGCTGAGTTGAGGAAGGCGAGTCAACTCACACTGAGTCTCAGTTTTCGATAGATATTTCTGAATTTAAGAGAGAGAGAGAGAGATTTTCATAGGAATATTTCCATAAAATTTCTTTGTATGTCTCCAAGACATTCTCTGAAAACGGATCTTCAAGTGAAAACGTTTCTTGATCCCATCACTTCACAGAGAAATATTTCCCAAAAAATAATTCTCAAATGAACGCTGTCCATCCAATTTTATCACTCCATTACTGACAAACGTAGGGATATTCATTCTTTTGGAACAATAAAAAATGTTTTTTGTTCCCTCAGGTCCATAAACGTCTTCACAGTGGGGATAAGCCCTACAAATGTGAGGACTGTGGTCGTCATTTCCGCCAATGGGGTGATCTGAAGTACCACTCGATGAGCATTCACTCAGAGCAACGTCAATTCCAGTGTGAATACTGTGGAAAAGACTTTGCCCGAAAATATTCACTCATTGTTCATCGACGAATTCACACTGGTGAAAAGAATTATCGTTGCGAATACTGTAACAAAACTTTCCGTGCAAGTAGTTATCTGCAGAATCATCGCAGGATACACACAGGGGAGAAGCCCCATCCATGCACGGTCTGTGGAAAACCATTCAGAGTGAGAAGTGACATGAAGAGACACATGCACACACACGACAGAGGACGAGCGGAGAGGCTGGCAGCAAGACTCATCAGTAAGAACGATGGAGATGACAAGGAAATTAATGCTGACAGTGTTGTCAAGACCCTGGATGACACTGACAAGGCCCTGCACTCTTCGACCATTCAGGATCTCGTGCAGGAGCTGAAACTCGAAGTCGAGCAGAATAATGTCGTTGAGATTGTGCCACCTGAGGACAATCCTGAGAGTATCCTGCCACACGCTGGGGGACAGGGGTCTCAGGTCGATCGTTTGTATCCTGTCGCCAGTGGAAATGACGAAAATTCTGATAGAGATCCTTTGGAAGCTGTCGATAGAACATCAGATACTTTGTGAGTTATTTCATGTTTCTTAAACCGTGATTTTTTTTTTTTTTCAAATTGTGATGAAAGTGGATTTTGAAAACGTAGTTTTTGAGATTTTTGCACGTCTCAAGTGTCAAATTCTCTGGGAATGGGAGTCATCAAGGGCCCATTGATCGATCAAATACATTTGGATTTTCACTATTTAATATTGTTTAATCATTCTGTCTGTGGGAATATTTTTAAGTTGAACTTCTCATTCGATTTTCTCGCATAAAGTGGAGTAAAGTGGAAATGCGTTTTATTTCATCTTCTTGAACTTGATGCATCCCAGTGGACCGCAATATGTTTATTTACTTATTTATTTTCTTTTTTTTACACAAGAAAAACCCAAAAATATATTTTTTCACAAATATACTATTTTAGGGTAGTTATCCTCGAGGAAAACTGGTTATTAATTGGTCCTATTTTTTCCAATTTCAGGCAGTATTTCTTCATGTAAAATGAATAATACCCCGGTATCATGAAAATTGAAACAATTCAAGGGTATGAAGTTTGAAAAAAAGTATAACATCGACTGAGCTATAATTTCCTGAATAAAATTTTCTATCACTCTTAAGAACTATTGTTATCTCCCACAATAAATGTAAATACCTTGAATAAGGCGATTACAACAGACCAACCACAAGCAGTGAAATAACTCGATAAAACCCAATAACCTTGTGAAATTATGATAACGAAACTCTCCAATTAGTTTCTCATTTTTATTTTTCTCTACAAAACAAGAAAAGTCCATTGATTTGGAAATAGAAGATTTATATCGCAAATTCGATGTATGTAATATTAAAAATATATTTTTTACATGAACACGTTTATACAAAACGAAGATTTGCCTCAATCCTCCCAATCAGATGATGATATCCTGTGCAAGACCGAGACTAGCAGGTGGTGTAGTTGGGTTCTCATCTTTCCCAAGACCAATCTGTTGAAGAGCCTCAATATGCGCCCGTCTTTCGAGCTCGACTCCCGAGCGCAGAACTCAGTTTCTCAGCAGCCACTGCACTGGTCATCCTCCTGGACCCTCTAGCCCTCTCCCAATCGATATATAAATCCGTAATGACCCCATGCAGTCTCACCAGGATCTCCGGATGTTTCGCCATCTGTCGTCTGACGACGTCCTCCTGCCTCAAAAGCTCCTGATACTCACGACTCAAATTCCCTTCAGCCTCAGCCTTCATCTCCCACTCCTGCAGGGCATCCAGAATCCTCAGCTTCTGCGTCAACTCATCAGCAGCCTCGAGCCCGGGTAGAATCAGCTTCAAGACCCTGGTGACACTGCCCTCAGCAACATCACAAAACACATCCAGTCTCAATCCTTCCAATCAGATGATAAGATCCTGTGCAAGACCGAGACTAGCAGGTGGTGTAGTTGGATTCTCATCTTTCCCAAGAACAATCAGTTGAAGAGCCTCCATATCCCGACTCTCGAGCGCAGAGCTCAATTTCTCAGCAGCCACTGCACTGGTCATCCTCCTGGACCCTTTAGCCCTCTCCCAATCGACATATAAATCCGTAATGACCCCATGCAGTCTCACCAGGATCTCCGGATGTTTCGCCATCTGTCGTCTGAGGACGTCCTCCTGCCTCAGAAGGTCCTGATACTCACTACTCAGATTCCCTTCAGCCTCAGCCTTCATCTCCCACTCCTGCAGGGCATCCAGGATCCTCAGCTTCTGCGTCAACTCATCAGCAGCCTCGAGCCTGGGTAGAATCAGCTCCAAGACCCTGGTGACACTGCCCTCAGCAACATCACAAAAAACATCCAGCTTGATCTTCCTCTTGGTGGCCTCCCTCGTCAGCAGGTCCCTCAGAATGATCACAGTGGACACATTCTCCCCGAGAAAACTGGCATTTCCCTTCTTATACCTGCACTTCAGCAGAGTCCCAACAAAAGTGGAGATATAATTCAACGTGGCCTCTCCATCAACCAACTGCGGCCTCTCGGAGATGTCCGGCAACGCCAGGGACAACCAGGCATGCATCTCAGCGACAGTGAATCCCCCCACGAGCCTCAACTCATTGAAAGGCCCCCCAGACGACTGTGGATTCTCATCCTCATGGAGTCTAGCGTGAAGAGACAATGCATACACCGGCACTCTTATCCTTCTGCAAGCCTTCGGCTGGATCTGAGTCGTCACGTAAACCTGGAGAACACCCGATTGCCCCTCAATCGTGCGCATTCGAGTCTCCAGACGATTGACATTTGCCTGACAGCGATAGGTTGCTAGAACGAAGTTATTCTCCTGGGGATTGCAGACCGATAGACTCGCCACTGCACTGTTGCTCTCGTCGAGAAGCTCCACTGGGGTGTCTGATTGTACGAGGACATTGTCTATCGGGGTGTCGAGCTCTATCGACAGCTGATACGACGCCGTCTCCGGGTCCAGAATCATCCGATGATTCACCGAGAGGATCAGGGGAGCTATACTTTCGTTTGGAAAGTCGTACATCTCCCTCTCCTCCACCAGCTTCTGCTCCAGTTCAAGAATCTCTGATTTGAGTTTCTCCTGGGCCTCGACGTTGGATCCAGCCTCCAAGGAACCTGGGGGTCGCGTCGTCAGGCCGAACAGTCGCCCTGAGTACGTCGTCACTAGGATCTCGGGGTAGCCTGGGGCACCGATGATCCCTCCCATCACTGTGCTGATGCTTTCGCCTGCGCTGTAGCGGTATCTACGGAGGGGCGTTGTGTCCTCGTCGGCTGGGAACGTGAAGACCTCCACGGAGCCGTCCTGACGACCCACCAGGATGTCCAGGCCGTCCTCGAGCTCGTAAGTGTCCAGGGAAGTCACTTCAGAGGCGACTGTCGTCAGCAGCCACGTTATCCTGATTGTTTTCGCATTCTGAACTGTCAGCAGACCGATCTTGCCGTCCTGGGTGCCTAGGAGGAGACGATTTCGGGAGTCTCGGTCGTCTTCTCTCCAGGAGGCCAGCACTGTGGGGACACTGGGAAGTCGCAGGATCGTCGGGCTCTTCGTGCCGGTCAGCACGCGAATGGCGCGGTCCCCACAGGCCAGGATAGCGAGCACTGATGTGCCCTCACCCGGGATCAGGATCACGTCGTTGAGGGTTTCGCCTGCGAGGTACGAGTCGGCGTCCTTGCAGTTTTGGTACCTGGTCATCCCGTAATTTTTTGAATTTTAATGTGTTTGATGGGAAGGAAGGCTAGGGGCGGCGGAACGTGAAAATTTGAGGGGTGGATTCAATTTTTCTGGAATTGCAAAGGTCAGGAGGGTCAACCGGGATAGACGGGCGGGATCATCAGGAGGGTCAAATGGTCTTATTTTATCAGGTTCCCCCTAATTACTTCAGAACACTAATACTTTCCACTTATTTTGTTTACTAGCGAACGGGCGATTCGTGCCAGTCCCTAGATTATATTGTATTATGTTAATTTATTTTATTGTTTTCTTTCCAGTTTTTCTTTGCGGTTAGATTAAATTAAATTGATTGGATTCTATTCCCATTGTAGAATCCAAATTGTGGGAACAGTTTTCTCATTTTCAAATGAAGAGATGTTTATGTTAAATAATATCAGTATAATATAATAATTCCTCTCAATAAAATCAGATCATGAAAATGAAATTTTTCGTTTTCATGATCTGATTTCATTGAGAGAAAATGAGAAAAATGCAGGGAGAGAGGATCAGCAAGAAAATAAAAGAAAACAATTTTTTATTTTTCTGAAAAATTTCAAAACTGATTTTTTTTTAACGAGATATTTATTGAAAACTGGTCAATAGTCAAAATTGACTTATACCGTTTTACCACTTCGCTACTGAATTGAGAGAATCGAAAAAAATGGTTTGTTTACACCGCCAGTGATCCGTTTATGGAACCGGTACCGGTTATGGAATCAGCGTTACATTTAGCCGAAAATACATGTAACTCTATATATTTACTATAATAAACGAAGTTAAATGGAAACTATGGGATTTATACTTTTTCTGAAGCCAACAATATCCACTCAACAATACTTTTAAGTTATTGAAAACAATGTGGTTCCATAACTGGGTCTCATTTTTATAACATTTTTATAGCTTTTTTAACTTCCCGACCCAGAGGAAGTTCTTGCAATGACCCCGAAAATTAAATGAGAAGGATATAATGAAGAATAGTGATTAATAATTACATTTCATATGAAAATTGAAATGAATGTTTGCATTGTAATAGCACCTGTGGTATAAGTCTCGAGCGCACGCCGCCAGGTCCGGTCCCAGGACGAACATCGAAGTGATGGGATCAATGAGACTCGTGTCGAACTCGAGGAACATCTTCCCTTTTTTCGTGTAGCCTTTCACCGAGTTGCCGTAGGCGATGAAAATCTTGTCTTTTGGACTTCCTAGTGAGCCCCCGAGGACAAGACGCTCTATCTTCGGGCCTGGGAGGGATTTGAAGAACAGCTGGAGCTCTCCTTTTTTCATTCCTAGATTGAAGGGATTAATTTATTTGAATTCATGTACGAACAAATTTAATAGAAAAACCTAGTGAATTTGTTGGAAAATTCTACTGGATTTCTATTGAATTTTCTATTAATTTTTGACAGATTTTATCGAAAAATTCAGCAGCTTATCTGTGCGCCTTTTTTCGATAAAAATGTTCAATGCAAACTATGGGATGAGCAAAATTAATAGAATTAAATTTTTATATACAAAAAAAAACAACAAAAAAAAGAACAAAAATTCGGAAAAAAAACATTTTTCGAGAAAAATTTAAACAGAAATTCGAAATGTATTGACTTTTACTTAGCGAATATTCAATAGAATCAGCGCAAAAAAAATACAATTTTTCAATAGAATCAGAATTCCTATATAATTCGAATTGAATTTTCTAGCGAATTCGCTAGGTTTTCTATTTAATTTTTTCATGTATGATTCCTCGGCTCGAATTGTCCAAATTTTTTTCTTCTGACTTTTCAATGAAGGACGCTCTTCTAGTACTGCGTTACATCTTCATTACTCAAGTATACATTAAAATATTATGTAAAAAGATTACCAAAGACATGGAGAATCCCGTCGTGATCTCCGACGGCGAATTTTTGAGTGGCTTTTGCTTCGTGCGAGGGCAGAATGCGCGTTGTGCCCTTCGAAGTCACTCCAACCGAGACGTAATCCACCCTCGACAGTACCAACGACATTTCGGTAATCTTCTAATTGTTATCTTACTCAATGACTATCGATGTGATCAATCCTACAATCCATTTGCATTGTTACATTTACATTCTCACATTTTCCTCTTTCCCGACAGGACAAAATTCAAGAAATATAATAAAATACGTTGCACTATCTACGTATCACCTGACAGCCCCGAAAACTCGTTTTTCTCTCCATCTTTCAACACTACTGGACATTATGAATGAATTTTCACTACGTGCGAGCAATGTTGTGATTAGCAAACGTGAAGAATCGATCGATTTAACCATAGTAACGACTTCCCTCCACTGATTCAAACTTCGGGGGATCGGCGCTAATTCATTCTCATAGTTGAGCACCACTGCCACACAATAAACAAAACAGAGGGAAACAATTGGGAGCATTGGGGTGTAAACACATCTGTACTTCTCTCTCAGGAAGAAAAAAAACACCTGACGAGTGATTTATTTCGTCTGCACTCCCTATTGTGCATGCAGAAATCCTCAGGGGTGTTGGAGCCATGCGTTAACCTCAACAAATGTCAGGATGAGCAGTAAAACGAGTGGTGGAGGTACAGAAAATTCAGAATAAACATAGAACCAGAGAAAGAACTGTTGCAGGCACTTGTTGGAGGAAAGATGCATTGATTGTTCGATTGAAAGTAATATAAACATAAATTAAAATTCGAAGGTGAAAATCTGACATAAATTCTAAACGAAAGTTGATATGAATAAAAACATTCAGGTAGAGTTCGTGCTCAATTGGCAGTCTAGTATTATTGATCATAATTAATTCACAAGTGGCAAAATAACACAGAGTCGTATGAGGAAATGAATTTTTTGATATTAGAGAAGATTAAAATAGGAAAAATCTAGAAAAAAAAATTTCTCAATGAAAATTTTATGCATTATATAATACATAACTGACAATTATCGTCAGTGTTAAACAGTTGTGATAAATAATTTGTTTTTGAAGAGAGAATTTGATGGATTAATTTTTTGTCGGGCATTTTAACTTTATTTTTCTTCACTACACTCAACGACTCATGGGGAGTCCGGATATGCTACTTTAAAAGGCTTAAGAGATGTTTCTAAAATAATGAAAACGAAACCAGAAAATTTGTTTGTCTGCATGAAGTGTTCATCATTCTTTTCGCCAGGTGAGATGGATCCAGTCCAGGAAGAATTTGCTGGACGAGTGAGGGAAGTTGGGAATCACGCGATCTGGAGTTTATCCAGCTGCAAACCTGGTTTCGGAGTTGATCAGCTTCGTGATAATTTAACGGATACCTATTGGCAATCTGATGGCCAACTGCCACATCTAGTGAACATTCAGTTCAGGAAGAAAACAACTATCAGGGATATTTGTATTTATACTGATTATAAACTCGATGAGAGCTACACACCGAGCAGGTAATGACCAGCAAAATCGATGATTTTTCTTGTTTAGAGGAGGCTGGACCATAATTCAATAGCGAAGCAGTAAAATGGTTCAAGTCGATTTTGACTATTTGCCAATTTTTAATGAATATCTCGGAATCTGAGGGAGATAACTAAATTTTTCATACGACCTTTTCTGTAGCACTCAATGGGCACTGCAAAAAAGATGTTGCAAAAATTTCGTTATGTCCCTTAGATTTGGAGATATTGCTCAAAAACTCAGATAAGAGCTAAGTTGACTTGAGGTATATCCGAAGAAAACAGAATTTTCTGACGATTGTTCTCATGTTATTCATAGATAATGTTTATAATATTCCCCAGCTAGTGAAAAAAATTCAGGAGATAATAATGAAATGCCTTCGTACGATGTTCTTAAAAAACGAATCCGTGGTAGATTCATAAATTCCGAATACTGTGAAATTTTTGTAAAATTTTCTAGTACAGAGTTTCTGCAATATTTGACTCTAAAAATATTCGCTAAATATTCATTTTTTTAAATATAGTGTGGTCAGCACTACGGAGTGCGTATAGAATTTCTATAGGATTTTCGTATATGATATTCGGATATTTCTATACGGATATTTTTTATACAAATCATTTGTCTACGATTTCTATAGGTTTGATCCTATACGACCCACTGCCACATATATAGAAACATTTCGTATGAAGTTGCGACATTTCTCTACTTTTTTCTCTGGAGCGTTTAGACATCTTTCATATGAAAACAAAAATTTATGTAAAAATTTATGTTTTCAATTTATATTCTATAGAAATAATTCGTATAGAAATATCCGAATATCATATACGGAAATCCTATAGAATTTCTATACGCAATCCATATAGAAAATTTCTATACAATTTTTTCATACGTGATATTCCCTTCAAATTTAGAGATTCATCGAAGGTTAACCGTAGAATTTACTTATCTCGTCTCGTTTCATGAAATTGCCGCATATAAAAACACAATACAACTCTTCGTACTCTCCCTCATCCCCAGAATAAGTATAAGAGCTGGCACAAATTTCAACGATCTCCAAGAGGTAGAAGTCATGGACCTGAACGAGCCAAGTGGTTGGGTAGTGATACCCATTAAAGACCTGAACGAAAGACCCATCAGAACCTTCATGATACAAATAGCTGTGATAAGTAATCATCAAAATGGCAGGGACACTCACATGAGGCAGATAAAGGTTCACAGTCCAGCTCAGGATATCCTGGGACCCCCAGCCCCCCACCTCCCAGGGCAATTCCTCACCAATGAATTTCAACGTTATGCCACCATAAGATAAAATAAACTCTTTATATTTAGGCAATAAATGCTTTTTCACTTGCAAGTATCATTACAAGTTATTGGTCCTTATTTAGCATCGAATAATGCTCATATGTATTTGATATCTTAACAGACCACGGTATAATGGAATCATTCACACACGAAAAACCTAGCGGATTCGAAAACAAATTTTTTTGGATTTCTGTTGACAATTCTTTTAGTTTTTGACCGATACTATTCTGGAATAGACATTTTCATCCTGAGAGTCACTACATTTTTCGATACTTTTTTCTCATGTTAATTCCCCTAGAAGTTTCGGATACATTAACCGAATTTACATATGAATCAGTATTACTGAAGGTGTGCATGTTCGTTTGGAGGAATTTATATTGTAAAGAATGGGCACTTTTAAAAATAAATTACTGTTTATTAAAGATTTTGGGGCGAAATAAATAATAAAAAGAAATACAAAAAGGAATGACGCGTCCGCGGACTAGAAAACGAGATAAAAGAATAACGGGAAAGAAAGAGCGATCGTACATGAAGGTGGTTGAGAGGGAGGAAAAGGGCAAATATGTAGCAATATCATCTCAAAAACCATATCTGAAGAAAAATAATATTAATGTAATATTAATAATATTGTATTATTATTATTAATATTATTTTTCAAGGGATTAGTATTATTATTAATTATAGTAATATTCTATTATATCATTATATACATCAGAGTATTAATAACATAATAATATTTATCAGATTTTTCATCATTTTCCTGTAGATTTTTCAGGTCGATGAACGAAATAAATATTTTCCGTGTTGTTTTCACGCAGTTTTGCTTCTCTTTTAATTTAAAAAATCAAACAAAAAAACATGAAAAATTGAGCCGAGGTATTTCTATTGAGGAAAAAACACAGATAACCAGCAGAATTTTTCAATAGAATGGGCCAACGACTTATGGAAATTCAATAGAATTATCTAACGAGTTTGCTACAATTTTTCTACGAAATGTCTTAGTACGTGTTACATTGAAAGCGTTTCCCGTACCCTCGAGGCCATTCACTAGGAGACAAATGTAAACATTGGATTTGTGAATAAATTCCCTGAGTAGTTTCTAAATCAAAATTAGTCCACTCGAGAATGTTTTCCAATCTACATCGTCCAAAAATATGGAGTGCTTACTGTTCCCTGTTGCTCCTCATATACCCCACAGTGGCAAAAAATGGTACAAACGATTTAGAGAAAGCCCTAAACGATACAACAATTTTTTTCGAAAAATTGAAAGTCCAATTCGGTTCATTACCCGCAAGTAACGAAACCTTCGAGTCGATAGATAATCGTATCGATGAGTTCATCGACAAAGTCAACAAAGACAAAAGGCAGCGAAGCAGAAGACAATTATTTCAACAGGATAATTATGAAACAGGTAACACTCTTTATTATAACTTATAAACTCTCAATAAATTGACAAGGACTTAGAAAGAAAATGGAATCGTTGTGGTAATTCTTAAGAAAAGTAAAAAAATATCATAGTTTCTGTGTGCTTAAATTAATTGTTGTTATTGGTCATTTTTCCCTCTACACCGAAGAAATCTTTAAACACATGCTGGGATTGATGCTCGGTTAGGTATTTGAACAGTTGTCCCATGTCGTTGTGTTTATCGGTTGTTGGGAATGATATTTCTTGGAATTCCGTGAATTTACGCATTGTATTTACATCTTTACCGTCTAAATTCTCTTCTTCAACTAGTTTTAATAATATTTTGTGCCAGTTCATCACTTTTATCTGAAACAGAAGTGAAGAATTCATTTAGAAGCGAAATAGGACGAATTTTTAATGAAACAATGCACTTGAGGATATGTTTTGATAAATATTTCTTCAAATTCAAGAGCCAAATTGGATCTAAAGATATTCAAAAAATTAGTACAGTATTGGAGTAGCTGAATGGAATTCATAAATTCCAGTTGGAAACCAGTTTTTGAAAAATATCCCAGAATTCAAAGGAGATGCCAATTTTTCGTGGAGACCTTTTTCGAAGCCCTCTTTTCGTTTCAGAAATGTGTTCTTTATGAAAATTTTGCTGCCTCCATTAGATTTGGGCTCTTTATAAATCATAGGAATGATGACGAATTAATTTGACTCAAGAATTCGTTGTTTAAAAATATCACAAAGAATAAATTTTTTTTCAAAATATTAAATCTATTTTTGCAATAAAAATTTTCAATCTCGGCGCACACTTCCCATGTTTGGCACAAGGCAGACTTGTTTGAGAACTCCAGATTTAATCAACTAATTTGTTTTCAATAGAAATGTTCAATAGATAATATTTTATAATAAAAATTAATAGAATTCGCTTCAACGGTAACAACTTGATGAGATGAATAGGGAAATTTTTGTAAATAATTTTTTGAAGGGCAGTATGGAATTTGAAAAAGGCCTCCATGAAAATTTAATTCTCCCTGAAATTCGGAGATGTCAATTTGTATTTTAATTGAGGTAATATAGTACCTTCTGCCACCAATATTCACAGTCCTCCAGAGCTCCCTCGATACAAATAATCCCCGGCTTCCCAGCCAAACAGAAGCCCGACAATTCACACTCCTTAGCCTCATCAGCCATATCCTTCCTCTTTATATTGGAATAAATGTGATGGCTGTAAATCCAATAACGACCGAAAACTTTCGGTTTTGTACTCTTTTTCTTATTCTTCCTATTGTCCTTCTCGTTATTTTTCCTCGAGTGTTTTAAGTATTTATCCAAGTGATCCTGCATCCAGGAGACGAGGACATAAATGCACGGTTCATCGGGATCTTGAGTCTTGGCAAAACCTATCAGTGCGTCGTTCAATTTTGTTTGCTGGGTGCGATCGAGGGCTGAACCCCTGGCATATACGTCTGGACTGACACCTGGGTAATCTGGTGGTAGTGTTATGTGGAGATCCACACTGCCCTGAATAGCAAAGGACAATTATATTCGTTATATTATTATTCATCATTTCAGTTTAGTGCAACATTTTCTCTCATTACGGATTAAGGATATTCCTAGGCTTGAGGATATCTAAGTACTTCAGCTATTTTTTCTTCAGTAAAATGCGGACATTTTACAATGATTTTATTATTTAAAATTTGCAAGTCTGAATTTGAATCTCAATATTGAACTGTTAAAAAACATTTTGAAAATCTGAAAACAATAGAAAGTTTACTTTTGGAGGAAGGTTGATGAAGTCATTAAAAATTTGCAATTCTTGATAATTACGAGCATTTTTTATGAATTATTTGTAAACGACGTATGCTTAAAAAAATAACCATTCTGTGCAAGATGTAATTTGAATGACGCTGAATACTCATGATTTTTTTCAACATCTATTGACTTCTTACTCACGTAATTTAATTGACAAATTGAACGATTTAAAATAATTGAATTTATAGTGTGGATTGTACCAAACTATAAAAGATACTTGGATATCCTTAAATATGCTTCATGGACCACAATTTTTATCTGATTTGAAATTTTCTTTTCTTTTTCAATATTCGTTGAACTTTGAAGGATGAAATCAGATATCTGGTTTTTTCAATTTTGAATAGATAACGAAATTTTGTTTTTCGATTTTCTCTTTTTGCTTGGTTTTTCATAACATTTAAAGAGAAGTTTGTTTTGAGTGATTAAAGATTGTAATTGTACACAGAAAGTATTTAATCCAAAAACTGTCTGTACAAACTTCTCAACAACTCGAAACAATTTTTTTAGTTGTTATTGAGAGGCGAGAAAAAAAGAGAAAATAAAAAAAGTCGATTTTCTTCGATCATGATCTATTTAAAATGTAAAAAAACAGATACCAAATTATCTGTTTGCAGTCCAAACAATATGTAGCCACAACAGAATTTCGAGTTTCAGGGAGATTCCCCCTAAAATAAGCCAATTATTGAAATAAATAAACACGAGATATCAAAACACTTGATCAGCAATCCTCCACAGGCAAATAAATTCCTTGAGAATGAGCTCCAGACAATAAAAAATAAATGGAATAATCGTGAAAGAATTCCCACTGGTAAACAATAGAAAAAAAAATCCCAATGTTTATCATTGCTGAGATAAAAACTTACCTCGGGCACAGTTATTTTTATTGAGTATGCTAATCGTCCAGGACTATCATCATGCCCGCCAGAAATAAATGCATTGATGTCAGCCAATGCACCATGATCCGATATAACTAATTCATCCGGATAAACAGCTTGCAACGTCTCAAGTTCAATAACTTGAGTCGTCAAGTATTCCCGGATTTTCATAACGTCTGCCATTGCGATAATTTATGTTGTTACTATTGTTTACAAATTTTTATGACACTGTAGAAACACTTCGTGCAATCACGGATATAAATTGCGTGTGAATTGGGTAATTGAAAAAATGAAAAGTCTATCGTTCATCACTATCGGCGATTTCGCTTTTTTTTTGTTGATATTTTGAAATGATAGGATGTGTGTTTTGATGCACATGTGGGGGTCATGTGAGACAGCTGATGATCCAGCTGACAGTGAAAAACTGAAAACACTTGGATGAGCACACACGACGCCAGCTGATGAGCGAGAACTGGAAGTTAGTGCGCATGCGTCGAGAGCCTCTTGATGTCCCGGCAATTTTTGAATCGATAGTGCGATTGATGTGGTCAATTGGGCGGTTGACTATTAAAATGTATAGTCGAATTAATTTTATGTTGACCCTCCCCTGGGAGGGCCCAGGTATAGTACTTGGGACGTCAATCTTTTCTCCGGCACGGCTGCTGGCAACGGGTGACCCGAAGCAACAGAATCAAAAAGTGTACTATTGTAATTAATTTTACACTTTTTATCAAGTCTCATCAAAGTCAACAGTCTAGGATTGCTTAATTAACCACAATTCACTTAAACTCACTGAATAATTAACAACATAAAATGTTAATGAAATGCTCCACAAAACTAGAGTCTACAACAATAACTATTGCAATTTATAATAACTTGATAATGTTGAACGGATAGCTGGTTGAAAGGGCGAGATCAGAACTTAGCGTTGTCTCGATCGTTTCTCTTTGGAATCTTCACTGGTACTAACTTATTATATTTCTTAAATTCTACTCAACTCTATTAAATTTAAAACTGTATCTTCCTGTTAGTTGAGAAAAAAAAATTGCTTCGGGGAAAAATGAAGAATTTTAGGAAAACGAAAGTATTTTTACGGTCGTCTTAAATATTATTTTAGATCTGCGACCGAATACTTTTTATTGATTCTCGTCCGGCTCTGGTGTTTTCACTAAAATATGAAGAATTGTAATGATCAAATGACATTATTGCATTACATTTACTTCATGCATTGTGTATTTGCAAAATAGTTATTTCAATATTTTTACGTTGCGTCACTTGTAATTATCCCGATAAGTGCACTACAAATTGTCGATCTGATTTGAATAATATTAATAATATTAATGATAATAATTTTCCCTATTGACAAAAATGTGCAGAGGTGTCGATTTTTTCAATAGAATTCCATCGTATGTGTAATAATAAGCGAAATGTGGCAAATTGACAATTAATAATTACTGTGGAGTGTTCCACAAAATATCTCATGATCGCAATTACAAATCCTGATTTTTCGTTTGTTCCCAGAATCGTCGATATTACACGACTTCGAGTCACTACCGAATTACAGAATTCCAGTCGCCACGGATGTATCCTTCTTCATAAGAAAAAGTCAATCAGAGCTTCATTGGTTCACCGCTGTAATTAATCCGGAAGGAGTCTCTCTCTTTCATTCCGATGTAAAGAATTTTTATGTAAAAAACTAATTTCCACAATAACAACAACTTTCCTAGCAGATCGATCTATAGCTACTCGATAGGAATTCAACAGGGGCTTGACTTGTTCACTCGGTCGATCGTTGGTTGATCACTAGTCAATGATTTTTTGATTGATTGAAATCCTATATAAATCCCATAGAATTCCTATAGAATTTCAATAGAATTTTCTGGCGAATTCACTAGGTTTTCTATTGAATTGTTTCACGCGTTATCGAGTAACTCGTCAGGATTCCCTAAATTCATCCAATAATATATTTTTTTAATCCTCCAGGACGAGAACAAAATTCCAGTCCACTTCTTCCCCTTAGCAAACGGGGAACAGATCCTGACCTACAGCAGCGACTCGTCCAGTCTCTTGATAATCCGGCAATCCACCGGCATCATAAAAGTCCTCCAATTATCCCTCAACTTCGAAACGAAACTCTTCATCTCTCAAGTGCAAACCCTCCCAACGACCGGAGCGAGGCACGCAGCCCTCTGGACAGGGATGAATCGTCTCTACCTGGGGGTATCGTCCCCCAACCAGCTAATAATCTACGTCTGGCTGGGGGACAACTTCGACCAGATCCAGGTCCTGGACATTGGTGCCGAGAAGCTCATCCCCCTGCAGACCGGTGGCTCAATGATCCTCGCAGCCACCGGCCCGACCACAAGAATAATCTCCTTCCAACTGAAATCCGACAAATTCATCATCACCCAGGAGCTCAAGTCCTCCGAAGATGCCATAGGCTTCCAACGCGAGAACGGTATCTTCGGGGAACACTTCCTAGTCCTCGCCGAGGAGAACTCCACGATAATCTACAAGGAACGAAAGCGTCGATACGTTCCCTTCCAGAAGCTGGAAGGTACCAATCAGGTGCAGGTTCTCTCGAGCGACCGAAAGGATCTCCTCTTCTTCATCCAGAAGTGCGGAGGTATGAAGGTCTTCCAGTACGACGGCTGGCGCTTCTCAGACCTCCAGATCTACGTCCCCAGAGTCACACAAGTCTACCCCACCTTCCTCCCCGGAGGGCTCTTCGTCCTCGCCATGAAGAGCGACCAAAATGACTGGACATTCCACCGAATGATTTGGAGAACAACGAAGAGCTTTCAGACTATCAAAGACGACATCCTACTCTGGTGCCGAGCTTCACTAAGATCGCTGGAGACACCCAGTCCGAAGATCCCTCCACTGAAACACCCTCTGGTCTTCACCAACGTTCACATCCAGCATTTGACCGCCTCGAACGTCAACGGCAGAGACGCCCAGGAGTTCGTGAACATCACGAACAGCTACAAGCGAGTCCTCTCTCGTCTTGCAGAAGCGAACCGCCGCCTCGAGACCGTCGTCTCCTTGGACAACCCCGTCTTCACGAACCTCTCCGCTAAAAAAGTGAAAGTAATGTCCAAGGTCATCGCCAACAATACGGAAACAGCGATGGCCCAGGACTTCATGGACAAGCTTCGCACCCCTGGCGACACCAACAACATGGCCTTCAAAACCGTGAAAGCCTCGTCAGTCACCAATTTCCGATGCCCCATTCCAGCTGTCCAGTACCAAGAAGTCCAAGTCACGGGTTCGGTCAACGGACTCTCCTTCAACGCCTTCGCTGAGGACACCCTGAAGACGACTGGTGAGACCCAGACCATGACAGGCCAAATCCATTTCGACTCTCTGAAAGCTGACGAAGGAGACCTGGACCTGGACGTAGCCTGGAACTCCACGAGGCAGGAGCTCAGATTCACCAACATAACAGTTGACGAGTTGAAAACCCCATCGGGATATCTTCTCCCGTTGAACGGTGAGGCCGTCACAATGACGGGAGACCTGACGGTTTCGAGGGCGGAGATCACGGGGCTCATTCACCTGAGGGGGACGATCGGAGGGGAAGGTTCCAGGAGATTGATACCTATGATCGAAGTCCTGGAGCCACTGGTCCTCGAGGGTCACTATTACCTCGACAACATCAAAGTTGTTGAGCTCCTGGAGGGAGACGACCTGGTGGGGCCCAACGGAGAGTCTTACAAGGAGATCCGGAGGAACGCTCTTCCCCTCAAATCGAAGAGCATTCCTGTTCACATGAGGTTCCTCAGTGAACGGGTCGAGTGGGGGAACGTGACACTAACTGAGACCCCAGGGAACTGGATCACGCGGAGTTCCAGGCTGAACATCACCGGGAGGAAGTCTGCTCGCAATTTGACTCTATCGCAGTCTACTTACAGCAATCTTCCGCTTCCGGTTGTCTCGGGAAAGGCCTGCGCTGTGGGACTCCTCACCCACGACATTTACACGACCAACATCACTCTGAACAGCGCGAGGGTGGGATCGCTGACTGCGGGGGGGATATTCGGGGCTTGGGAGCTGGACGAAGTCCTCGCGGACGCCGTGAGGAGCTGGGCGGAGGTGCCCTGGGAGCTCAAGACCATCACCGGAGAGGTGAAGGCCGCGAAGGCAAGGATTCCCGAGGTCGCTGATGTCGATCTTCCTGGGTTGTACGAGTCCAGGGCTAAATGGGCTGCACCGGGGGTTCTCCAGGGCCCTGTCAGGGTCAAGAGTCTCAGGGTGAAGCATTTGAGGGCTGAGGAAGGGTTCAAGATCCCGTTACCGAAAAACATCAGACGGTTGGAGACTCTGGGGAACGTGAACGTGACACGGGTCAATGGGATCGACGTGCTGAACTTCATTGAAAACGCGGTGGAGATCGATGACATGATATCTTTGACTAATATCACCTTCCTCGGAGGACTCAACGTCGAGAGTGTTACGGCCTCTACTTCGAACATTCCGTTCGTGAAGACGCTGAAGGGAAACTTCGGGGCGAAAACCGTCAGCGGGGGACTGAGCACCAAGCACTTGGTCATGCCAGATGCCCTACCTTTTCCACCAGCTGATGCACCTGTGGAACTCATCGCAACAGGGAATGTCACATTCGTCAGCGAACCAAATATCAAGAACATCAATAACGTGAATTTGGAGAAGTTAGCTGGAGAGATTTGGATGAAGAACAAGCCGGCAAAATTGAGGGGGAAATTTATTTCCCTGAAAAATGTGACCTTGGAAGGTCCTGTTGATGTCTCGGGCGAAGTGAACACTCCGATGTTCGGGTCCTGGTCCGAGATGCCCAAGAAGATTCTCTCAAAATCGTTGGACCAAGAGATACCTCGGAAAATGCACTTCGAGTCTCTTCAGGCAGTCAAAATAATTGGATCGAATAATTCTAAGTTGATTTCGTCTCCCTCAACCGGTTTCTACGACCTCGAGCATCATTCCCTGAAGATAATCGGCGATCAAACGGTCTCTTTGCCTTGGAGTTTCGAGAAGATCATCGTTCAAGATAGCGTAAAAATTAACGGCGTGGTAAACGATCTCGATTTGAATAATGAGGTTCTCAGGACTGACTCGAGGAACAATGTGATCACTGGTAGAATAATCGTTGACACCTTGAAAGCAACCAACATCGATGGTCTCAAGTTTAACGATTTCGCGAGGAATACGTTGAGAGCCTCCAATTACCAGGAGCTGGTGGTCATCAAGGGAAAGAAGACGTTCAAGGACATGAAAATGAAGTCTCTGAATCTGACCTCGACGATCAGAGGAAAACACATCGAGTCCTGTTTGCTGAAGCACTCGAACCAGACGATAACAGGGAGGAAGGTGATAAAAGGGAGATTGGTAGCTCTCGGGATTGTCACGGAGGGTCTGGTGAACGACGTGGACTTGACGAAACTCCTGGTCTATCAGTTGAAGAAGAACTCCCCTCTGCAGGTGATCGAAACCCCGATCGTCCTCCAGAATGGCTTGAACGTCCTGGGAAATCTGACGATCGACGGTTTGGTCCAGGGAGTCGAGCTGAGCGGTCTCGGGGAAGCCGAACTCTCGACCCTTCGTATGCAGAATTTATTGGGGAAACTGTCGGATTATTCGCGTTTGGCTGAGGCCATTGACCTCGCTCTGCAAGATCGGGCCTTTTATTTCGATAAGTTGGAGATGACCGAGGAGAACTCAACTCCGTTGATCGAGGTTCTGGTTAATGAGTCCGTGAGATTCGAGGCGTTGGGGGATTGTCATGTTGACAATTATCTTCTGCATTGCAATAACACGGGGATCTTCGATTTCTCGGGGATGTTCAATGCGAGTGAAGTTCTGGAGCTCAAGGCAGGGGCTCTTGATGGGAGTCCTCGCATTGTGTGCGTCACCTCGGGGTCTCTTGGGGGAGTCTCTGTTTACTCGTTTGATGAGGAGAAACTGGAGATGACGAAGGAAGCGGAGATTCAGATTCCAGGTATCGTGGGAGGGGCAGTGGCTACGTACATGGGGTCCGTGTGGATTGTCCTTGGGCTGCAAGAGAACATGGTGGTACTGAGGTACCGGGGGCAGAGGGAGTTCCAGGAACACGTGATTCCTGGGAGTGAACACTTCGCCTTGGGCTCTGGACTCAGCGATGAGTTGCTGCTGTTCAGGAATGATGGGGTTTGGAGACTCGGTGGAGTCGTGGGGACGACGAGGGTCTTCAAGGCGAATCTCAAGGGGGAGATCGCGATCTTTCAGCATGCTGGGGAACAGTATGTGCAACTGAGGGATGGCAGTACAACGTCTTTGTTGAAGGCGCATTATGTTGGGAATTAGTTTTTTTAAAATGGTTTTGGTATTCCGGAGGAACAGAATAACCGTTTTTCGGCGCACTGTTCGTAAAACGTTGTTTTGCGGACACTTTGTGTCAGTCAAACGCCGTTCGCGGATATTGTGAAGAAAAATTATGTTCGTCACTAGGTCGAAAACAATTTTTTTGACAAGTGTGATTGCAGTCCTCGGCCGCGCCTCGGTTTGTAACAATCACACTCGTTAGAAAAGTTTTTTTCGGCCTTGTAACGAAAGTAGCTATTTCATCATACCATCTGTAAAACGTTGTTTTGCGGATACTTCGTGTCCATCAAACGCCGTTTACAGACATTTGGAAGAAAAATTATGTTCGTCACTCAGCCAGAAACAACTTTTTCATCACGCTGTGACGAAAAGTGAACTTTTCGGCACGCTCCACGTGCCTAAAAGTCCAATTTCCGCCACATTGTGATGAAAAATATTGTTCGTAACTCGTGAAAAAATGTTTTTTAGCTCGTGGGATTATATCACACTTTTTTGCACTTGTTACGAAATATACAATTTTGACACTCCTGCTATGTCCACGTCGTGCCGAAAAGCGCCTTTCCGTTTATAAGTAAACAAAAAGACTTTTCGTTTACTTTTCGTTTACTTTTCGTTTATGAGTAAATGAAAAAGGCACAGTTCGGCCACTCGTTGAACGTAACATCACTGTCAAAAAATATTGTTCGACGCATGTGAGACGGGAATTTTCAGCTCGTGTGATTGCCAACAACTTCACACTCGTGAAAATTCCGTCTCACTCGTATCGAAATGTACTATTCTGACTCGTGCAATTGCATTCCTCGGCTTCGCCTCGGTCTGCAAAAATTACATTCGTCAGAAAAATTTTTTTCGGCCTAATGGCGAAACAGTATTTTGTCACAAGGCCGAAAAAAACTTTTCTGCCGAATATGAGCTTGCAGCCCGAGCCGAAAGCACAGGCTGCGATCATATGAGCTAGAAATAGTAGATTACACACCTTGGCCAGTGAAGTAAGGAATGTCTCAGATCACATGTTTGTTGACCTCGGCTTCGCCTCGGCCGACAATTACATGTGATCTGAGACATTCCTTACTTTACTGGCCAAGGTGTGTAATCTACTATTTGGGCCGTATGTCGAATAATATTTTTTGTCATAACGACCGTAATGACGAACATAGTTATTTTATCAGTAAATTATTTCCTTTAGTTATTGAAGGAATTGTGTTACGAGAGATTTACTAGACAATGATAATATCATTGTCAACAATATATTATGTTGTCAGAAATTGTGGAATTGTTGTTAACAATAGAATCTTTGAATTGTTTTTGTGATTTCATTCGGGAATAATCGAATAATCGAATGAAGATAATTAATTACTATTGTTTGATGTTTATTTTGGTTGATGATATTATTAAATATTTATTACAGTACAATATTTCTGGAGAAGTTGCTGATTTTTTATACCAAAAATGCAATTATTTTCAATTACTAAATTTTTATGATGACGACTAGAACAAGTACTCCCTCGATGGAAAAAATCATCAAAACGATATCTTCATTGGAAGCTCATATGTTGGAAATTAATTCGTTTATTTGCTTCTTCAATATCATAGGAGTATAAAAGATAATTGATTATTCCGGTTTTTTGTTCGTGTTTCATGGTATTCAGTTATTGAAGGAATGATATTAATAAACATTTGATAAATATTTATTCTCGAGAATGTCGTTATGACTCCGTCTATGAATGACGATAATAAGGCGCGTGACCCTGAGTATCTCCTTTAATAGAGAATCGCTCACAATCTACATCGGGTTTTCCACGAATCCGATACGGCACTGTTGCATTAATGATTTTGTTGAATCAAACAAATGATAAGAACCCAGATGCTCAGAGACCGGATCATGCGACAGCCTTGGGCCATGAGAAAGTGTGATTGAAATATCTGAGATTATAAATATAAACTCCGCCATTATTTGAATGAGATTGAATGAGCACTACGTTGAGCAAATGACAATTTATTTCGAATTATTTTTCAATTTCGGGTGACAGCACATGCGAAAAATTCAATTGTCGTATTTTGTGAATTTTACTTTGAGAAATATTGAGACAAGAAATTTTGGAAAAAGTGAATATTGGGAGTGGGGAAGAAACTGTTTGGATTCCCGTGGTACATTGATCAAGCCGCCAGTCGGTGACAATATACTGTCCGGACAAGTAGTCCGTTGTCTTCCGGCCATTCTCAGACTCATCCCTCAACAAATTCATTCGATATCGAAATGTGTAGTGTTGCGCTGATAAATGAGTGCTACGAAGAGGCTGAGCGTTTGGTTTTGGAGGCAGGAAAAGTGAGTGTCATTCCGGAAACAAAATCAATCTCTTATTTCAGAAACATGTCAGTAATTCACGTATGAAAATATTTAAGAAAACAAGTGGGAAATTGCTCCTGCATTGCGTGTAGTATAGTTATTGTTGCTAGTAAATTAGCAATATGCTTCTGAATGGTCATTTTGCTTATTTTTTTCCCTTGTATATTAGTCATAGCCTATTTTATTCTCTTGAATTGAATTTCTTAATTTCTTCTCAACTAATTGTTTGAGATTTTCAACTCAATGGGATTCTAAAAATTTCTGAAAATTTGGATGAAATATTATTAGGAATATTTCATTTACAGTGGACAATGGTTAGAGTCGACTGTTTTGCGGGATAGGGGAAGCGAATTCGGAGAATTCGACTCTATTTCCCTGCCCCCACTACGCGCTCACGCCGAGCCCGACTTCCGAGAACTGGGAACGATAAAATGAAAAATACTATTTCTTTTCTCTCTCAATTCAACACTTCATTTTAATGATAAACTTTAGTTCACAGTTTCAACTATAATAGCAATATTCATATAGATTCAGACGATTTTTTTATTATCAATATTTTTAATTTCATTGACTATATTTGATCACAGAAGCTTTGTACCTAACATTCCATAGAACAGATATTTCTTCTGGAGTTAACGAACCATGTGAATCACAAATGTTAGTCGTTTTCTTTACATCGCTTCATTATTATTTTATTTAATCCAATTTCGAATTAATTTTATGCCAACAAAACGAGATCCTCCCCCCATGACAGCTAGAAGTGGACTAAATTTTTTGATCGACAATTCAAATGCAGAATATTTTATTTTTATTCTTTACTGGAATCGGAAGACAATAGCAATTTGAAGAAAATATTGGAGTGTTTACTCTCCGGCTTGCGTGGGGACAGTGGGGGAAGCGCTCGAGCGGCGAGACAAAAAAATTGAGGGGAAGTTCGACACTAACCAATATGCCTCTAACCAGAGTCCACTGTATACATAATTGAATGCATTCGAAACATCATATTTAAAGGAACCATCAGGAGGCTAACTTGCAGGGGAATTCATGAAAAATTCGAAATTTCCAAAAGTTATCCTAAAAATCAAATTAACGAGACAGTTATTGTAACCATCTTTTAACTTCGCCATAGTCGCATTGAAACAACAATTAAACTAGGGTGGAATTCATTTGAAGCGCAATATCCAGAGATATTTGCGAAATTCTGATGTTCGAAAAATAAGAAATTTTTGAAAAATTTCACAGAAATCAAAGTAAGGATTATTGCTATCGCTTTCATCTTCGAACTCGGTCAAAAGGACATCCCAACGAATTTTGTAAGACATCATTCAATGAATTTAGAACATTTTTTTAGTTATCGTGTTACAACTGAATTTTTAAAAAATTCGAAAATTCAAAATATGAATCAATGAGTCAAATTTTAATTAATGGCGATGAATAGGGCTTAGCAATACGTTCATTTAAGAAAAAAAATGATTCAATTTCATCGATTCATTAGCAAGAAATTGATGAAAAACTTTGTCACACGTCATGTCATATAACACAAAAAATCCAAACTATATATTTGAACGATTACAATGCTTCCGTTCGGAAGCAAAAACCTCGTGCTTTCCGCAAGAAATTATATTCAATTTCCATTGAATTCTATTAGAAATCTATCGAAAGATTCTATTCATTTTTTACGTCAATTCTGTTGAAAAATTATGCAAGATCTCCCCGCGTCTATAAGAATTCTGGGGCACGATTATTCCAAGTTTTCATTTCTTGGATTTTATCATGAGAAACAAATGAAAAAACAGCGGAAAAAACTTGGAAATTTTACGCCCAAGAATGTTTATAGAAAAATTCAGCAGAGAAGTCGTAAAACGGATTAAGTCGACTATCTCTTAGTTCAGTTTTTGAAGAATATCTCCGAATCTAAAGGAGATAATGAAATTTTCGTAACAACTTTTTTTCTAGAGCAAAGTGAGTGCTACAAAAAAGAGAATGACGAAAATTTAGCTACCTCCCTTAGATTCCGAGTTATTCATTAAAAACTGGCCAATAGTAAAAATCGACTTAAACCGTTTTGCCACTTCGCTACTGAATTAAAATCCATTAACTTTTTTCTATCAAATATATATCTTGGACTAGTCTTCACTCAAAATGAAAACTCCATTCAAAAAACCGTTAAAAATCTACAAAATAGCACATGGTGGAGACGACAGAGTTGCTTCGACGGAAGTTTTTTAGACGCGCTCCCCCAAATCAGTGATATGTGCCTGAAAATCAAAACTTTTCTTTCTTTTCGGGAGCATATATCAATATTGATTACATCAAAAAACTTTTTCGCATTCGTTCCAGTTAATCATTGCAGTATTCGATACTGAAAAATCCGTGGAGCAGAAGGATGATGATGGTGTGGATCTGGTCACAGAGTACGACCGAAAGATTGAAGAAATGCTCGTAAAAAATTTAACTAGGAAATTTCCTGATCACCGGTGAGTTCGAATATCTCCGGAGCTTGTTTTCAGTAGTTATGCTAATATGCAGACATTGAAGGATTATGTCTACATATCTCAGGTGTATAATGAGAAGGGGATTTTGAATTCGCATTGGCGGTGGGGATTTAACCATTGACAACTGGTTTCATTTCATGATGCGAACTGCAATGAATATTCTGTTTTTGAGAGTCAATGTCAAGGAAGACACGTATGAAAAAAATGAATAAATAATAGTATATTATGCCACCAGGCGATAAAAATATTATCTGGCGAATGTGGATTCAATTACATGAGAATCACATTCGCCAGATAATCCTTTTATCGCCGTGTGGCATACAGTATTTTATGTCGTTGGGCCCGAAAACCGCGATCTAACCGAGCGAAGCGAGAAAAATTTAGCCATTTTCTGCGTGTCTGTTTTAATAGAAGAACATGAATCTTTTCGATAGTTTTTCATTTTTCGGTATAAGTTATGCTCTTATGATTGTCTTCTGAAGAAATTCTTCAGCAGAAATTTTTCTATTCTTTTTTGACTGTTTTCACGGATGAAATAATTTAATAGAAAAACCCAGTGAATTCGTTAGAAAATTCTATTAGTTTTTGCCGATTCTATTGAGATAGAATAGAATAGAATAGAACATGCGCGGCTGGCCACTTAAAGCGCCCAGAGTCACCTAAATCATACGATCTTTTGTAACATCCGCCTTAGTTTCGGTCAGTCACAGCCCCAGCCCTGTGTTTCTCACTAGGCTAATAAGGCTGGTGACAGCCGCTTGTTGTAAGTCCTCTGGTTCCAGGAAAAATCTATTGAAATACTTTCGGTAGAATTTCCTGGGCTCAAGTTTTTCCAATTTTTTTGTTTGATTTTCTTGATAAGAAGTAAAGAAAAATCGAATGAAAAAAACTTGGAAAATTTACGCCGAAGGAATTCTGTAAAAAATATCTAAAGAGAATAAGTTATATAGAAAAATCGAGTTCTATACTGACTTTTTCTATTGAACATTTCAGTAGAATCGGCCAAAAACTAATAGAAAGTTCAATAAAAATTCGAGAAGACTGTAAAATATTCAGGTCAAAGGAAATTCAATAGAAAAAAATTTCAACAGTTAAGTTGTAGCGAAAAAATGAAATGTATTTTCTTTTTCTATTCGATTTCTCTATTGAAAAAAGTCCATAATTCTCTTTTAAATACGTCCAAGACGAATAGATGACATCTATTACGTTTACGAAATATTCTAGATTCATTGGCGAAGAAGAAACGGCAAAGTCTAACATACTCCCAGAATATACAGACGCTCCGACATGGATAATCGATCCCATCGATGGAACCACTAATTTTGTCCACTGTTTCCCAAACATTGGAATATGCGTGGCCTTTTCAGTAAATAAAATTATTGAGTTTGGAATTATTTACAATCCCGTTACAAAGCAAATGTTCACTGGGAGGAGGGGACAGGGGTCTTGGCTGAATGGAAAACGATTGAAAACGTCGACAAGGCGAGGCACGTAGTCTTTTTCTTTTCGACAGAATTGTGGCAATGCCTAGATCGATGAACGTAGGAACACCTAAAGATGTTGAATTTTCACAGATTTATCTAAATGTCTCGTTGGCATGGAGCCTTGGATCGCTCGAGACAAAAATTACAGGCCAAGTGTATACAGAAGAACAGATGCAGTTATTCAAAACACTAGAGGGTATATGAATGGAATGATAAAGAAATTGGACGATCGGGCGAGCACGCCGCGAAGCGATTATACAGTGTCTCGTTCGAAGGGATCACTAGGTAGTACCGCTACTATACACAAGGTCCCCCTGCAGGGGACCGTCTTCTCGCTATACTTGCCTGCAGGGGGCAATTATGATCCCCCTGCAGGGGACCGTCTTCTCGCTATACTTTGGTTAAAAGCTGTGGTAACACCTTGTGTATAGTAGCGGTACTACCTAGTGATTCCGAGAACGAGACACGAAGTATAATTTCCTTGACATGTGTTCAACACTGACGAATTTTCAGATTACGAGTATTAGGAACAACTGCACTGATGCTCTGTTACATCGCAATGGGGGCGATAGAAGCTTATCACGTAGAAAGTGTCTATGCATGGGACGTAGCCGCTGCCAAAGTTATCTTGGAAGAGGCGGGTGGTGTAATAATTGATACTTCAGGTAACGTAAATTTATAGGAAGTTCAACGAACAGGAGATTTTGGACCCACAACAATCAAAATGAAACAGTCGACAAACGACTGTTTGACGCAATTCAAGCAAAAAAATTTGTTTTATTAAATATTTTTTTTATTAATCATTGTTTATCAATTTTTTTTATTTTTGGGAGTACTGATCAGAATAATAAGTTTTTTTTGTAGCGAAGCTACTTTTATATTTATTTCACACCATTTCAATGTATTGTTTTCGAGCTCGGCTTAGCAACCGAATTTCGTACCGTGACACGTGTCGCCAATATATGGCTATCCTTGTTGCAAGACATCCTCGCGACGATTCGTAATAATTCGGATATCCTCGATCGGTGGATCTAATACCGTTGTCGCGGGAGCTCACTCTCGTTCCAGCTCTCATGGTGTAAACCAAAGTTACTCTCGCTGTGAATAAATTCAATTCATATATACGTTAATTCCGAGTGTTATAACTTGCAATCTCTTCTATCCTTCACCGAATCCCACATTTTTATTCTGTAGAATGGAAAATTATGGAGGAGTTTTGACGGGAGAAGATTTTGTCAATGGATTAATTGAAAAGAAAATGAAACAGCAAAATGAAAAGTGTAAACGGCCTAACATAATCAACTGAATTATAATCCATTGAATGATAAGACGAATAGAAAATTATTATTCACATCCGTACTCCCAAAAATAAAAAAAATTAATAAACAAAAGTTGAAAAACAATTTTATGACGTGGGGGGTCATTTTGGAAAACGGTCCTTATGTTCAGCGCCATCTATCGGAATTCTAGAAAATTCTACACGTTTCGGGGTAATTCGAGAAGATTCTTGAAATTTCGAGGAAATTCAGGCAGCTTCTAGAAAATTCGAGAGAATTCAAGGTGTTTCCAGAAAATTTGAGGGAATGCAAGGAGTTTCTAGGAAATTCGAGAAAGAAGGAAAGACCATGGACGTATCCACGTACAATTACAACTGTATCGAAGATACAGCCGCCTGCAATTTTTTTTGCTTGAATTGCGTCAAATAGTCGTTTTTCGGATGTTTCATTATGCCCCACTCCCCTCTACTTTTTTCGCATGTGAGTTGATGGGAGATAAATATCAATGATCCAACAAAAGTTAATGATTTCTACGAAACAGGTGGAGAACTCGATCTGCTGCAGCCTAAAGTGATTGCCGCCTGCAATCGTTCGATTGCAGATCAATTGGTTCAGCTATTCAAGGACGCCTCGTCGGAATCTGGAGACTCAACCATGGAAGCGCTGATCAATTCATAAAGGAAAGGTAAGGCAAGAAAATCGTCTTGTTACGAGGTCAATTTCAGGAAAATGGTTATTGATATCGAGAAAGCGTGATACAATATTGATATGTTCTGCTTCAAAAGTATATGTTAACTAATAAACGTTATCTACATTAACATATGAGATAACATGCTCTGTATTCTATGACGTATGTTATTATATCATATGTGATACATATCTATTTACACACAGAAAAACCTGTACGTAAATTACGGTTAATATCACCGTAAATTACGATTACATAAACGGATTACGGTTTCATATTCCTAAATAATTATGATTTTTTTTGTGTTTTACGTTTAGGTATACGTAATTAACGATGAAGAAAAAAAAGTTAGTCAAGCGTAAAATACGATGTTTTTTTCTCGTAAATTACGCAAAAGTAAATAATCGTCAAATACGTTTCTATTGAAATCGTTATTTACGATTTCTGAAGCGTAAAATATGCTTAGTGAAACGTAAAAGGCGCTTTGTTTCGGCGTAATGTATGTTTTCATTTTAACCGTAAAATACGCCTTTTTAAGCCTAAATTCCCCTTGTGGCGACGCAAAAAAGCCACCAGACATCATATTGCTGTTAAGCGTAAATTACGTTTAGCAAAAACCGTCAATTACACTTAACAAAAAGTAATTCACGTGTAGATTTTTCTGTGTAGCTCATAGGTCACACCCGTACTTGCATATAGATTTTTTCCCGTGGGTAGTCATTGGAATAATTAAATCCCGTTTCATTGTGGACAAATGTCATGTCATTCACCAGTTTCTATGCTCAGACCAATGGTGTCGTCTTGAGTGTCTCGAACGTTTAGATTTCGGTGCGGCCTCAGGTTTCATCCAAACACTACACTTGTCCTCAGGGTTCATGGGACTCCCTTTCGGGCAGTTGAAAATTTTTTCGAACTCCTGAGTATTGGAAATTGACCCCAACACTCGGTATTTCGCTGGGCTGTGAGGGTCCCTCAATATGTCTTTTCTGTTATGATACTCTGGAGTGGCTACTTCACACCACAACTACGAAAAAGATTCGTTGTTTTTACTTCTAAACATTTTCGAGTTTGAAGGAGTTGAATATTATTCATGACTAATGGATACAAACCCCAGCGAAAGATATGAAGAACATTTGCTCATCGGTAAATTCCTCGAATCCCGGAAGTTTCAGTTCTTCATGAGGTCTTCTATTCTTCTGCACGTGCTTGTAAGCACGCAATACGGATTGAATGCCGGTTGTATCAGCGATATTTTCTTGAACGGTGCCTTTTCCCCTCGTCTCCGGACTCTCGTCGCTATCAGCATATGGAGAAGGTGGGAAGGTTTGTCCTCCGTAATATTCATCGAACTGGTCGATGAAGCATCTAGCTTGTTGGTAATAAAATTTCGCCATATTCTCGTGAATGGAGGCATTTGTATCGAGCCCTAATAACAAGAATTACCAATTGAGAAGTTTGGTGACTAATTCAGTAGCAAAGTGGTAAAACGGTTTAAGTGGAGTTATCTCCCAGTTAAGTTTTTGAGGAATATTTTGGAATCTAAGAGAGATAGCGAAATTTTCGTAATTATATTGTTTGAAACGCAACTAAAATTCCAGAACATTCTGGTCGACTAGCTCGGCCTACTTCGAAAATCTCCGGGACCCTTCGGGTCATCAGTTATAAGTGACCGAAACACGCGCGAATCAGTTTAGGCTTGGCCTCTCACCGTATAAGTCTATCTCGAGCAAATCACCTGTAGAAGTCGTATAGTATCAGTACAGTTTCGATCAGTACATCAACTCAGTTCATTTATTCAGTTTTATAAATTCCGTCTAGAGTCAATCAACGCAGTTAAATAATTATAAGTATAAATTCAGCAAATCAATTAACAACTTTCTAGAGACATTCAACCGTGTATAAAGTGTAGATATTTTTAGACTTTGGTGGCTGTTGGCCACCAATAAATTGTGACTTTAGAAAACCCAGTATTTTTTCTTTCACGGCTCATCCTACTTTAACTATCCTCTAACACCTCCCGCAATCCACCCAATTTACAAATTCTCTCCTCAAACATGTATTTGTTGTAGCTCTCAATTGGCTCTACAAACAAGAGTATAACAAAAAATTTTCTGTCTCGCGTAGATTTCGAGATATTTATTGAAAACTGATGAATAGTCAAAATTGACTTGAACCGTTTTACCACTTCGTTACTGAATTCATAGTAATACTAATCCGTGACCACGTCACAAGATTATTTCAAATAATTCTCCTAGGCTGCTTGAATGAATTTAACCCTTAAGAGGTCGTGTTTTTCTAGCATTTTACTCGCTCTACAGTGGCCTCTAAAAGAGGCTGTAAATAGCATAAGTAGTACAGTAGGAGATTGCAAATAATATGTCCTAAGGGCTCACAACAAGAAAAAGAACGAAGAAAAACAGGGGCAGGCAGCATGAAAGGAGGTTGCCTGTGGTTTAGCGGGGATTTCATCACGATACAACCACTTAAAGGTTAAACCTGTTTGAGACATCACTATAATATTATGAATGCTCACATAGAAATACGAATGTTCCCAAACAGTACCTTTCTTCTAAAGGTATGGTAATTGAAAAAAATGAATTCTTAAGGTATTCAATGTTAAATTCAAAAGTGAATGGTAAGCCATAAATATTGTAACGTAATCGAATGTTCCATTTATCAATGCTCTCCCCTCTTGATGAAATAATAGTAGATTTTGTTATTAGGCCGAAAAAAACTTTTCTGGTGAATATGAGTTAGCAGCCTGAGCCAAAGGCAAGGCTGCAGGCAGTCATAACGGCTGTAGATAATGATCCACGGAGGCATAGCGTCCGTGAAGCGCTGCCTTAGGCCGGAATGACAAAAATGAATGTGTGGGTTTGTTTTTGTTATTCTATTGATCGGATGTTATTCAAAACCCAGGAGAGATAAATTCAGCTTCACCTGTATTAATTGAATATATAAATATTTGTTACAATATCAAGCTCCACCAGTAATTTGCATTAACCAGGGTTCGCCGCAGAGACGCAGCTGGTATGAACTCCAAAAAGCCGCAATATTATGAAAATTTATAATTTATTTCTGGCGTGGTCGCTTAATTTTAGTACTACCTATTTCATCGCATTAGAAACTTATGTGTAATACGTACCAGCATAATCCAAACCATGGCCCATCTCGTGACCGATAACCACTCCTGCGGTGCCATAATTAACGTAACTGTAAGGGAACAGAAAAAAATTATTTGCGAAATTTTTTTTATCTCTTACTTTCTTTTACATTTGTCTATTACTCACTTTGGCACTTTGTCCCCGAAGAGGGGAGGCTGGAAATCAACTGCTGGAACAACTGTTGAAAACAAAAACATTTGTAATTCGTAAATTTTTCAATAATACCTTCATTGGAGTTTGACCACAAATATATCAATAGTAATGTGACAAAAGGACGTAATTGTAAGCAGCCTTGGCTTTCGATCGAGTTGTTGAGTAATCACGGCCGAAAAAATTTAATAGAAAAACCTATCGAATTCATTAGAAAATTATATTGAATTTCTACTGAATTGTTCTATTAGTTTTTGGCCGATTCTATTAAAATGTTCAATAGAAAATATTCCGTAGAAAAAGTCAATAGAATTCAATTTTTCTGTATAACTTATTCTATTGAGATATTTTCTATAGAATTTCCTCGGCTCAAATTTTCCAAGTTTTTTCTTTTGATTTTCTTGATGAGAAGAAAAGAAAAATAGAAGGAAAAACTTTAAAAATTTGAGTCAAGCAAATGCTATAGAAAACATGAAAAGAATAAGTTATATAGAAAAATCAATTTTTTTTTACTTTTTCTATTGAATGTTTTCTATTAAACATGTCAATAGAATCAGCCAAAAACTAATAGAAAGTTTAAGAGAAATTTAATAGAATTTTCTAACAAATTCGATAGGTTTTTTATTAACTTTTTTCGTGCGTGATATCTTTGAATCTAAGAGAGATATCGAAAATTTTGCATAAAATCTTTTTCATAGCTTTCACTGTTCCCGACAGAATGCATCCTTCGAAAAATTCCTCTACTTTCCTTCGATTGAGAAAATCCTGATAAAACTGATTGCGAAGCAAATTCTACTTGGTTTGTTTTTCCACTTCACTACACATCTATATAACAACTTACCCATAATGTTCATACCCATGGCGTATGCTGCGTTCACCGTTAGAGGGTCCATCATCCATCTGAAGCAAAGTTGTATGCAATGAAAAATACTGTAGGTAGCTTCCCCTATAGTCATGAATCAAAATGAATAATTTTCTTACGCCTCGTTGCCTTTGTATCCTCCAAATGTGCGGATCGCCAACTTTTTCTCGTACCTCATGTAGCTCAAGACATTATCCAGATATTCATTGCCAATAGTTAGCTACACGTAGGAAAAAAAAGAGTATCAATCCATGTTCAATCGTTTTGCTTATTCAGTTAATAATATTCCATTGTTCCCCATACCCCTTTGTAGTGATTGATAACAGCAGTTTTATTTTTGTACCACTCTGGGAATCCAACGAAAGTCTGCATTTTATCGACCTTCTCCATCGCTTTCTTCTTCCCCTCCTCAGTTATCCAATTCGAATTCTCGATTTGGCATTTCAATTCTTTCTGAATATTTTTCATCATCCGGAGGACCTGAAGATTCAAACATTTGCTGTCTCAGTTTCAATATTGAAATACTCATTATAATGTTTGTTGGAAGAAGATAGTTACGGCTTTGTAGGAACTCTCCTTGATGTATTTCCCGATGAATACTAACGCAGCTGCGTCGGTCATCTTCACTTCCTTCACGCATTCCCGCCAACTTGAGAATATATAAGACAACTCAATACATTTACTCGGTATCTTTTTATCTTTCAATGTATTGTTATATACCCACTATTTTCTTAGATTTAGTTTCCCAACAGTTCTATTCTTCTACAAGAGTCCACCAAATATTCCCATTCTCAATTACTTTATTACATTTTATTATTTAATTCTAATCCTGCAAACTCCGAAAACCCAAAGAATCGTTTTATTTATTATCCATTTCACTGAACATTTTTCGCATGCGTTTAATTGCTCACTAATCCGGGACTTTCCCAACACCTCAATTACTCGAACTCCTCACCGAGCCGTACCCCCTAGTGGAAAATCCAAAATTATAGCGTTACATACCTGATCAGAATCTGACAAGGTAACCTGATCAGTGTCTGATCAAGACCTGACTAAAATTTCCACTCGGGTTGGATACAATTTGAGAGTGAAATTCGTAAGTGTCCTGGTAGCTCAGATGGTGAGAGCACCCAACGCGACATTGGGAGGTCCCGGGTTCGATTCGCGGCTAAGAAGTCACTAATTTTTTCTTTCAAAATAATTAAATTTAATTAATGCCTAATGATGGTAGGCGTCGAAACCCGAGTGGAACATCCAAAATTATAACGTTACATACCTGATCAGAATCTGATAAGGTAACCTGATCAGTGTATGATCCAGACCTGACTAAAATTTCCACTCGGGCCTCTCCCCTACCTCCGTAAGTCCAACCCGCAGAGTTCATCCCTCATCAAAAGTGACCAATCAGCCACCTTGGGCCTGACTTCCTCCATTCTCTCCAACTCTTAATGTCTACCCTCAGAGGACTCAGATTAAAACCCTCTGTACTCCAACTTAATCAGAATTATTCAAACAGTCTAACAATCAACATCTATTCAGGAAGATCTATTCCAAAGCATCTCAAATTGTACTTGTATTTAGTCTTAAAATACAGATTTCCTGTTAATTTGAAGTGAGTCCTTTTTCTTCAATCCGAAATTCAACAGTATTCTATAGTACTCACTGTGGCTGTCGCTCTTTCACGTCGTATTCGTCCTTCACGAGCTCAAAGAATAAGTCCTTTACTTCATCAATTGTGTACTTCAGAGTTTGACTCACAAATTTCCAGTGGATATAATTCACTATAATAATGTAGTATGTTTTGAGGCTTTTACGATTATGATTATTCACATCGATATTGACTTCCGGATGGATGTAGCGCTTGAGTTTAACATTATACCGACGTTTCGCAAACATCATGTTGCTGAAACGTCGCCGAAATATTGAATCCAAGCGCGCTATCCATCCTGAGACAAATTAGTATATTACAATACAAGTGAAAAAAATAGTTGTCGATGTGTGTGAGGTCGAGTCGAAGGCAAGATCTGTAATCACACTCGTCAGGAAATACATTTTTCGTCATTCCGGCCGTAAGGCAGCGCTTTACGAACGCTAGGCTTTGTGACAAAAATATCGTCCGACATACGGCATAAAAAAACTTTCAAAACGCTCAAAACTCGACTTCTGCACGACTTGACATAAAATATTTTAGAGCACTCGGTAATAAATTTCGTTTTCAACGAATGTGTGTACAGACCTCGCCTTCGGCTCGGCCTGCAAACTACCCATTCGTTGAAAACGAAATTTGTGCCCTTGTACTCTAATGTACTATTCTAGCTCATATGATTGCAACCCGCGCCTTTGGCTCGGGCTGCAAACTCATATTCGCCAGAAAAAAATTTTTCCAGTCTAATGACGAAACATACTATTTTTATATGTACGATATTTTATGATACTGGTGAGAAAAAGACGACTCTTTGCACGCCAAGCGTGCAAAAAGGTGCCCTTTTTTCACTCGTATCATAATATTGGATTTCGTCATAAGATCGAAATAGTATATTACGACGTAAGTGAAAAAGTAGTTAGAAGTACATTCTTCCATATGTATTGGACGATATTTTGTGATACTGGTGAGAAAAAGGCAGTTCTTGGTGCGTGAAGTGTGCAAAAAAATGCCCTTTTTTTCACTTGTATCATAAAAAACTTTTCTGCAGAGCATGAGCTAGCAACGTTTTTCAGGCCGTGTGACGTACAATATTTTTTGTCGTAACGACCGTAGGCAGCAATTGACGGATGCGTAGGGTCCGTGAAGCTCTACGGCCGTAATGATAAAAAATAATATATAGCATTATAATATAATATTCATATTATGCGCATTATGTAAATATGGGCAAGTAAAGGAAAAGTGTTCTGTTACCAATTGTCCGTTTATCCGTGGATTGTAATATTTTAGGAAGTACACGATAGTATCGTGAAGACGCCACAGCCATTGCGAAACTGCCCTCAACTTCCACATTAGCAATATCAAATAGATTTTGAAGAACTTTCTTCCAATCGATCTAAGTCCAACAAGAAACTTGATGAATATGAGCGAAAGCGGCAGAAGGCTTCGTAATTGATTCAATTAATAATAGTTACAATTGCCTGCGGATCTTTAATCGCCTTTGTCTTATTACCCCACCACTCGAAGAATGTATCGAGATCAGTCTCGTCCAAATCATCTTCAAGTTCATCCAGTATGTCAAAGAGAGTTTCTCCGTTCGTTGCCTGATAAGAAATTCAATTTTGAAATATAGCGTTTTCAAGAAATGCATTATAGTCCAGACCTCAAAGCATTTAATTTTTCAAATGAACTGAATAATTTGGAACAAAAGTTTTACAACGCCATGGTCTTAGTTTTTATATGAATATTCATATACTGAAGATGCAGCAACCATCCCGAATGAGAAGTAATTGTTTAAACAATAAAAAGGAACGATTTGTCGGTTTTTTACGTTTTTCGTGAAAACCATCTGTTTTACGACAAAAATACTTTTATTCAAAATGGATCCTCATCAAATTGCCTACACGCCTATTTCCAACTAGTGGATCCATTTGAGCCTTAATTTACTGTAAAGACTTTTTTTACGGCCTTTTGAGTCCTCTTTTCGAGTCTCATTTCGACACTCTATCCAACCCTATGCATGCGGCTGTGGATTCTACACTGTACCACATTCGCAGTCCTATAGAACATAGGAATAGCATGGGAAACCACAGGAAACCCATGCCGGTACAGGCGGTTACGCTATTAGCAACCTCCCGCTGGCCGGAACCTTCCGTTGAAAAATTCGGTTCCACGGGGAATCGAACTCACAACCTTTCGCACACTAGACTTGCGTCTAGCCCACTCGGTCACCGGCGTCGGTACTACTGTAAAGATTGTTTTCGAATTCTATTTAATGACTTGGTTCGAATACGATACCATGTAAATCATTCTTTCCAGCTTGATAATTCCATCGATATCCTCTTCCAACTGTTCTTCAGAAACATCAGCACGTGTGTGATCAATAAACAATTTAGCAATACCCTGGATCATACGTTGATAAACTTTATAGTCTTCACCCGTATAGTTTCTGTATATCGTAGGGAGGTCCTCCTCGAAAGGCAATGACGGACGGAAGAACTGAAGTCACATCGATGAATAAGAGACAGTCATTGGTCAAGTTGAAAATAATTTCAGAGCCTCATCACCACTTACTATTATCCCTCTATCGGGTTCCTCATCTGGCATGGACATCGGCTCTATTTTCCAAAATGTGGATTCCCCTGTCAAACGTGTGTAGAAAGCTTCCACTTCCTGCCACGACATTTCATCATCATGCCACTCTTCGGCATCCATAATCATTGGCCATCCACCATTCTGCATGATAAATGATTCGATAGGCTTGAGACCCCGCGCTTCGCGAGCCTCTGCAACGCAATACAGAATCAGTCACTAATTATATTTGAATAATGATTAACCCTAAATTGGTCACGCGATGAGGGAAACCCCGCCGCGCGTCGTTTTTCTTTAATTACAATTGACTGCCTAATCGGAAGAATTAAAAATTGCAGGCGGCTGTATCTTCGATACAGCTGTAATTGTACGTGGATAAGTCCATGGTCTTTCCTTTTTTCTCGAATTCCCTAGAAACTCCTTGCAGTCTCCCGAATTTCCTAGAAATTCCCTGAATTTCGAGGCTCGAAATTTCTAAAAACTCCTTGAATTTTTTCGAAATGTCAAGAAACTTCTCAAATTATTTCGAAATGTCTGGAATTTTCTAGAATTCCGATAGATTCAATATTAAATCCGATGATTTCATATTGAAATCATAGACGGACCCACGCAAAAAAAATGTGACTTTGTCAATTGAAGTGTCCAAAAAATTATAGTAGTTTTTAGAACAACATATTTCCCGAAATTCAAAAAAAAAAATCATTTCGGACAGATGAATTTTTTTTTCCATGTTAAATGAAATTGCCCATGACGCGATATTGCTGGAAACTCGCTAAACGCGCCCGGGCAGCGTAGAGTGAATTTGGCAATGCTAAAGCCTAAATAACACCGTGGGGAATCCCCGCGGAGGTGATCAATCGCAGGGTTCCGTTTGGTGACCAGACTGGGGTTAATTTAGTCACTGATCGTGAATGACGATTACTAACCCGTGTCCATGCACGAACGATACCACTTCTTTGCCTGTCGGACGGGAAGAATATCTTTGTTGCTTGACTTCTCCTCCAATAGATCTGAAAGATATCAACTTTATTAGTGAGAAGAGGAGTATCGTTATATCTGATAAATCGGTTGCCCGCGATTCACGGAAAAACTATTGAACCTCTTTCAATTGAATTCAGTAGCAAAGTGGTAAAACGGTATAAGTCAATTTTGGCCATTGATCAGTTTTCAACCAATATCTCGGAATCTAAGGGAGGTAGCAAAGTTTTTGTTATAACCTTTTTTGTGGAGTCGATTGAGTGCTACAACAAATGTAATTACGAAAATTCCGCTATCGCCCTTAGATTCGGAAATATTCCTCAAAAACTCAACTGGGAGATAAGTCAACGTAAACCCTTTTACCACTTCGCTACGGAATTGTGACTGTTACTGTTTATACTGCTGGTAGGACATGAATTATTGTCTTCCGCTGGATATTATGCAAGATAGAAAGTTTTGGAAAATTCTCCCTGAAAATTTTCGGAACCTACTAAATATTCACATAATGTTCGTTGGGACAAATTCGATTTGTTTATCCCCTTACGGTTGGGGCCCTTTTGTTTCTGAGCGTGGTGTACGCTCGATACCACTAGAATTCGATGACTTATAATCAATGGAAAATTAGGAAACCCATATTTCGTTGAAGTATTTTTTTTTGACGTCATCCGTTTAATTGAGTTACCCTCCATAGTTTTGGAAATAATCAATTTTGAAAAAAATCATTCACATTTTTATGTGTCGATACCATGAAATGTGGTTAATGGTCGATTTTCAAAATTTTTAGAACCTTCTGGAAAACTTCAGAATTTCCGAGAAAAATGATCGGAGCATATTTTATCTACGATCATTTGACAATCCTCTTTTCAATTTTGAGTGTTTCCTGAAAATTCACGTATTTTTATTAACAATTCGAGAGACCTTCCAGATTTTCTAACTAACTAGGAATATTTCGAATCGTTGGAATAATGTCGAGTTGATTTAGAACATGTTCCCCAGAATTTCCTATTTTTTTACAATTTCTAGAACTTTGACGAGCGCTCAAAGATGTTATCATAGGGAAATAAAAAATAGAGATTGTGGAGAACGGGGGAAGAGGGAGGCCTAAAAAATTCTGGACTTTTGGAAATTCATGTTTTTTTTAATTATTCGGCCCAACCAAAGCTGCGGAAGAAAGGGGCGGGGACAGCAAGTTCACAAATATAATTTTTCCAAACGAATATACTTACAGCATTAGATTATGCACAATTTCAATTTTATTAAAAATAATTACCTCGAATTCGGTTTTCTACTGTCGACTGAAAGTGCAAAAATCTGCTCCATGACGCTTCATACTTCGGAATAGGCTTCTTCGCCGCCCAACCGCCACAAGCGAATTCGTAAAAGTTGTCACACGGATCAACAGATTTGTCCATAGTTTCGTGGAATGCCTGAGCTATCATACGACACTCCTCCGTTTCACATACTTTCGCCTTCTTATGTTCAATAATTTCATTTTCAACGTCGTTATTTTCATCATTCGATTGATCAGATTCCTCCAACGAAAATAGCCACGACAAATCGTTCGGAATATTTCGCCTTTTGGCATGTAAATGCGATGTTGAGGATAACGATAATATTGCCAACAGCACCCTAAATAACAATGGAAAGAAAATCAACAGTACCAAACTTTATTCGCAAATCAAAGATGATTAATTTGACTCACAGCAATGTCTTCATTGTGATAATTTTCCTATAATAAAATACGTATCTAAACGACTGCCACTGACACACTATTACCATCAGAAAGTTACTATTTAAACCCTTCGATAGACCGGACGGTCCTTGAGTTTCTATCTTCTAGTTTAATGAGGGTGTAATATCGGAGTCAGTGTAGGCTTTCGATCCTTGCTGACAGGATGCGATAAAGATTCACTGCATACGCAAATAAATTGCATTATCATTTGTGATTTAATCAAACTTTACATATTGCCGTCATCAACCAGAGCGATGAGATATTCAATGAGGAGAAAAGCGATGAGTACACGCAGGAAACAATGTATATGCCATAAAGCAAAGAATGCCATGATGAAATAGATATAAAAAAGTTGTTCCTGTTATCGAAAGTATTCAGTTCAATTTATTTCCTTGATGTTACAAAAGTTTTCTTTGTTTCACATCCACACAAGCCTCCCATACTCTTTATTTTCATCTCTAATCTCGTGTTATTTCCTTGTTTACATACTCACTTATAGTCTACTTCATATATTTATTCATTGTTTATTAGTTTAATATCACATAAGTCTCTTGTATCACATTTGATTAGTTTTTGGATTTTAAAATCACTTTCCCCTCCTGCTTCCAAGCTCCTTCCTTCGATTTCTCCTTATCCTCTCGCCTGTGTTATCGAAAGTAGTTCAGTTGGGTTTGAAGGAAATTATGAAATTTGGCATTGAAATGACCAGTGAAATTACTAAAACTACTAAACGTTAAATTACTACTAAACGTTTCAATTAATAATTGCGACACTGCAAATATTTCGAATGTTTATGCTTAAAATTTGAAGAACTACTATCCTTTTCAGAAGTGTAATCCGCAAACTTTGGAGGCTTGTATCTTCGCGAAAAAAATGGCACTACTATGGGGCTAATTTCATTCGTTAAATTGAATATTACTCTACTCCAATACGGAGTTTCATTTTCTTTCATCCGATAGTTTCTGCGTTATTATGATAAGAAGAGGAAAAAACTAATGTGTTTCGTGTGCCGTGCAAATTAATGAACTTTGACCGATTCCCAGGACCTCAATTTTGTTTTTCCAAAAATTATCCCAATTTTTTACGATAGCCCACTTGTTCAAAAATGAAATGGTTAAACAAAAATTTCAGGTTTTGAACAATTACTAGTTTTGTAAATAAAAATATCTCATGCGACTATTTCCGAAATTGGCTCCAGTCATACATTTTTTCGTAAAGACAATGCCCACAATGTTTGCGGACTACACTTTTGAAAAGGATTAGCATTTTTTTCATGTTTCAATTTTTTTCATGTTGAAATCAACATTTAGGCGATAAACCCTAGAAAAGTCTAGAATATTCTGAAATATTGTCGGAGTACCTAAAGCATAGACCGATGATGAAAGGGTTTCGTTGGTAAGTTCTCAAATCAATGGAAAAGTTTCTATCAATTTTCACGGTAATTATACAATAAAATCGTCCTTCACTACACGTTGAATTTATGGGAAGACCTCACAAGTTGAAAATTTACAAAATTACTTTTAGAAAGAAAAGCGTAGAATGGGAGGTCCGTACATCTACATGAGCCAGGCTCCATATAAATAAGTGTGATAGCTCAAAGATGTGAACCTCGTTTACAGCAACCAGGTTCCGACCTAATTTACGTCGATATACTTCAAGATTAAGATACAAACTTTAATATTTACCTATCGGTAAATCTGAAAAATATGAGCCTACTATGCTACCATATTACCAATATTTTTGATAACTCTCACAGTCCACGGACTCTCACAGTCCACGGGGAAAAGCATGCGCAGCTAGAAGTTTGATGATTATGTTAATCAATCTAGGATTCTTTTCATAAACTCACCGAAATTCCTTCATTTTCGGGCTCTCCAGATTCGTGCGTGTTGGCGGTAATAGTGTAGAATGCGTAATAAGTTGTCAAATTTGCGAAATTGGCATCGACTTCTTGCCATGAACGGTCATCTTCCTTCCAGTCATCAAAATTCATGGCCATTGGCCAGCCTCCATTGCTCTCAAGAAATGATGCGATTGTATTGACTATACTTGCATTAAGAGCAGCTGCAATGAACGAAGCGAAAGTACGTTCGTTTAAGGGGTAGCAGAATGCCAAAATTTTCCAAGTTTTTGAACAAATTTTCTGTTAAAAGTTATCGATATTTTCACAAATAAAAACACATTAATCTCCAGGAGGCGATGATGAAGGTCTATGCGCTTTGAATGTTAAAAATATTAATAACTTTGAGCATGAAATTTGTTTGAAAATTTGAGTTTTCAAAGACTTTTCATACGTTGAAGATCGATTATATAGATTTTATATATTTTTTATATCGATTATTAGACTTTTCATACGTTTTCAGATCTATATAATCGATCTTCAACGTATGAAGTCTCACTCCAATAACCCACGACTTTTAAAACTCATAGTAGTCTGCCCTTAACCCTAGTCTGGTCACCTGACGGGAAAATGCGACTTTAGTCACCTTCGCGGGAGAGTGCCGCCGTGTTATTTGGGCTCCAGCGTTGCCGAATCCACTCTACACTTCCGGGGCGCGTTTAGCGAGTTCCCAGCAACGTTGCCCAACAGGCAATTTCATTTAACACGGGAAAAAATTGTTCACCTGTTGGAAATGATTTTTTTTCTCACAGAATTAAGGATACAATATTGAAAAAAAAATACTAGAATTTTCCAGGTACTTCAATTGACGAATTCAATTTTTCCCAAATTTTTCCGGTCAACCAGTCGATGGCAAGGTGAATAAAACAACGTGTTACGGCAATTCTCTCGCATGGTGACCAGTCTAGGGTTAAATAGAACCTTTTCCTTAAGGTGTAACCCCTTAAGGTGGAATCCCTATGTTTATAGGAACTTTTAGAATTGTGTGTTCTCCGGCAATTAGTATTTTTTATTTATAAAACTACTTCATTGACTCAATAAAGCAATGGTCGAGTGGATAAAGTCGTTTCATATATAATTAATAGTAGTATTCTATGTATAGTTAATAATTGTATGAAAAAACACAATTCAAAAAGCTCATACAGACATAGGGGTTCCGTTTCCCCTTAAGATATATCCCAAGACAATCGGACCCAAAAGTTAGTCCCTATGGATTTCCGGAAAAACTTCTAAATAATTTAATTTGTTGCATTCTCATAAGCTATTGAGTTTTTCTATTCTCATGTGTTGTTGATACAGGCAACAATAACTGTTTGAATCAAGTATGAAATTATATGTTAATTAATTTTTTGAATCAAATAAGGAATGCTTTCACGAAATTTACATTTTTTACAGTTAAATATTGTAGAAACTATGTAGTACAAAATTTTTTTAAAACTTCAGCGTATTCAGAAGTTATCGATCTATCGCGGATTAGTTTTTCAAGAACATGGAAGGAATTTTTTTCTCATAAAACGGAAAAATTGAGTTCGGGGGGACACATAACCGCCGTTTGGCCTAGGCCTCGCACGCTAGGAGTCCGCATTATTATTTATCATCTCCTAAACTGTGTAGTACAGCTAGTTAGCATTTTTTCGATAACTGCGGACTATTTGAAACATTATCTATTAAAAACATGGGAACAATTTTAAGAAAAACACGCTTTCTAGGGATATACCTTTAGGATATCCAAGCATCTTTTACAGTTTGTTACAGATCACACTATACATCCAACCATTTTCAATCATTAAATTTGTTAATTTAAATGTATGAGAAAAATTTGAAAAAAATCATGAATATTCATCATCGTTCAAATTACATTTTGCACAGAATCATTATTTTTTAAAGCTTCATTGTTTATAAATAAATAATTGAAATTGTTTAAACTTTCGAAAACCGAAATTTTTAGGCCTAAAATCGATTTCTGGTAAAATTCTGAATATGAATAAATTTGTTACGATTCCGAACAAATAATGGTTAGGTGGAAAATTGATTCCTTATGATTGTTAGTTGATTGTTTACGGTTCAATGTCGAGATTCAAATTCAGACCTGCACAGTCTAAATAATAAAATCGTTGTAGAATGTCCGAAAACTTAGAGTCAAATGGGGCACAAATGAAAGCTCTGATGTTCGACTACAAAAGTAGAAAAACATTTCACTGGAGAAAAAACTGTCAAAGTAGTTGGATATCCTTAAACTTAAATAAATAGGTGGAAATCTTCAAGTGTAAGTAGAGTTCACAATTTTCGAATACTGACCGATGTCCATACATGACTGATAGAACTTCTTCGCTTGCTGAATCGGAAGAATATCGGTGACTTCCGGCGCTCTCTCCAGCATACCTGCACGCAAAAAAAAGATTCATAGAAAAACGTAAAGAATTCGATGCAATTCGATTCTAAAGGTCTTCGCTAATTCCGCTAATTTTTTTTCTCATCATTCATTCACACATTCAGTGAGTAAAGAAGATAAAGTAGAACAGAAGAGTCTTAGTACTTTTCAGACGTTTCTGGAGCGCGAGATGTGTGGATTCGAGACGATTCCAGATATTTACATAGCCTGGAATTGTGTTTTTGCTGGCCCAACCACCACAACTGTACTTGTAGAAGTTTTCACATGGGTCGACGGTTTCATTCATTGTTTCGGCATACATCTGCGCTATCTCTTGACATTCCTCTGTGAGACAGACATGTGGTTTCATGAGCTCAGATTCCCCAGGCAATGGCAAAGCTACAGCTAAGACTGCGAATATTATCCTGAAAGCAATTAACCAGAAGTTCCCAAAATTCGAAATTCTTCAATCAGTACGGATTTGAATTCCGTGGATCATATATAATGAGAAAAAAAATTAGACTTACCATAATTCCGGGAAAGTCGACATTTTTTGGGCTAAAGAAAAGCAATCGTCAAGCAATAGTCACTGTAACTCGAGTATTTGTGGAAAAAAAAGGACTATTTTTCAGTAGAATGCACTGATAACGTCCCGTAAATGTTGCAATAATAAAATGAAACAATAAAATTTTACTTCGAAGTGGATTATGATCATCGCTGAAATGTTAGACCGAGGATGTTACAATTTTATAGGTACATATATTCTGACCGTGAAAATATTGAAAGGGAAATTAAAGAATTCTTCATGATTTTTGTTTTTCAAAGACCACATAATTTTTTCATAATGTTCCTTCTAATTCTTCATAATTGCTATTTCCAAAACTAGTAGAAAAACCGAAGTTCTGACCATACATCTCGTGAAATCATTTCAACTATCCGCTGAATCTCCCGCAAACAGATGAACTATGAACTCGGAAGAACTCCAAGCACTGTTAGAATTTTTTTGAAATTTCAGTCACAATGTCCTCTGAATTTTTAATGTTGTGAGTTTGAATTAAATTTCAAATGAAAACCTTCACTACATTTCTCATTCATCTTGAAAATTCAAGAAAATTGGGTTTTTCATGTTAACGAATCATTGATTTTTCAATGAAAGCTTAAATTTTTAATAGTTTGAAAATTCAGAGAAGTTATTGCCTGAATTTTCAAAATTTCCATGGTTTTTCAGTGCCGTATGGATCTGAAAATTGAGAATTACTTGGATATTCAAGGAATTAACTGATTCGTCAATGAAGAATTCTACGGAAATTTCATGGAACTTTGTCATTGTTAAAAATTTCAAGCTTTTTCACATGAAATCTCAAGAGTAATTTTCTAACATTGAGTCTGCGAAGCAAAATAAATAGTCAACCCGAAGGAATTAAAAATAGTATTAGAATTGACTCCTTAATGAACACACGGAGAGAAATATTCAATAAAAATTACGTATCTTTTCCGTAATCCCGGAGCGAAATGTGGTTGTAGGAAATTTTACGGAATTCTCACGGAAATTTTCCAAAGCGTTCCGTAATTTTTACCTGAATCTCCTGTGAAAAATTACGATACCGTCACTTAAATTTTCTAAGTCAATGCCGTAATCGGGGAACGAATTGTGAGTTCCGTAATTTTTACCTGAATCTCCTGTGAAAAATTACGATACCGTCACTTAAATTTTCTAAGTCAATGCCGTAATCGGGGAACGAATTGTGAGTTCCATTATTTTTACTGAACATTTTTCTCCGTACATGTAAATATTACTTTTTTCCAGAGTCTCTGAGCGTGGTGACGTCTTCAACCTTCAAGCCTTCACCTACCATCTCTATACAAGTATGAGCGATTGAAAGTATTAATTCAAAATGTAATATAATGTGCATTCCGAATGAATAAATACGAGAGTTTATAATCCACCGATTGTCTTCTGAATTTCTCTTCATTCTTCTTTCGATCCTCAATAGCATTGTCCAGAGCCCCAGAATATCTCTTCATAAAATCCCAGTCTTCATGGCATTCTTTCATAATTCCCTCTCATTTTTTCATATGTTCTCTTTCCAAAATCTTATACTATTAAATCATTACAACTATCCGATTATACTCCCCAGGTGATTCATGTCGGAAGTTCGCGGAAGACTTCTATTATCGATAGCGGAAGCACTCAGAGTCTGCGAAGTAAAAAAATCCAACTCAAATAAATCGAACATAAAGTCACTGATTGACTTTTCCATAAATGTGCGAATATCACTTTTTTTCTAGAATCCCTGAGCACGGTGACTTCTTCAACCTTCGAGCCTTCACCTATCGACTCTTTTTTTTGTGGATACTGATCGTCTCTATGCAACTATTAAATGTTCAAAGTATTAATTCAAAATATACTACAATATTCTGGTTTTTAAATAAACAAATACAAGAATTTATATTCTACCGATTGCCTTCTGAATTTCTCTTCATTCTTCTTTCGATCCTCAATAGCATTATTGAGAGCTGCTTGTTCCGCAGGTGTCATGACGACTAATCTCGGATCCATGGCAATCCAGCTGTCGTGAATAATCTGATCCGCAGTCCAACGTTTCGTAACTTCTGGCTCCAAAAGATTTGTCACCAACTTTTTCACTTGCTCACTGAGACTGTCAGCCACTTTCTTCCGGAACTTCCACCTGCGATTGGTCTGAATTTCGTATAATTTTTTAAGATTCGGCTCATCGAATGGCATGGCTTTATTGAGAATTATGTAGAGGATGACCCCGAGGGACCACATATCTGCCGCTTTTGGATTGTATGGAGCTCCTCGCAGAATTTCCGGCGCAGCGTACATCAGGGAACCGCAGAATGTATCGCTCAGGACTCTTTTACCTCTTGAGTCGATTATATAACGTGCGAAACCAAAATCCGTTAATTTCACGTTATTATTGGCTGTCAGGAGAACATTCTCACATTTTATGTCGCGGTGGACTATTTCCATTTCGTGGAGGTACTGCAGGCCTTCAGTTTATGCCATGGAAATTCAGAAATCGTGTGTATTTTATCGGATGACACAAAAAAAGGAGAAAAGAAATATTTTTTCAATAAGAGTGACATGCCGCCCTATGAGAGATGATTCCCACTCGCGAAGATCTTATAGAGACAGCCGGATCCGCTATAAAATTCTATTGGACTTCTACTGGAAATTCTATTACACGGAGAAGAAAGTGGGAAAAAAATTACCGAACAAATCAAGTAATTATGGACTGAACTTGATTTTGAGTACTTTTTCACACTATATGGGCGAGAAAGGGCCAGACGAATAGTGAATTTTTTCTCCGTTGATCCAGGAAAATTGAATGAACGTGAGGGTAACTTCACGCACAAAAAAATTTAATAGAAAAACCTAACGAATTTGTTAGAAAATTTGATTGGATTTCTATTGAACTTTCTATTAATTATCAGTTTTTGGCCGATTCGATTAAAATGTTCAATGGAAAAAATCATCTAGATTTCGATTTTTCTATGTAACTTATTCTCTTCGGATATTTTTTACAGAATTTCCTCGGCTCAAATTTTCTCATTTTTTTTCATTCTATTTTTCCTTTCTTCTCATCAAGAAAAGCAAACAAACAAACTAGAAAAATTTAAGCCGAAGAAATTCTATAGAAAATATTTCAGTAGAATCAGTTCTACAGAAAAATCAAATTCTATTGACTTTTTCTATTGAATGTTCCAATAGAATCGGCCAAAAACTAATAGGAAGTTCAATAGAAATCCAATAGAATTGTCTGACGAATTCGCTAGGTTTTTCTATTAAGTTTTCCAGTCATTCAAGTGTCATTCTTCATCCGATTCTGATTTACTTGAGATAGATCAGTTCATGGATGCATTGTTCCACTCTATTATTCTCAATTGACAGAAAAAAAATCACAATATTTTGGGGAATTAATTATTAAAAATACTTAAAGATAATTGTCGAACCGAACTAGAAATCCAACAGAATTTTCTAGCGAATTCGCTAAGTTTTTCTATTAAATTTTCCAGCTTTTCAAGGTTCTAAAATTAGTTATTAGAAATACCTAAAGACAATTGCCTAAACCAAACTCGTGCTTGACCTTCATCCACAGCTCCATTCTTCAACGTGAAATCAAGAAGATCGCCGTTCTCAGCGAACCTCATGAAGATGAAGTACCTACATCGTCTTTGAAAAATGCTGTGTACATGGACCACGTGGGGATGGTTCAATTTCGCTAAAATATCCAACTCTCGGGGAAGAAATTTTTTAACAAAATCCTTGGGTGCCTTCGACGTGTCCACGATTTTACAAGCCAGGGGGTTACTCTGCTCGGGTTCATTACTTGGAGTGTATTCAGCTAGGAACACCTGCGGAAATGTCATCTTTTTCATAATTTCGGAATAATTAACTTACTTCATGTAAGCATGTGTAACTTTTGCTCAGCGCCTCTTAATATTTCGAGAGATACAAAATCGTGATACATGGATGTAATCGAATTCATTCAGTTCTTTCTAACGAGAAGAAAGAACACAAGCACGAGAACATCTCACAGAAAAACGTAACGAATTCGCTAGAAAGTTCGATTAGTTTCTGAGTGACTCAGCTGAAAAATTCCGCATTTTCTCTGTGCATGTTTTTAATTAAACATGTTTGCGCAGTAAAAGTCCAGAGTAAATTTTGACTCCGAGTCAACACCAAATGGAGTAAAAATAAGTCCACGGCATTTTTCGGTGTCAATTTGAAAATTGATACTGCCATGCTGTCAAAATGAACATATTAATCAGCATCTCCGGGTGAGAGAGTTAAGTTTAACACCGGAATATTTGACCCCTCACACCAGAGACAACAACACCGATTTTTTTTACTGTGTAACCCTTATAGATCAAACCCAAAGTTAACTATGGGTCAGTTCTGGGTTTATGGAAAAAAACCCAGCGAAGAAAGAAAGAAACTGAGAAATTTGCATTAATCCTGAGTTACCTCTGGGTTTGATTCATCAGGAAATCTGAAAAATTCTATCAAAATAATAAATTTTGATTTTTCTGAGCAATTTTCTCTATTGAGATATTTTCTATAAAAATGATTGGACATGAATTTATCAAATTTTTTCCTCAGAATTTGTTTTTTCTTATCTCATTGGGAAGTTGACGCAAGAGAACTGAAAACAGGTGAGTCGAGGCATTTTTTACGTGTGCTAAAAAAACATTCACACTGTGAGGATTTATGACACCCTATACTGAGACCAAAATTTCCTCATATGTAGACCGTATTTACTTGAGGGAAGTAAATTATTTTCAATGACTTAAATCTCAGAATGTTTGCGCTTCACGAAACTCGCATATATCCTCATATATCACGATAGTTCCGCGTTATGTTATGAATATATTACATATCGAAACATTGGAAGTGCACACGGAGAGAAATGTTCAGTAAAAATTACGGAACTCACAGTTTGCTCACCGATTACGGAATCGATTTGGAAAATTTAAGTGACGGTATTGTCATTTTTCAGACGCGAATCAGATAAAAATTACTGAACGCTCTGGAAAAATTACGTGACGGTTCCGTAAAATTTTCTACAACCATATTTCGCTCCGGAATTATGGAAGAGATACGTAATTTTTATTTAATTTTTCTCTCCGTGCATTTAAAAAATTATGCAAACAATAAATACTTGAAGATTGACGATTCTTCTACACGATTAGAGTGAGTCCATTTGCGACAAATTACTTGAGTACAAGGGCATGAACCCTTTCTCGGACAATGTGAATTTTGAGATGCCTGAGAGAATTGAGCAATTAAAGAAAAATTACTTGTCTCAAGTAAATATATTGCAGATATTGCAATTTTTTTCTCAGTGTAGGTAATTGATGAGTTACCTTGGCGAAAGAACCCTCTCCCAATTTCCGTAGTATCTTATATCCACGTGCTCGCAATGTCAGTTCTTCAGATGGAGTTTGATTTAGTTCGAGCTGCGACATGTGATTATAACCAATTAATATTCTCTCAACGCTTATCAACTTTCATGATTTATCGAATTTTTTAGGTGGTGAATCTTTCATTTTTAGTTGATACGAATTTATTGATTTTGCGAAATAGGCATGTTTTGAAATAAATATTTGAATTGACGGATACACACCAAGATTTTGCCATGCTTAATTAATTTTGAGAATTTTCAAACAAAATAAATGACTGTCGATTTCAATCATAACTAATCGATGAAAATTGTACCTATTTACAGAAATTTTTCGTTCTCTCGATTGGGCATGCTTTCAATTAGCTCACATATCAAAAATGCTCTAAAATCGTATCAGTATTAAGTTGGAAGTTCCGCTTTCCCCACCTCGATTGCAATTTTTTTGTTCTTCTTTAAGGTGACTTTTTTGCTGAAGATATACAAAAATCAAAGTGGGACTCTGCTCCGTTCTACCAGAAAATAATTCAGTAAGGAAGTGGTAAAACGGTTTAAGTCGACTTATCTCCCAGTTGAGTTTTTGAGAAATATTTCCGAACCTAAGACAGATAAAAAAATTGTCATAATTACATTTATTGTAGCTCTCAATCGGCTCTACAAAAAAGGTTTTAAAAAATATTTTGCTATCATCCTTAGATTCTGAGATATTCATTGAAAACTGGTCAGTAGTCAAAAATGACTTGTACCGTTTTACCACTTCGCTACTGAATTTTTTTTCCATTTTTTCAAAACTTTTCCCCTATTCCTTCAGTAAAAATTTTGTTTGGCCTTCGACACATTTTTTAATTATAAAAGAGTTTTAGTTATAACGGAACTATTAGTGAGAACTTGTAGTGGAAAGAAATAAAAAAATAAAAGACAAAAAAATGGATAGGATGGAGTGGAGTCCTACCTTAATTTTTCGATAAATTTTAATGAGGGATTTCTCGTAAAACGAGTCGCTTTAATGAAGAGAAAAAGAAAATCAGTAGTCAAGAAGGGGGAAGGGGGTATACAGTATGTAATTTTAAAACTTACTGGTTATTTTATCCCATTTCCAACGGTATGAGTTAATTAAAACCATGCTCATTCGAAAGAATGGAAAATTTACGTCAGAGATACGTATTGAAGAAAGGAAAATATTTTTTATCCTCTCCAAAACCAAAAAAAATTGTCAAAAACTCAAAAAAAAAATTCGACTTTTGCGCGTAACAAAATTGAAAAAAAAGTTTTTTTAAATATCAAGAAAATTACAATTTTTAAGGTATAAAACCGAACCAATAATTGGAGATATCCATAGAAATTTATATGCAGAATAGTAGTTTCATAGAAATTCCGGTTTATCATAAAAAAATTCATAAAATATCTTCCATAAGACATCCTTCAGACCTGCTTCCATTGCTCCCTTCATAACTCTAATTATTAATGCACTATGCTATAATTGAAATGCAATGAAAAGTAAATAATCAATTGAACTGATGAATAATGATGATAGTATTGATGCTAGAAATGCAGAGTGAGTGCATCCTCTAATTAATTGATACCGACCTCTTACACACACCGTTGCCATTAATTATGACCAGTCTTCTATATTTATCACCGCGCCGATCGAGCTTTGCAGATAACGAACCGAAGCATTCTATACGTTTCAATCGATATCCCTACGGAGGGAAAACGTTACTCAGAATTGACAATATTAATGTACATAGACGTGGTTCAGTCTGCAACAGACACTGACTGCAGTTGATTCGTCCAAACATTGAGCGAATTTTCGGATCGGGATGATCGAGTTGAATGATGACAGAAATTATTTCATCATCGATCAGGTGAGTTTGTGTTATTTTATTGGCAATAATTAGTCTATCATTTCACTCTTTAATTATTAATAAGAATCATCCGGTCGGTTGCTAATTACTAGTGTCTCTAAATTTTTTCTTTTGAAGAGTCATCAAACTCCAATCCATTACTGACATTTTAGTATTTTCTTTTTTATGGTTACATATAATTTCAAGTTTTATCCATCAATTTCTCCGGAGCGTAGTAAAGTTGTTATCTCGTAAAGAATTCCGGACAGTTTCCCGTCTATTCTCGAGCGTATACAAACGACGAAGAATATCGATCCCTCGGTCCATCACAAATAGAGGGGCTCGAACAATGGCACAGTATCGTGGACTTGTGCTACTGAAAGGGATTTTCATCTCTTAGTTCCAATTGAAATGTTCAATTTACATCATGGCAATGCGTATGAAAAAATTTAGTAGAAAAGTTAGCGAATTCGCTAGAAAATTCTATTGGAATTCTGTAGGAATTCTATGGGGTTTCTATAGGATTCCTATTGGGATTCTATTGACAAGTTCTATTTGTTTGTTGCGCTGATTCTATTAGATATTCGATAAGAAAAAGTCAATAGATTTCGAATTTCTGTTGAAATTTTTCTCTTGAGATTTTTTATTTTAGAATTATTGGGCACAAATTTGCTAAGTTTTTTCCGTTGGATTTTGTTTTATTTTGTATTACAGAATCCGTGTGGAAAAAACTTAGAAAATTGATGCCCAAGCATTCTTATAGAAAAACTCTCAAGGGAACATTCCAAACAGAAATTCTAAATTTATTGACTTTTTCTTATCGAATATCCAATAGAATCAGCGCAAAAAACAAATAGAATTTTTCAATAGAATTCCAATAGAAATCCTATAGAAAAGCCATAGAATTCCTATAGAGTTCCAATAGAATTTTCTAGCGAATTCGCTAGCTTTTCTATAGAATTTTTTCATGTGTGAATTAAAGTTCACTTTTCGGGTCATCCGGTGAAAATTCAAATTATAATTTGATATGACACTCAGAATTTAGTTGAAGTTCGATAATCAATTTTCATCATTTTTACGAATGCGAAAATTGAATTCGGTAGCAAAGTCGTTAATGAAGCCGCGTTGATGTCACCTGACCACACAAAATGCCATCATCTCGGTATCTAAGAGAAATAGTTTTTTTCCAAGTTTCTTACACTGCATTTCTCTTCGTCTTTTATGCACCATAAAATAAAAGGGAAAGTGTATGTGAAAGATTTTCTATACAATGTTAGAAATTTTTTGAAATTAAAGTAACAGATGCATTTGAATTTTCAATATTCTGGAATTGAATTCAATTTCAGACTAAATTGCCCGGGGAATTCCTGATTCATCTTGAAAATTCAATAAAATTAAGTTTTTCATTACAAATGATTATTGAATTTTCAATGACAATTTGGATTTTCATACCTATCGCAAAAATTAAGCAACAGATTGAAAATTCAGAAGAAAAATTGCCTGAATTTTCTTGATTTTTAGTCATTTTTATTGTCGTATGAACCTGAGAAATCAAATTTCATTGAATATTCAAGAACATTGACTGATTTATCAATAACAGGATCAATGGAAATTCCATGTAAATTGTTTGTTGTTAAAAATTTTAAGATTTTTTACTTGAAAGTTCAAGAGTAATTTTCCAACAGTGTAGTGAACATCTCAATAGAGAATAAGAATTCCTTTATTATATTCAGACTCATCCAATAAAACCGAGAAACATAAAACATTCAAACCCTTCATCTCCGCGTTCAGCTATTGCTCTTAAGCGTTCAATAATCAGAATCCCGAAATATCTACCCAATATCAAACATTTCACAAATAATCTCTCCCTGAATGGTGTTCAAAGCCAATTCTATTGGATTTCTGTTAAAATTTCTATCAGTTTTTGGCCGATTCTATTGAAATGGTAAATAGAAAATATTCTATAGAAAAAGTCAATAGAATTTAATTTTTCTATACATTGCTCTATTGAGATATTTTCTGTATATTTTTTCGGCTCGATTTTTATGTTTTTTTGTATGATTTTCTTCATCTTTCTTATATAAAAAGGAGATGTCACGCGTTTATTCCCAAATGTCTGAAAGGGAAACAGCATACATGATGATGATAATGATACTGGTTTTGGTGATAATGTTAGTGTTCGTGGTTTCCAACGGAGTATGTATTGATTCTCAGTTGAAGTTTTCATAGATTTCCACGAATTTTTCAAGGTCTTTTAGTGGAAGTTTCGATAGGTTTCTATGGCAAATCCCAGAAATCTTCGCTTTCTAATGCAAGTTTTCGCAGCTTTCGCTGTATCTCCTATTGATTCTCGATGGAAATTTCCATCCATTTGTAACAAGAAACAAATCATGGATTTTCAATAGAAGTTTTCATCGCTGCCGAAGAATTTTTCCTTAGTAATACTATAAAAATTCGTATGCGTGAAAGAACTTGTTGATTTTAATCAACTCAAATAATAACGTAATGAAGCATATAACATCTATTAAATTGTCAGACGCACGGAGCGCGTCTTCGATCTCGTGAAAAGAAAAGAAAACGAAACCAAATGAAAACAACGTAGAAAATTTGAGCCGAGGACATTCTACAAAAAAAATCTCAATAGAACAAGTAGTACAGAAAAATCAAATTCTATTGATTTTTTCTATAGAATATTTTCTATTGAACATTTCAATGGAATCGGCCAAAGAGTAATAGAAATCTAAATAGAAGCTAATAGAAATGGTTAATAGAAATCCAATGTCTAGCAAATTCGCTCGGTTTTTCTGTTGAATTTTTTCGTGCGTGTTGTCTTGCAATTAAATTCCAATAAATTTCTAATAATAGAAAATTATTATATCACCCAAAATTACTAATAATAAAAAAATTTATTCATAAATTTACAAAAGAAATATAAATACCAATAATTAATATTAATAAACTAAATTCCATTATGAAACTTGATCTTCTAAACGTTTCATAAAATTAACAATATTTCAATAATATTCTCATAAAATATTTTACGTCTCAACAGATATATTCACTTATATCCCATCAATATAAATTTATTCTTCGTCTCTAATTAAGCCTAGTAGGTCTTTTCAGTTTCTCACAGAGAAGCTCATGGACAGCGCCAGGGCCTCCACTCCTCATAGCACTCGTCAAGTCCTCCATTGCAATTCCAGACGAAGTTAGTCTTCCAATCAGATCATCACTGATTCCAATCTTCCCCTGGGTCTTCAGTCCCTGGTACTCCCTCTGAATATCCACCCTTCTCAAACGAACTTTAATGTTCTCAAACATTTCGACAACTGTTTTGCTGCTTTGAACGAAAGCCGAAGCCTCAATATTGATCTCCGGGTGATTTACGAGTTCCTGCATCATGATGACGTCGTTCATGGCATCATGCGCTCCACAGCAGTCTCCCAGGAACTCCGTAGCTAGCGACACGAGTTTGTAATCCTTCCCGTGATCCCTGCGTCCTGGCAGAGACTCCTGGAGCAGGGGAAGTGTATCTGAGAATCCAGTGACAATCGTCTTGAACTCCTCAACCATTCCTCTTTCGTTCAGCAACGTTAGGAGCATTGGGGCATCGAATCTAAAGCAGTTGTGGGCGATGAGAATAACCTTTCCACCGATCGACGTCAAGTACCTGATGAAATTCCCAACAGCAGTCTCTTTGGACACTGCCTTCAGCAGTTCCCCGCTGCGATTGTACATTTTGTTTTCCACTAGGGAAAATCCTGTCAATCCGGTGATGAACTTTGGAATACCATCGTTTGGGATTATGTACTCGTTGTAGGTACTGTCACCACATCGAGCTGCTATCTGAATTATCTCGGAGGTGGGCTTCAGTCCTGTGGTCTCTGTGTCGAAGAACACGAGAGATACCTCTTGATTCTTGAATTCTTCGGGGGTTTTGGGGTCTTCTAGGGCTTCCAGGGCTCCTTTCATCGACGATAGGTTGAATGCCATTTTTATGGTGTTAGAGGGAGGATGATTGTTGGCTGCCGGGGGATCTAATCTGTGGAAAATAGGAATATGAAAGTTAAAGTTTAGAAAAACAACGCCTAGAAAACACGTTTTTTTAAAAATTATCCCCATGTTTTTCATAGATAATGTTTATAATATTCCCCAGCTATTGAAAAAATCCTCACTAGCTGTACTGCACAGTTCAGGAGATTGTATACGTGCAATAGCACCCTAAATACAATAAAAGGAGCGTTCAAATATTACGTCGCACGGTTAGGGGGAGGGGAGGGAGCCAGTATTTTGTGATGTTTGTGAAGAGGCCCGCCTAGGTTGTGATGTCACACCAACTTTTGGCAGTGATATGTAACCCTGGAGACAAAGAGGATGCTGAATGGATCGATGAAGAGTTTGATTAAAATGATCTCCAGGTACCGGATTTCTCTAACGATACCGGAGCAACGCCGATCATTTCGATCGAAACCCATTTAACTGGTCCATGGCAATAATTATTTCAATAGCGAAGTGGTAAAACGGTACAAGTCAATTTTGACTATTCACCAGTTTTCAATAAATATCTCGGAATCTAAGGGAGATAGCAAAATTTTTGTTGTAACCTTTTTTGTAGAGCCGATTGAGATCTGCAACAAATGTATTTCCGAAAATTTCGCCTGCAAAATCTCCCTTAGATTCGGAGATGTGGAATCAGTGAATATGTGTGTGTGTATTGTGAAGAAAGAACGTTTTGAAGTAGTTTAGAGTAATAAGAAGGCGCTATGTCGCCAGATATTTAAAATAAGAATTCAGTATAGATAGTCCACACGCAATACCCCCTTCCCGTGTGCACTTCTAGTGCGATAAGGTTTTGAGGTGTTTTCTTATGTTTTCGGGTATGAGAAATCCGAATCCGGTGGTATTTTTTATGTAAGTGCATGCAATTAATAGTTATAAACAAATTAAGTGGTTTTTTTGATGATTTTTTTTTTATGGGAAACATTGGCAAATAGAAGAAAATGTTCATGACAAAAGTTGTTCCTTTTTGTGTAATAAATAATTATCATTTTTTTAAATCAAAATCCATCAATCCGTTGCTGAAATATGGTCCACCAGGTCGGCGCGGAAGGATTAGATGCGCGACGCGCGAAGATGGGTGGGACGCTCGACGTCCTCTGAATGCTCATCAATCCGTCATTTTTCTCAGATAAAACGACCTCTACTCATGTATTGGTACATAGAAAGGAAAACAAAAACACACAAAACACTAATACTCCAAGTATGAGAGATATTTATTTGGATTATTTCTGCGAATTTTCAATTCCAAGAAAATTCGGAGGGGACAGCTGCAAAAATATTCTTGTTTCTTCTTGTTTTAGTCAACTGACGTTTAGAAAATACTCCGATAAATCAGTCTTCCTCCGATCCTCGTAAGAGAATGTTCGTCACATTTAAATACGTGATTTTTTTCAGAGTCTCTTCGGGCCGGAGTATTGAATTAACTAATTAACTATTGAGTTCTATCAGTCGGTGACAGGAAATTTATAATCATAAGTTATTGACGAGAAATAAATTCTGGATGACATTCATTCTTTGTGCAGTATTCACTTTAAATTCATGGTGTGAGTGTATTAAAAATGTCAGGTGGACGTTCGTTTGTCATGTTTAGAGGCTCTAAGGCATTTGTCATGTTTAGAGGCACGTCATTTATCGACCCGCTCTTTCGTTTGAGCCCAAAAAAACGTCCATATCTTGTCTGACATCTTTGTTACAAACTCGGGTCTTCAACTCGGGCTTTCAATTGAAGACCTGAGTTTGTAGCAAACATGTCAGACAAGATATGAATGCTTTTTTGGGCTCAAACGAAAGAGCGGGTCGAGAAATGGCGTGCTAGGACCTCTAAAGATGGTTTTGAACCAGGGGAGACTCCTAGACCCCAATGTTCTATACATACTCCTAGACCCCATTGTCCTCCTAGACAATGTTGTCACAACTCTGCTTTTCGATTGAAAACAGATATCATCTTTAGAGACATTTGTCATGTTAAGAGCCTCTAGGACGTCATTTCTCGACCCGTTCTTTCATTTGAGCCCAAAAAAACATTCATATCTT